AAGTTTATTTATTTTAGTTCATTGAAAAATATTTAAATAATTTTAATTTTTAATCAGACATTTTTAACGCGAACGAAAAAAAGTTTCCATGACATCAGCTATGTCAAGGGAGCTATAATGGTGACCAGAAATATCATGTACCGTCGGTAAAAATAATATCATGCATTTTATTGTTGCAGGAATAAACACATTTGAGGATTACACGCAATTCCCCAAGTCAGCTCAAAACACAGACATACCTACATATATGTATGAACTATAGTTCGGCAAACAAAGTTGTCCTTTCATGGTTATATTCTTTATTTGTGGTTGCAGGAACCTACTTTAAAATACACAATATTACTTAAGGGGATTCCGTTAATCACGCTTGAAAAAATCCATCGTTTGCACAAGTATATCGATTTGCAGGCATTAAGGGAATAATAAAAGATTTGTATACAATAGTACGTAAATAAATATGTTGTTGGCATTACATCAATCAACATACACACACACACACACACACATAAAGCCAATTCCAACTATGTCAAAGCAATTACGGAATCGCGCCCACACTCGCTGCTGCTGAGTCAAATTAAACCGACAGTTTAATAGTTTCAATTAAATATTTATTGTTTGCATTGAAAGCTGATTTGTGCGTATGGAGACAGATGTATAGTATAATTAGCTTGCAAATATTATTACAAATATTAAATAGGTGCATTCAATCGTTTAACACTAGATACGGACATATTGATACTATAATTTAGATATCACTTCACTACTTTTTAAACAGGAATACTATACATTTTCTACAGCTTTCATATTATATCTAACCTAATGAAAAGAATCCAGGCAGAATATTACAGTTGAACCAGCCCGAATGGGCTGATTCGGAATAGAGCTACAGAATTATAGTACATATACAAGAAATGGGGAATATGGGAATAAAATAAATTAGACTCGTGTTTCCTAAGCACTTGAAGAGTCCACATAAAGCGCTTATTCAAATAGACGAACTGCATATGCCTAATACTTGTAGAGTACATCAGGTAAATGGTATAATAATGCATTAGGAAGCCTCTACTTACGGTTGACTAGAACATCTTTGCAGAAGCTTGGCTGATCAATAATATAATAATAATTTTATTATTTATTTACACAGTTCTAATTTTACAACATGAAAGGAATGCTAAAGTCGAGCGGGCTGAACTTTTAAATACCCTGTACCACCCCACAAAAAAATCGAAAAAACATCGAACTCGTACTTTCTCGGCCTTGGGAGAATCTGGATACCCAGTTTAGTTATTCTAGTCCTTATACTTTCTGAGATCATTGCGTTCATACATATTCAGACAGACATTGCTATATCGACTCGTCTTGCCAGTCTGATCAAAAATATATGCACTTTGTGGCCTCCTTCTGTATGTTACATACAATCGCACAAAACTAGTATAGCCTTTGAACCTTTGGCTAATAATGGCTAAAAATAATTTTTCAACAAAGAAACAATTTGTCCACTCAAAAACTCGGAATAACCTGGCTACCAAGTTACTGCGTAGAAGTTCACGATAACATCAATATTTCTCATGCCATACCAAGGAAAGGAAAAACCTCAAAAAGCAAAAAATCTAATCAATTTATAACTTCGCCATCATAAAAGTATAATTTAAATTTGTTGCACAATGGAGCACGTATGTCTGCATTTTAATTAAAGAATTTTCTTATCGAATGAAGCTAATCGCCCCAATTGATTAAATCGAAAATAAACCTGGCGTAGGTCAGCATCAAACCAAATATTTCGGTATCAACCGACATACAAGATATACATACATATGTTATAGAGTCAATAAACGAGCTGATTAGCCACAATCTTAAAATCATCTCATAAACATTTTACAGGTCTTGGCAATGGAATTTCTGACTTATCTTCCTGTAGCCATAATGGCAATAAAGCTATAAACACTTTTTCTTGATTAAATAATTATAATGTGTATGCATTTTTATTTGAAGTTAAGGCTTAGTATTATCTTTATATTGGCACGTGGCCGCTGCCAATATTCTTAAGTGAAAGATTCTTATATGTAGTTATCAATTTTTGGCTTCGTAACTTAAAAGCGTATATGGGCTTGCCAAAATACATGCATAAATATGCACAAACTATTTTTGCTTTGATTGGTATATAAGTATGTATAATACATATGCACACATAGATACATATGTATGTACATATTGCAAGGCTGTGTGGCAACTACTTTTATGATTAAAAACCGTCGCATTGCCTTTTTAATGATGATTGTAACCCGAGTGCGTGCATTGTAATTTACAGAGGTCTCTCTCAGCATTTCACAAATGAAACTGCCAACATGTCACTGAGCTAACGGGCAGGGGTGGAGGGGTAGTGTGATAAGTATAAGTATATAGTATAGTATAAGCGACGCTCTTTGATAAGAAATTTATTAGATTAAGGCAGACGATTGCTGCGATTACAGTCAGAGCCACAGCCGCCTCCATAACCACCAGAGTCGTATTCGTAGCCTTGCCGTCGTTTTGTTTCATTCCACTTCGTTTGGGCTTTTGTGTCGCCTCTCCATCTCGGCTGCTGTCGCTTGCCACTTGGTGTGGCTGTGTATTTATTTATTAGTCTGCGAGGCAACCTCGCACTGGACGCTTCGAGTCGGCTGCCAACACTTGAACTCATCTTCCATGCCGGGCCATCTAGAGTAAATAGCAACTAACTTGTGATACAAAAACGCGTAACTACCGCACATATACGGATAATAGAAAATACCACAAAACTTGACACACTGAGGCCAATTCGAAAAGTTTTCGCTTTCAAGAACTTTTATTCATGCTTAGCAAAATGTATGCGCCAAGTTTTAAATGTGATTTATACAAAGTGAAAGTGTTGAGCCAGCGAGCAAAAAGTGGGGCATGCAGCAAGGCGCAGATGCTGGATAAATATCATTTGCTCAGTATATAAATGTTTTTTAATTAACCAAGTGAGTCGGAATTCAGTTTTCTGTTGCTTTCATAGAACTATTGACTATTATTTCGGTCCTACATAATTCCATTTGAAATGCAATGGTTTTTCAATTCCAATCACCACACATCTCTTTTGGTTGACGATTTAGATTTGAATTTCAATTGCTTTACAATTGAATTATATACATACATACACTGGCGTACAACTTGAGATCTGCAGTTTAATTCCATTTCGTCAGACGCCAGCTACAACACGTGATTGCTTTGCTTTTGCGTGTCAATTCGTGAAATTTTATTTTATTTGATTTGTAACACCCCGCTTCGCAGACTACTGCTCACATGAATACACAAATAGAAACAAAACGCTGGCACTTGCTAGATCTTATCAGACGGGAAATAATAGCAAAATTATATGGTCAAATAACCACCTTTGTTTAACGCAGACAGACACACACACACATACATTATAATCGCATTTGTTGCTATTTTTACCATTTGTACACACACTTTGGCACACATTTGATTTTTGATAAGCGTATTTTCGGCAATAAACTAATTCTACTACAAATACACAAATACATCTGTAAGTGTATTTATAATTAACAAAATAATAAAATGAAGGAATTTGTCTATCGACTTGTAGTGCTCGTCGCTGTAAGTGCATTCGAAATAAAAGCAAGAAGAGGCCACAATAACAAAATCATCAGCGACAAGCTCGCGTGAAATAATTTAATCGCATTGTGACTGACTATCGAACGTTGAACTCGGGAAGCGCTCCCGGTTCATTAACATGGCGAATTTCTGCTCACAACATTGAGTAAATACTATTACATTCTATTCACAGTGCATTTTAGATTACATTTTATAAATTACAATCGATAGGAAGCGTACACAATAGTCTTTGCTACAGTATATTTATAATTACCATTATTCGTACTTAGCGATATATGATTAGTTACTCCTAATTCTCTCTATGTTCTTTGATCTTTCATCCCAATTCATTTAAAAAATGCAAAACTAGTTAAAACGTGTCTTTCATTTAGGAATTGAAATCTTTTCATTTGTTTCACAAACATGAAAACTGGCCAACAACTTAATTTTTGCATCGCTCTTTTTCCTGTACATTTCGGTTATCAATTTCAACCAGAATCGCAAAATAGCGAATCAATTGATTATGTTGCCATTTCAATATTTTAAAAATATTTCTTTCTAAACTCATTTCATTTCTAGTAATCGAAACAAAAAACTCACGTCTTAATCGAAATTCGAATTGATCGAAATATTATCTGTTATAAACTGTTTATGTGCTTGATACTCTAAAGATATCAAATGAATTTAAAAGCACCGTTTCAGTGGAAATAAAATACATATATACATACGGAAAAGAAGAAACCATACTAGCGAATATGCTAACAACTAATGTATCAAAAATCACATATACTTATAATTGCTTCTATAGAAATTCTACAGGAAAATCATATTTCACATGTTGTTGTAAATAAGAATAGGGAAATTTAATTAAAACCTTTGGGGTTGCAACCGATTTCTTGAAACCTGGTTATTGCGATCATTTTCAATTAAATGTTTTCCTATTCTCTCTTCCTAATAAACAACTTCCATACGCACAGAAACAATTGCAAACGGGCAATGTAAAGGGTGATTTTAAAATAAAAATTGCCTCTAGCCAATTGCCTCTTCCAATGTTTGCTAATCATAGAAGTGCGTATATTATGTTGTTCTGATTTTTTGTGGCAAGGTAAAATTTCGGGTAACAAGACAAATCACCACCATTGAGCAGCAGCTGTTCTGAAATAAATTGAAATATATTTTTGAATTCTCTGAATTTGTTTATTAACAATAAAATTGATTTTTGTGAGTGTGTGTACTTCATTTTAATATTATTTTCAGTCGTCTTTCTATTGATCAGAATAAAAATAAATTTAACTTAAGTTATAACATGCCAACTATTGGCATCCAGTACTTACGATTATTTATATCAAATATCCCTTGAACTGAACGTTTATTTCTTTTTGCAGCTAGCCCCATAACGAGGCAGGACAACTAACTACAATACAAGCATCAGGAAGGGAGCAGCTTAAGCTGCTAATCGAGTCATATACGGGCAGGCTAATATCATAAATCATTGTCAATTTTCGCGTGCAAGGACAACAACTGCAACTCATCGACGCCATTGCGATTGAGTAACCAAACCAACGAATATTAATCATACGCAGTGTAAACCGCATTAACACAACTGCCGTCGATATGTTTGCGAAAGAGCCGCACAATGTGGGCATTTGACACGCGTAGAAAAACAGATAAATAGTCGGTTGATTGGACTGTAGAGACATTTTGGCAGCGTTATCCTTGCCACAAAATTAACCATTAAACGTGTTCTTTTTTTGTTTGCTTATTTTCTTTGTGTTTTGTACCATTTGTTGGTTATTCAGTGTTCAGTGTTCAATTGATGAAACCACAAAATTATTGTATTCGGTGAACATAATTAAGTATATTCGTGCCGCATGTGGCTGCCAACGCTGTCACATATAAAGCCAACGCCCATTGGCAACAACAGCAACAAATATAAAAAAAATAAAGCGACATCCTTTGATAACCTGAACAGCTGCCTGGTGCAGTCGTCAACTATTGCTCAATTAATTTTTCGCTGGTCTGTGATAAATACGTTAACATTCTTAATGAATGTCATTCGGTTAAAGTCACTTTATCGTACAACTAAAACGACAACAGCAACAAAAACAAAATCCACACACCACACCACCATACAAAAGCAGACGCAGCATCGTAGCAACAATAATAATAACAAGAGTTACGGGAAATCAACTTCATCACCAGCATTGGCAACGCTTGAGGCATCTTTTGCAGCGACCAGCGTCAACAAGAGCAGCAACAACAACCCGCGCACTTACAACAACAGCAGCAAATCAAATAAAGTGTTCCTCCATTACATACCCCGCGATCCGCGTCTAAGAATTTTCAATAAAACCGTCACGCTGAATAAACACTTTGGCCATCGCCATCGCCATCGCACTTTAAGCGAATTGAATATAACTGAAGATTTGTGTAATTATGGTGAATTAATTGGTGGCAGTGAGAATCAATTGAAACTTAAGGGCCAAGCTAAAATTGCGGAAATAACTAAGCTGAAATTCAATTGAAAAAGTGTTGCTCGACTCTTTTTTGTGATTTCAAGTTCATGTGTGATAGAAGGTGAATATTGTTGCTGGTTTGCCATCTCCTGGCATCTCAAAATTTACTCCAAAGTCGCACATTTGGCTAAGGTAAGCATCAAATCTATAAATCCATATACACACTATTACTCATTCTATAAATTAAGTGGCAAGCAAAATTAAAGTCCAGCAGTTTTCTCATATTTCTCGACAAAAACAAAAATCAAAAAGAACACCGAACAATAAATTCATTCCAGAATTCCCAGAGTTCCTAAACTAAAGGATAAAACGATAGCTCGTCTGGCATCCATTTCTCCTTTTCCAGAACTACTTTTTTTGAAGCTTTATGACATACTATAAATACCAGCAACCTCCATACTTCTTTGTATTTTGAGCCTTTACGAGTTCTTGCCAGCATTGTCTGTATTCTGCCTGCTGCCGTCATTTGGCAACACCTAGACTACTAAGATCCTTCATAGCTTGGTCGTCCCCTTCTGCGTTTCCCACCAGCAGAGTACGAATTACATACCAAAGATTCATCTGAAAATCTCTCTCAAAATCACTCTGTGTCGCCTTATCTGATATTAAGGTCTATCCATCGGCAGGATAAGGGACTTGTAGAGACTGTTTACTTAGTGTGACGAAAGAACAGTTCACTGAGCCTATAGTAGCCCCGATAATATACTAATACTAATACGACTATTTCTAAGGACTCATTAACAAATTTTAAGCTTTTTATTACTTTGCCAATAACTAAAAGCTGGTTAACACAACTTCATTATTCGCGTTAAACGGTCAGGTTTAATTGGAAACACTAAAGCTACTACCATTAAGATTGAAATTCTTACCAAATATTTGTTAGTCTGAAGTTTATTTTCTGAAGAGTTTTCCACAATAGGGAGGAAAATTTCCTAATTCTAGCATTCTGTTTCAACGGATTTTGTAACTCCTTAACATACATTTTTAATTAGCTCGCTGTCTTACTATAAGTCACGTACTTTTTCATGAATGTCTACAATAATTTTTTTTATAAAGAATATTAACTCTAGTGATTTGTTATGCTCTTCTTGATTGTAAAACCAATTAAATTAACTAATAAAACAAATCAATATAAGATGAAGATAAGCATATATCTTATAATATTATATAAAGTCAGCTAAAATCGTACATTCGATGCAATTACAGTTAAGCTATACATATTTTTCGCGGATATATGTTTCGTTTGCTAAATGGACCGAATAAAATTTCTCGTCCTAAAACCTTCATTTTTTATGTTTTTGACATAATATGTGAAATAAACAGTATTTATAAGTCCGAGCTTAGCTCTTTGTATTTGCTTGCCCACAACAAACTATCTTTTTGTTTGCGTGACCGGAGCCGAACAAAACGATAAAACAATTTCTGACATTAATAGTTCATTGAATTTAAATTGATTTTAAAGCAAAAGCAACGCCTACAACGTTAATTGGAGTGCATGGGCAGTGGCAGTGGCCTGTCATTTGGAAAATTTCCACATTATTTGTGTCTCTCTTTATTGAAATTGCGCCGAAAGTTTGTCTCGCATAAAACTTTTATATTCTCCTCCCTTGATTTTGCCAAGTGCTGTTTTAAAAATAAAACCAGACAGTCATTTCGAGCACAAAGCCAAAAGCCAAAAACCGAAAACAGCATAGACAGCCACACAAATGCAAACAAAATAAAAATAAATAAATATACATATATATGTATATATATATATATATTCGTACAGTACGTATTCGAAATATAGTTATAAAAATAAAAATTAGCACAAACAGCTGTTTCCCTGACGTGCGTGTTTCGTTGAGCACAAATGAGAGCTGAGCGAGCAAATTTCGTGCTCGTGATTTCTTTAATATTCTACTAAATACGAATATATACATACAGACATAGAGACATACAAACATCCATACGTGCTATTTTTATGAGGTCAAGTTGAAGGAAAATTGCAGCAAAATAAAATTAATTCTCTCTGAGGTTGGCAGGCAGACAGAGGCGAAGATTCGCCAAACCATCTCCAACTGTCAAATGGCGTCCAAACAGTTTGTGCGCGAATTTGCATTCGAAATGTTTTGTTTTTAAACAAATTTGCATTTGTTTGCAAACAAACGAATCAACAATAGCGGCAACAAAAAAAGCAACATATTGTTATGATCTTTAGTGATACAAATAAAAGGCAAATTTAAATACTTCTAATTAAACCACAACGACGACCATTTTGCTTAAACACAATGTTGTTCACTCACGGGGACAATGCAGATATAATATTTTTGAAAAAACGAACAAAATGTGCCCACTTTAAAAATATTATATACAAGTAGTGCCCACGTTTATATAACATTTCCGATGGCAGCAGGTAAAAACTATAGCAAGAAATTGTGTATGAAAAGTACGTGATTGTGGAAAGCAGTTGGTAAACTTTTGCAATTAATCAAAATAAAGCAAAGAAAACTGCTGGAAAACTTTGAACTTTGCTTACTGCAGAAGCCACTAAATATATAAGTTTGTACAGTTGCAAGTTTTTACATCTTTCTCACAACATTTTACACACCTTTCCATTCCTCTCCCACACACAAATAGCTACGCACGGCAGTCGTCAATTACCAAGAGCGGAAGTTATTGGAAAACGGCAGCTTAAGGATCGCTTTTCATATACATACATATATACTATATATCGTAGAGTAACGAATACTCATATAATCCCTACAACCTACCGCTATTTAAATTGCTGAAAAGAAAAACTATTGTGTTCAGTTCGTTTGGAAAAATTTGAGCCGTTGTAAAGTGCCGAAAATTGTAACCTACACGTAGGACCCCAATACACAATGGCGAAAATAACTAGCAGCAACAGCACGAGCAACAATAATATTGCTGCCGTTGCTAACAACAATCATAGCAGTGTTATAAACAATCATAACATTCAAGAGGATAGTGGCAGCAGTAGCATTAAACAAAATGGCAATCTGATTTATCGGTCACATAGCCGTGATAATGTGACGCCAGCACCCGCAAATACGCCTCTGAATAGAGCGATCAAGCATGATCTGTTCCCAGAGGTCACTTTCTGTAATCTATCGGTCGAGAATCTGCACGACGGCACCCACAATCGCACCGTCCGGAACAGCATAATCGCCGTAGATGGCGATAACACCATGACTTGCCTTATTAGCGGAACTAGCAATCAGCCGCCGGTGAAGAAGCGAACGCGTCTGATCTCTAACGAATCGGGCGATTCCATTGACTCTAGCTCGACGGAGAAGAAAATACCCAAAATGCCCGACGGAGGCTATGGTTGGGTGGTGGTCTTTGCCTCACTGGTGGTCTCACTGATTGCCGATGGCCTCTCCTTCTCCTTTGGTCTGATTCACACGGAGCTCTTGAGTTACTTTGGCGAGTCGCCTTCAAAGACGGCCTGGATTAGTTCGCTCTTCTTTTCTGTGCCTCTGCTCATGGGTCCGATTTGGTCAAATCTGGTGGACAAATATGGCTGTCGCAAGATGACCATCATTGGCGGTATGGTGTCCGCCTTCGGCTTTGCCCTTTCGTCCTTTTGTAACTCCATTGAAATGTTAATGTTCACGTTCGGCATTATATCGGGCCTGGGCCTAGGAATTGGATATGTCACGGCTGTCGTCTCGATTGCCTTTTGGTTCGATAAGAAGCGCACCTTTGCCACGGGCATTGGTGCATCCGGTACTGGTATTGGAACCTTTCTCTATGCCCGTTTAACTCAATATCTAATCGATTCGTATGGCTGGCGAGGAGCTACTCTTATCCTTGGCGGCACCATGTTGAATGCCTGCGTTTGTGGCGCTCTCATGCGCGATCCGGACTGGCTTATCGAGGAGAATCGCTTGGAGAGCCGTTCTCAGAGTGTCACCACATTTTCCAATTCGAGCGTTTGCTTGGAGGAGATCAAGAAACTGCTCGACACGGGCATTACCAAAGAAGCCGTGCTCGATACTCTGGTTACCAAAAATAATACGGAGGCCAATCAGCAAATAGAAGATCCCCTGGACTCAATCCTCAAACGCTACCGCAGCGAAATTTTCCTTCCTACCTATCTGAGTGCCCAAGAGCTGGACAGTATATGTGAGGCGAAGAGTATCAGTCGTCGGTCGTTGCGCCACAGGGAGGGTGCCGAGGCACCGTCACGCGATAATCTGTTATCCATGTCATCGGGTACGCCTTATCCACCCACCACAGCCATTATTGGTTCCCCGGACGACACCATGATGGGTGGCATTGCGGATGCAGCCATGGAGACAGCTAAAAAAACGTATCTGGCCTCAATCGAGACTCTGTCGCCGTCAGAAAAGCGCACCACGGGGGCAAACTCACCAAATGCATCGATGCGCTCCTCCGATGAGGGTTACCTCACTCAGAAACATAACGAGCCAACGCCACATGCTAACTCCCGTTTCTCCCTCAATGAAAATCTTTTTATGGCCCACCACACGACCCCCTCTCTTTCAAATCTAAAGGTGAACGGCCTGCGCCACAACTCGGTAGACATACTGAGCGATGACATGCACTGCTACTACATGTCCATGAAGGATGAGACATTTGCACTGCTCGATAAGGGCCAGGAGCGAGGTCCAACCGTGATTCCCATACCTGAGCAACCACTGACCAGCGAACAGGCGATACGACGTGCCCGTTTGGATAGCATAACCGGCATACGTCGTCTTTCGAAATCCAAGAAACCAGGACACCGCTCGAACCTAAGGCGTAACATTTCAATAAGGAACTCCAATTTCCTGAAGGACATGCGGATACATCGTAACTCCATCCATTATCGTGGAGCCATGCTCAACACACATCGCTACCGACTTCGCGCTTCCTCGTGCCCAAACATCTATCGCAACTCAATGACCACTATAGCCAAGGAGGAGGAAGATGTAAGTACAAAATATATTACCAGGGCACTTAAACCAGTGCCGTTATGGAAGCTCTTCTATACATTTTTATATTGAATAATGCAGCCATTATTATACTCTGTACATGAAGTGTACAAGAGTATATTAGGTTTGCGGGAGCTGAAAAACATAACAGACAGAAGGAGGCGTGGCAGACCCCAAAAAGTATATATATTCTTGATCAGCATGACAACACGAGTTGATCTAGCCATGTCTCTTTGTACGTCCGTCCGTCTGTCCGTATGAACAGCTGAATCTCCGAGACTATAAGAGCTAGAGACACCAAATTTTGTACTACTACTTTCCCCTACGAGGGATTTCCCAATTTTTAATATACACCTAATTCTGTTTTTACACGGTACATTGGTTCCTAAAAAAGTCGTGTAAAAAAAAACCGTGTAAAAACCGAATTAGGTGTATGGTGTATACAAAAAAAATAAAAAATAGGGGAACCTGAAAAGCCGCAAGGAATATACAAATAAAACAAATCATTAGATAAACCAATATTTATTCTGTACAAATCTTGTATAGTTTATTTTAAAATGATTTAATCAGCACTGCTTCCTTTATTTTCTTCAAACGCCTACGGTTTCCATATTAGTAATAAATCGATAGAAGCCATCGCGATATGGGCATTTTAATTTCCGTGTTTTGGCATACTCTGGATTTTGCAAATTAAATGAAGAATTATAATAAAGCTTATCATTATGGGATTCTCTTTGTGCCCCCTATTAATAACGAGCACAATATAAAGCGTTCAGTTTGGAGCTTGGGAGCGTTCATCTTCAAAGTACTCTGACTATTGTGTTCAATGAGCACTTCTAATACTATATATAGTATTGATGAATACGAGTATGTATAAGTGAGCGGCCTCTGTAGCTTATCGGCCTGTCAGAGTGCCTGACAACAGACTATTCGGTTTGTGTTTGCGCTCAACATGTAGCTCAAGGCACGGCTATCAATACTCTATCTCTGCTAAGTATATGTACATACTTGTGTATGTATAAGTGTACATATGTACGCAGAATTACTACATATTTTTATAATGTGTGGCTCGTTTATGCAGTAGGTAGACATAATTCAGTTCCGTATTTCATAAATTCGATAAAAAAAAATGTATAATTCTTTTTTTGTGTACCCTTCGCAGACCTGGTATGATAATCTCATGGACACCATGAAATCTGTGTTTGATTTCTCGCTCTTTTTGGATTTGAAATTCGCGCTGTTCAATCTGTCAACGTTGTTTTTGTTTATTTGGTAAGTTGGACATACATATACTTGTACTATACATACCTATTTACTTATCTACATAGTATATACTAAGAACTATTAAGCATGATTTGCGCAATAACACAAATGTATCGCATAGATAGCTGGTATACATATTGTACAAATGTACCATAACGGGCCCCAAGTGCAAATGCCACAAAATGTCGCAAAATTTGGCAAGCATTCAATACCGATTTTCAAAACATATACATATGTACATAATGCCTGCTTGTCGATTTTATTTGTTACCCACCTACGAATTGATGTACTTGTACATTGGTAGGAGTATAGAATCTATAATCCATAAAATATTTATGCGTTGACAATATCAACGATAGTTTTAACACACTTTTAAAAGGGTCGCCTTAAATATATAAATAAAGATCAATCAAGATTATGGACCGTAACATTTAAATCGAAGAAAGAAGAAATTTATATAATATTCATTCAATGTTTTTTGCCTCGATAAGGAAACAAAGACCATTCGTTTATTTCAGAAGCAAGAAAACTATTTCAAGCTCCGATTTTGATTTGTTAGAAAAAATATTTCAAAAAAGTTACAAATTAAAAAATATGCCCTAATTAATTTGGACGAATTAGGAAACAAGTACACGCTCAATTTCAAACTCTAACTTTAATTAAAGCAACAACTTAATAAATTTGATCTAGAACACTCCTCTATTGTACAAGAAGATTGCTAATTTAAACAATTACTTATTTTGATTTTATTATATGTATATGTACATCCTTAGGATTTATTCGTATACTATATGGGAGGTATTTTATATATGTATGTATAGTATATAGTGTAATCTGGATAATTATCACATCGCCGACCACTTATTTTTTATACCAACAATGTAAATAGACTTACTAGTCAGGAAGTATAAAAGCTAGAACAAAAAGACTTGGGCGCGACTGTAGCATTCGGTTCATGTTTTCTTTTTAAATATTAAATAGAAACTTTGGCGAATAAAGACAACTAATTTTATTTATTTTATTTATTTTTCATCGACAAACAATGCAGTCGATGTACATAAAAAAAAATCAATACAATAGAGAACTTAAACTATGTAAAACAAAAAAAAAAAGCCTATAAAAATGACAAAAATATCTAATAACACATCCGACACGGTGGGGGAATTTTATTTGCCAAACGGCCACAAACATTTACCTCTATTATTGAAATAAAACAATTATAAATACGTTTATTAATAAAAACAGATCCTATAAACAGATCCTTATTAATTTCTTAAAACTATACATTTTCGCAAAGCTGCAGAAAATTGCGAAATGAAAACATTTAAGCAAATAGGTTAACAAAATATTTAAAAACTCGAAATATTGTTCTGAGAATTAAATTTTTGTACACTCGTTTACTTACATATATGATTATATTTGCAGGTTCATTATACCCTATCTTTATTTACCTGAATATATGAAGCAATACGGTTATGAGGTCAACGTGAGCGCCGTAATGATTTCGGCGATTGGCATCGCTCAGACAATAGGCATGATCGGGTTGGGGTACTTGGGCGATCATGCGTGGATGAATATCAACATATGCTACTCCCTCTGTATGCTGGGTAAGTGGTGGTGAACTAAAAATTATGGTACCTATGTATAGTACATGTACAAACTTATATACTATATACTATATTTGCAGTCTGTGGCGTTTCCGTGTTCTTTATGCCGCTACTTTTGACCAGCTACAATGGTTTAATGACGATGTGTGTCATATTCGGGTTCACATTTGCCAGCTCGTTTTCGTTTACGCCCAGTATACTGGTCAGTATTGTTGATTTGGATGATTTCACCTGTGCCTACGGATTGGTTCTCTTGGTGCAAGGCGTGGGAATGATTGTTGGACCGCCCATAGCAGGCGCCATTTATGAGTATACGCTCAGGTGCGTTGGCATCATTTCGAGTCCATTGTGCGCTTAATATTATGTAACTTTTCTTATTCGCAGATGGGACGACTCTTTCTATTATGCGGGCATATTTATAGCACTCTCCGGCGTCTGTTCGTATATGATTGAATTCTGTGAGAAGAAAGCAACTAAGGAGAGTGATAGTGATGTCTTAGAGACTAAAAAAGCTCAACTTTTACATTAGTTTTCTAATTGTTAAGTGCTATAACTGAAACTGATAAAGTAATGTGTGCAGCAACAGTGCTAAATATATATACAACAAAAATTGTAGTACATGTACTTTCAAACTGTTCCGATTCGATGGAATTTAGCATTCAATGTTAAGCAAACGAACTTTCTTTTGTCAAATGCTGTTGCAGCTCTAAATGGAATACAACTTCACGAAAGATGATAATAGTAACAAATTGCTAAATGTGCTATTTATTAGTGCATAGAATAGTCTGTGTAAGCTAGATTCGACTACAAAACTGCATAGTTTTAGTTTAATGTTAATCGTAATCGTAATAGGACAACAAGCAAAATTGTAACTGGCAATAAAGCAGAATACATACGAGTAAAAACCAATTTTACACAACTATTTGAATATCAATTGCAGTGCATCACTGCCATGCGCAAACGGGTCCCTTTGATTGTCTTCTTGTCAACAAAAATAATAAGTTATAATATTAAATTTATACAAAAAAAAAAAATAAAAATAAAAAACAAACAAAAAATATATTGCAGCTATAGACTACTAACTACCAATCATGTAACGTATGCAATAACTACAGACAATTTTTGAATCAAGCAGAACACACGTAAAGTCTTCAACTAAATAATTATTAATTTGTATCAAACAATGAACTAATAATAATAAAGCAACAACTTTGGCACATTTTTTATACAAACACTAAACAATTGTATTGCAAAGTTTACTAAATAGTTCACCTTTTGTAATTCCCTTGTTATACCAAACTTTGAATCTAACACTGTATCCGCACTGCACCACCTCCCAGAAGTGTTAACTATATACGTATGAGTACTACGCAGTATGAGAAGATTTCTGAAGTTATTAATTAAAGAAAAACAGCTGAAGTATTATTATTAATTAATAAGGAAATGCAGTTGAAGAGCACATTACAAGTAAATACGATTACTGTTTAGTTAGCTCTATTAATAAAGTCTACCACATATATAAATATATATGCGCACTTTAAAAAAAGTTATAGGTTATTGTTGCAAACAAACACAAAAAAAAAAGTTTAGCCATAAGCACAACACTTTAGCAAAAATAATATATAACAAATATTTACAAACAAACAATTAATTAATTTAGTTTATTACTTATAGCAGAACAAATAAACTCCATTTAAACTTTTGAAACGAAAAGCTAACGGTGGTGAATTATTATTAAAAAACCCAAAACCAATCAAGGTAAGTTCCAAACACATTCTGTTTTTCAAATGAAAATTCTGAATGATTTCATTATTCTTGTTTATGTATTTTTAAATACACACACTTTTTAAAAATAATTCGCTTCCTTTTGTGTTTACAATTAATGTTTTCGCTTTATTAATTAAATATATAAACTTCGTAAAATACTAAATTGATCATATAATCGCAGCATTTACGCTTATTTGTTTATGTATGTCGTATTTACGTTAATGTATATGTACTTGTATGTTATTTTGTATATAAACTTATATAAACTTTTGTATTCAGCTCACAATTAGGTGAGGGTGCGATGTATATAGGTTACAGCAACAAAGCAAATGCAAAAAAAAAACAAGTTTTTAAATTATAACGAATATAAACCACTACCGCAAAGTGCGCGAAATTGACGTTTTTCAATAAATAAGTATTTATTTCAAAATACTATACGTCATTTCTTAATGTTGAAAATCAATACAAACATAAGTACCAATGCACGCATGTTAATATAAGCAGATAATAATCTTATGTTATCTACAAGTTATCTGTCACTGTTGCATACGAATGTAAGCATAAAGAATATGTATAGCAAAAGTGTCAGTCTCCAATAAAACTCTAAAGCGAACAGACGCACGGCGGTCCGCGACTATTGTCTTTTACTTTACTCCTACTGAGCCCTTCCCTTTTCAGCGAATATATAATCTATTCAATAGGTTATGGGCCCAGGGCATATAGGCTCATAGGAGAAGTTCAAAGTATTGTGAAATAGTAATCGTTTGGTGACTCAAGAAATATAACATTTAAAAAATGAGTGCGCTATATCAAATAGACAAATTGGAAGAGCATAACTATGACTCATGGAGCATACAGATGCGATCTGTCTTAGTGCACGCGGAATTGTGGAGTGTGGCATCAGGTGCTGAACCTAGTAATACTGAGAGTTCAAGGCCAAAAGATGAAAAGGCATTAGCAATTATAACGCTAAGTGTAAAAGCTTCACAATTGGGCTTCATTAAAAATTGCAACACTTCGTACGAGGCATGGAAAAAGTTAAAGGACGTTCATCAGCCGAGTGGACCTGTACGGAAAGTGTCGCTGTACAAGAAATTGCTAGGCAAACGCATGTTTCAAGGCCAAAGCATTTCAAGTTACATACACGAATTTAACGAAATTCTGGATGGTTTGTGTACAGTTGGCATCGAATTAAATGATGAGTTAAAAACAATCGTGTTGTTGTCAAGCTTGCCCGAACCATACGAAAATTTTGTCGTCGCCATTGAGACGCGTGACAATTTACCGTCATTTGATGTGTTATGTATCAAGCTGATGGAAGAGGGAGAGCGCAGAGGCAATGCAGATGGAGAGAGCGAGAATGCAAGAGCATTTATAGCTACGCAGCAGATCGTCGCGCATTCCAAAGCGAATTCAAAAAGGAATTCAAAAATCGTCGTTTGCTACAACTGCGGCGAAAAAGGGCACTACAAGGCACAGTGCAAGCGTGAGAAAATTCGCGGTGAAGGGAAAAAGCAATCGACAAAGAAAGAGATGGAAAAGCAGAGCAGCTTGTTAAATGCGTTGGACGTTGGAAAGATAGAGAACAACATGTGGTGTCTGGACAGCGGAGCAACAAGCCATATGTGTTGCGATAAGACGTTATTTTCAAAATTTATTGCGCACACTGAAATGATCGGTTTAGCTGACGCTGGTTTCCTGAAGGCCGAAGGCAGAGGAGAGGTGAAGTTACAGACAGAACTTTGTACCTTGGTGTTGTCAGATGTACTGTATGTACCGAAAATGAATGGCAACTTTATGTCCGTCAGCCGGTCAGTGCAAAAGAACAATGTTATACATTTTGGGCCACATTTTGCTAAAGTTATACAAAACGGCGAGTGTATACTGAAAGCGAATAAAGTTGGGAACCTTTATATGTTTCAAGGCAAACAAAATAGGTGTTATTCCGCAACTGAATCAGATGGTACATTGTGGCATAAGCGTTATGGCCATTTAAATTTTACCAGTCTGAAGGAAGTGATCAGCAAAGAGCTAGTGCGTGGTATTGGAAAGGTTTTTTTCCCAGACAACTTGAATTGCAAAACGTGTATGCTAAGCAAAATACATGTACAGCCATTCCCAAAGGTAAGCACTAACCGTGCCGAAGAGCTGTTGGAACTGGTTCATGCTGATGTATGCGGCCCATTCGACACGAAGTCACTTGCTGGATCCAAATACTTTCTGACCTTCATCGATGACAAGTCCAGGCGTATATTTGTTTATTTTTTGCGGAAGAAAGATGAAGTGTTCAGTAAGTTCGTCGAATTTAAAAACTTGGTTGAACGGCAAACAGATAAAAAGCTCAAATGTATTCGAACCGACAATGGAGGCGAGTTTGTCAACACAACATTCAACGGTTTCCTGAAACACCATGGTATTGCAAGGCAATTGACCGTGGCTTATACTCCGCAGCAGAACGGCGTGGCGGAAAGAGCAAACCGGACATTAACGGAGATGTCCAGATGCTTATTGGTGCAGTCGGGCCTAGGCGAGTCTTTGTGGGCCGAAGCAGTCAACACAGCAGTATACATAAGAAACAGATCACCTACCAGTGCACTGAACAACCTGACTCCAATGGAAGCGTGGACAGGTAAGAAACCCTGTGTTAGCCATCTAAAAGTTTTTGGTTCCATTGCAGTTGCACTTGCAAAGGGTCCCCGTAAAGGCAAATTCAAACCCAAAGGGCATGAGTACCGTATGGTTGGGTATTCGGTAGCAGCCAAAGGCTATCGGTTATACGACCCAGAGACGAGGACGATTGTCGAAAAACGAGACATTCTATTTGATGAGCGTTGTGGTGGTCATACCAATGAAGATACCGTTACGGTAGATTTTCCTGCATGCGAGGTTCAAGAGCATGTCACTCACACGGATGGTGACAGAAGCATCGACGACGATGACAGTGAGCACAGTTCTGACGACAGCAGCTCCAACGCATATGAGAGTGCAGTCGAAAAAGAAGACTCTGACGAGGATACTGTGAAGATTGGGCCAGGCCGGCCTAAAATTGTTCGAAATGGTAAACCTGGTCGTCCAAGAAAGCAATACAATGTGCTTGGAGCATTGGTTGCTAGTGACGTAATGGTTCCGACATCCTATGATCAGGCCGTTGGTAGCACACATGCAGTATTCTGGCAAGAGGCGATGCAAAAGGAATATCAGGCACTACAATCAAACGAAACCTGGCAGATGGCTGATTTACCAAAAGATCAGCGAGCAGTTGGTTGCAAGTGGGTATACAGCCTGAAACGTGACTCTGATGGAAAAGTCGAACGTTTCAAGGCACGACTCGTTGCTAAAGGGTGCTCCCAGAAGTATGGCGTGAACTATGTAGAGACGTTCTCACCCGTTTGCAGATTGGAAACCGTGCGGTTTATTTTGGCGTTAGCAGCGGAATTGAAGCTGTACCTTCACCAGATAGATGTGTGTACCGCCTATTTGAATAGCGACCTGCATGAAACTGTTTATATGAAGCAGCCACAGGGATACACAGATCCCAATAATCCAAGTAAGGCTTTATTGCTTAAAAAGGCAATATATGGATTGAAGCAGTCGGGGCGCGAGTGGAACTCCAAGCTCGATTGTGTACTACAAGGCATAGATTTTGTAGCATGTGAAAATGAACCGTGTCTTTACAAAAGGAACGGAAGAGGTGACTTATCATTAATCCTTGTTTATGTTGATGATATAATTATAGCATGCCGATCAAAAGAGGACTTGGCCAACATCAAGTCAGCCATTACAACATCGTTTGAATGTGTTGACAAGGGAGAGCTGCATTTGTTCCTTGGCATGGAAGTGCAGCGCGACGGTGAGCTTGGCGAAATTTCGCTAAGCAATTCGCAATACATCAAAGACATATTGCGTGAACATGGATGCGAGACCTGTAGACCTACAGCGACCCCACTGGATGCTGGTTTCCAAGTGATATGTACCAGCGAGCATTGTCAAAAGGTTGACATTGCATCCTACCAGTCTTCAATTGGCGAGTTAATGTGGCTGGCGCTTACAACAAGGCCAGACATATTGCATTCCGTTGCCAAGTTAGCTCAACGGAATCAAGATCCGCATGCAGAGCACCTAGTGGGTGTAAAACATGTGCTTCGATACCTGGCGTCAACTGTGGACCTGAAGTTGCACTACAAAGAGTGTGGACAACCCCTTACCGGCTATGTGGATGCAGACTGGGGTGGCGACCGCATCGATCGCAAGTCGTATACTGGCTATGTATACTACTTGGCTGGAGGACCCATATCCTGGCGATCTGAAAAGCAACGCAGCGTGGCACTTAGCAGCACGGAGGCGGAGTATATGGCTCTTTCAACTGCGTGTAAGGAGGCCATATACCTACGGCGTCTTATAGTGGAGATTGGCTGCGGTGACTCGAGTACTCCAACTATTCTTCATGGCGATAATTTAAGTGCTCAACAATTAGCTAAGAATCCTGTACACCATGAAAGAACAAAGCATATTGATATTAGATATCATTTTGCAAGACAGGTTGTAAACGAAGAACAAATTGTTTTACAGTATACATCAACCAATGAAATGATAGCTGATATTTTAACGAAAAATCTCCCTAAAGCGAAGCATGTTCATTTTACAAAGCTGTTAAATTTGATTTGAAAATTTTTGTAAAACATGTTTGCATTGAGGAAGGGTGTTGAAAATCAATACAAACATAAGTACCAATGCACGCATGTTAATATAAGCAGATAATAATCTTATGTTATCTACAAGTTATCTGTCACTGTTGCATACGAATGTAAGCATAAAGAATATGTATAGCAAAAGTGTCAGTCTCCAATAAAACTCTAAAGCGAACAGACGCACGGCGGTCCGCGACTATTGTCTTTTACTTTACTCCTACTGAGCCCTTCCCTTTTCAGCGAATATATAATCTATTCAATACTTAAGGTCAGAATATTTGCAGATTTTACCGTATTTATAGCAAACTAATGTATTGTACAGAAATATATTTATATATATGCATGTATGTATAAACATTAAAATATTACAAAATTTAGAAATCACGCACGACACACTCACATATACAAATTGTTTTTTTTTTTACCTTTTTTTAAGTTTTTCAAACCGGACTTTCTATGTGTTGTGTTATTAGTACACTTTAATTATATGCACATTTAGTTGCATTTCTAGACAAATAGTTTTAGCTTATGTTGATTTTTGGGCTGCTTTCAAAAGGATTCGTTATTTGTTGTATAGAGGATTAAATATTTTATTTGAAATCAAAACAGTTATAATAATCTGGTTCTATGTACTGCCTCCTCAAATAGTTAGTTACTAGTAGCTTTTACAGAAGCGGCTACTTAAAGGGTTTCTGTATCAGTGGGCAATCCCTAGCAACAGCCACTATTTGCCGCACCAGCCGCACCGCCTGAGCCAGGGAGCGATGGATTTGTAGGTGATGCCTGGGGACCGATTTTGATGCCGTTAGCCTGTGTAAAGTAAAAAAAAAATAATTTGAATCTAGTTGAACATTCTAGTTTACGAATGTATGTATACCTCATTGTTTATGTCGAACACACCCTCCTGTATTTTCTCGTAAATCTCTTTGGCGGTATTAATAAATGCCTCCTCCACGTTGGCGGCGGTACGCGCCGAAGTTTCCATAAACACAAGTCCATGCTCTCGTGCGAATGCCTCACCCTCCTCCTTTTTGACTTCACGCCTGGAGTCTAAGTCACTTTTATTACCTATAAGCATGATCACCATGTTTGAATTTGAATGCTGACGAGCATCTTCCAACCACGTTGTCAAATGATTAAAAGTCTCGCGTCTCGTGATGTCGTAGACGAGCAAAGCGCCAGCAGCACCACGGTAGTAGGAGCGTGTTATTGATCTGTATAAGGCGAAAATCAAGAGATATACATTTTATTAGTATGAGTTCAGTACGAGAATATTCATTTAAATGTGAGAACCTGAAAGCCTCCTGGCCTGCGGTATCCCAGATTTGCAGTTTAATCTGTTTGCCATCAATTGTAATCATGCGTGCACCAAACTCGACACCAATTGTCAAATCGTGTACTGGCTGAAAACGCTTGTCCGTGAATTGCAGCAGCAGGCATGATTTTCCAACGCCTTACGAATGCGATATGAAATAAAAGAAAGCAAAGAAAATTAGTAAAATGTTACAGACTTCCATAAAAAAACGAACGGGAGAAAGTCGAGAGTTTTTCCTACATAATTCATATGTGTATGATAAATACATAGATGTGTACACAGATAGTATATGTACATAGATAGATAAAATAAAAACAGCAACAGCTGGCGCATGTCCAAAAACGTTACGATCAAACAAATTCCCTTTTTTTGATAATAAAAGGGCAAATGGCAAACATCGTACGTATATCGTCCGTAGTCGGGGGTGGTTGATAGGCCCGTCGGTCAGTGGTTGACTCAGCAACGTTACTTTGTCCGCTCCCCGACTTCCCCAACTTGAACACCATCCTCATGCAACAATCTACAACAACAACGGAGTAGAGTAACGCCCGCGCCCCGTTGTTATGGTTTTATTGATTTTTCCTTGCTGTCCGCCCCACTCGTTTTTGCCAGCTGCTGCATCAAGATTGCACTTCGTATCTCTCGGTACGCCTTGAGTCGCGCACTATACATTCAACGCAGTTGCGTACCCCAGTTCAGCCTTTGTTTTTCACTCAATTTTGTATAATTTGTGCAAATTTGCACTCATATGGCAGAATTTGGTATACACCTGTCACACAAACTCACCAGTATCGCCAATTATTATATATTTAAACAAATATGCGTAAGACATGTTTCTAGTGTGATTGGGCAGTCACTGAACAATTAGTTTTTACTAGAGCGTATTATTTATAACAACAAATCCTAGTTTTAATACGCAATTGCTTCTTTTCTGCGCTTTTTGTGATGACTGGCTGGCTGGCGATAACGATGACAGAGCTCAGGCGATAGTTATCCCCATTGTTCAACACTGCTTACTTTTGGGGCTGCCAGCCTCTTCGAATTATTGACATCGGCTCGATAATTGACTCTGTTCATCGCTAGTTGTAGTTATGTATGTATTTGTGCAGCGATTGTCAAAAATTTTCCTGCACAGAGAATAATCACAATAAAATACCTGTAAATAGTTGTTAAAGCAGTTTGTGTGAAATGTCTTAGCAAAAAGTAGGAGCAGCATAAAATTGAAGACCGTTTCAGTTGCAGCATTTTGCAAGCGTGATCCTGTATTACCGATTCTGGGGTTTTCGTGCCTACTACACAACACATACCTTTTTTTATTGCCAAAGGAGGGCAACATAGTTGGGACGGCCGTTTCACTGCGTGAAACATGAAGATGGCTGACGGCTCGACGATATTGCGTAGAAACCGACCCGGTACAAAATCAAAGGTAGGTACGCCGGATAGGCCCAGATTTTTCAAGGCGCGTCCCCTCACTGTACAAAATTTACACCCACAACAGGACTTTTGTCGCTGGCCAGATGAACCGTTAGAGGAAATGGACAGCACATTGGCTGTGCAGCAATTCATTCAGCAACTCATCAAGCGCGATCCTTCGAATGTCGAGCTTATACTGACCATGCCCGAGGCGCAGGATGAGGGCGTCTGGAAGTACGAACATCTTAGGCAATTCTGCATGGAATTGAATGGTCTGGCTGTGCGTTTGCAAAAGCAATGCTCACCCTCGACGTGCACGCAAATGACGGCAACTGACCAATGGATATTCTTGTGTGCGGCTCACAAAACGCCAAAAGAGTGTCCTGCCATTGACTACACGCGCCACACTTTGGACGGTGCTGCTTGTCTGCTCAATAGCAACAAATACTTTCCCAGCAGGTATATCAAAAACCAAATAATAAATAAAATCCTTTTATGACCTTTTCTAAATTTCTTGCGTGGTTGCAGAGTCTCCATCAAGGATTCATCAGTGACCAAACTAGGCTCTGTATGTCGGCGCGTTTATCGTATATTCTCACACGCGTATTTTCATCATCGTCGCATTTTCGACGAGTTCGAGGCTGAAACGTATTTATGCCACCGATTTACGCATTTTGTCACAAAGTATAATCTGATGTCGAAAGAGAACTTAATTGTGCCCATCAATGAGGAGGAGAACGCTACACCCGGGGAGAGCGAAGCTTAAGTTGTTACAGCCCTTAGAAAGCATGGAAAAACACTCGTACACACACACTCTAGCGTAGTTGCGCTCATTAAACAAATATGTATTTATATTTACTAATAGCATGCACTAGAATAAAACCGACAATTGGGCAGCAGTAACAACATTGTGAAGGCAGAAAGTCAAATGTAACTCTTGTAGTTTAAAGGACAAATATTCAAAAGTATGATATATGATAACTAAGAAGAGAAAATTATTACACCGGCCCCTTCCCTTCCCATTTAAGTCAACATTTATTCCGTAAAGTTATATGACTATGATTATTTGTAACTTTTAATTTAAAATAAATTATACGTAAACAAATTTTATTTCTCACGCTGAAGCCAAACACAACTTTCCATTAAAAACTGAAAACTAACATCCAAACTTTGTAGTAAGTTTCCAAATATGTTGGAAATCGTGTACCAAACTAAAACTACAAATGCATGTGACAAAAGCAACCCGAACAAAGCAAAGAATGACTAATAAAATCTTTATAAACATATAATATTAGAATTACGGAGAATTAACTCAGAACCTGATATCTCACACAATATTCACTTCAAATACTGGGCGCTGTGCTACCAAACGCTCAAATCCTAATTGCGTTAAATCGATTGTGCTAAACTTTCCCTCTAAAATAAGTTCAGATATGGCACGTCCTACCGCCGGCGTTTGCTGTATACCGTGTCCGCTGAATCCTGTGGCTATATAGAGATTTGTGTGGTACGGATGTTGTCCAATAATGCCGTTCTCATCGAATTTATTGAAGTCGTAGTAACCAGCCCAACTGCTCTGCACCTTAGCTGACTCAAAGGCCGGCACGCGCTTCGCCAGCGTTGGCCAAATAACCGTCTCAAAAAATTCATGGTCTACATCCAAAGTATCGCACTTCGGCTCCTCCTCATCCGAAGGACTGCGGCCACAAAGGAAATTACCACCGAGTCCGTCGCGTCTGAAATACGTGCCGTTCGGGTCAACCGTTAGGGGCGTGGCCAATCCAGGTGCATTTCCACCCTGCGTATTAAATACATAGACATAACGCTTGCGTGGTTCCACTGGCACTGGCACACTCATAATATCCTTCCCAGTGCCGATGCCAGCCAGACTCGCCACCTTGCCAGAGTGTGCGCCAGCAGCCAGAACACAATTATCAAAATGCACGGTTCGTTGGGATCCATCGCCACAATCGACAATAGCGCCATTGAGCTTACCCGTGCCATTAAATGTGAAGCCAACCACTTCGCCATTCGTAAACTGGGCACCAAAGGAGCGCGCCTGCTTTTTGAAGCCCATCAGCAAGGCCCACGGATCAAACCAGCCCTCTTTTGCCAGGCCACAGCAGCCCAGCTCTACTCCGTCAGTATCAATCCAAGGAAAACGCTTTCGCAATGCCTCAGGTCCCAAGAGCTCGTTGTGGGCGCCCAACTCATTCTGCAGCCGAGAATTGTTCGTTAGTATTTCAGCTCCCTTTACCGAGGCCAAAAAGAGATAGCCATGTGGCATAAAGTTTAGCTCCACATCGCCCAAATACCGCTTCGAGTTGGCTATAAATTCGGCACCAAATAGCGACATTTGTATGTTCTCCGCCAGGGAAAATTGTTGACGCAATCCTCCCACTGACAGCACTGTAGAGGCGCGGGTATACTACAAGTAAGAAAAGATAAGATTGCCAATAATGAGCTTACACAAAATCCACTTCACTAGAATACCATTGAAACAGTTTAAGAGGACAATTCCAGATGATATTATGCTCGTACATAGGCTCTGTTACATGTAACTTTATAATGCCAAAATCAGTTTCCAAAGCCGTTTGTTTCGAAAATTGATTACAGTGGAACGTGAATTGCTCGCCGTCTTAACTGCTTTTAAATGCCAAAATATACTAAAACAGTTAAATAGAAAAAATTAAGAATATAATTTATCATTCAGGCTAGAGGGAACAACCTCGAAAAAGCAACTTTGGCAACAATATGGCTTAAGTTTGATGATTTTCAAGAATTAGAACAGTTCACTTCTCATTAAAGTCGATTAAATATGGTTCAGTTTACAGCTTTAACTGCAATCTTCAACAGCGCATTCGGATAGATCAATTGTGTTAGGAATAAAAAATATGTTGTAAATAATTTTCTTTTACAAATAATTTCTTGTTTTATGTTAATAATTGCCATCAATAACATGAACTCGACCAAGCCGAGAGTGCAATAACTGGACTATTGTATAATAATGCGGAAAGATCGTAAATATGTACATTAGCATATAAGTATAACTTAAATATTGCTACTTCCAGGATAATAAAAAATATAATATATCTATTGAACCATAGAATTAGACAAAAATTTTACTCCAACAAATAAAGTACAATTCCAACTTTCGAAATTTTACGATATATATTAGAACAGCTGCAGGCAGAGATTGGGCAGAGATAACATACTATACATGGCTATAACCCCCTTTCTAAAATATAGGTGATTATACGAATGGCGTAACGGAAAAATCATATTAGCGGGAAAGTGGGAAACAAACTCGTATAGCGTACATATAGGTATACAAAATAAATCAGTTTTAAATAATTTTGGTGACTCTATCTCTTATACTTGTAGTCTCTGAGATCCAGGTGTTCATTCGGACGCAAAGACAGATCGACTCGTCTTGTCATGCTGATCAAGAATATACCTTGTGGGGTCTGGCAATATACTCTTGCACATTTCATGTGCAGAGTATAAAAACTATACAAAGAATAATGGTATGGTCTACACTTTACATCTATTCCCCCCTTTCATATAAATTGTATATAAAAGGGATTAAAATTTACACAAATTCACTTCCATTAAATTGAATGAAAGTGCCTTAAAAATTAGATCTGAATTGCGCTGAACTAAGCCAGAGTATATAATAATGTTGATTTAATAAATTATTCACACTATGCATATTAATAGCAACAAATTGTAGTTGATTGCATTTTTTAAAACTTATTTTGTAAAATCTTGAAGCACGCGCACATTATTCAAGATAATGAATGGGAAACAATCTGTTAAAAAATCGAATCTTCACATCACTTAATAAAAATTGAGTTGATCTGGTATTTTACATTCGGAATGACGAGAATAAGATTTTTCTTCTATCCAGTTGACTTACGCACGCGTCACGCTCCACAACCACTACATTGAGTCGCTCCCGGGCCTTGGACTTCAGCCAGTAGGCCGCTGAAGCACCCATGCCGCCACCTCCAACAATGAGGACATCGCAACGGTCAGGTAAAGGGTCCCCTGTCTGGCTGGCAGCTGCAGTTGAGGCCGGTTGACTGCTAAAGCCCCGCAGTTGTTTAAGCGCCCCGACAACACGATGTTTTGCTAATCGCAGCATTTTACAAACTAAACTCGGTGCTCATTGATAAGCCCGCCTCACCTCATTGTTGAACAACGGCTGATAACTGGGAATAGATTAGATGTGCGGAACAGGGAGGCCAGCCAGGCAGCTACTTGTGAGCAGTTAGTTAATCAAATAGGTAAGATAGTTGAATGTTATCAATTAATAAACAGGCAGGAGATGTTGAGTGGTGAATTAAATGTACAAATATTTATTTGAAAGATTATTTTCTTTAAACTTGCACTTCACCAGAGGGTGTTGCATTTATCCATGACCACTGGTCATGTCGACATCATTTGGAAGCTGGCGGTGCTGTTGCGGCTTATTAGTATTATTTTTCTGGTAACGACCAGAACGTGGACGCTTGTTGGACTGTTGATTGCTGCCTCCAGCTTCACTGTGTTGTTGTTGTTGCTGCTGCTGCTGCTGCTGCATGGGAGCCGCATCATCGACCCAAAAATCGCTGCTAGTATTGGGCCTCTGCAAACTGTTGCACAGAATTGTTCATTGCCATTATTTCTTAATTTTTATCGTAATAATCACCCCGCGATGCTCTTATCCAGCTCGTCCAAGCTCATCAATATGTGCAATGTCGGTATTTCGCGTCTCACAATTATTTCCTCGAGGCCATCCATTTGCGGCTTCCAATGCTCCTCGACACTGTTGAGGACACAAAGAAAAGTGGCTTTAGATGTAATAGAAATTGAATGAAAATTGCAAACGATATACAAGTAGTATTTCAAGTGTCACAAAATATTCAAGACTAGTATTCTTACTTAAACTTCTTAAACTTACAATATATGCGGGTTTTGAAAAGAGTTTTAGTGTCAGGGATGTGAAAAGCAATACCTTTTTTCGGCACTTAATAAACGTTATAAGCTCGGAGATAATTTTGAAAATGTCTATTGCTAAATAGCCGAATGTGAAACAAGCGGAATACCTAAGCATTTGAAAGTTTATAAGTTTTATAAGTATTATTCGGATTGTTTTAGATTCTTTGATAAGGTTGCGTTGTGCAACCTATGTGGAAAGGAAACATGTTTAAACTCAATTACATATACCAAATTTTCTGCATGTACTTGTATTATAAGTAAATTATACAAAAGTACTTAAATCAGCTGAAATTTGTAAATTACATTTTATATAAATATGTTTTAGACTTTGTATTAAATTTTCACAGTTAATAATCATGATCTTAACTAACATAACTTTTCTAATCTTCAGAGCTTCCTTAAAAAAGGGAATTTCTGCTTTCAATTGGAAAATGTAAAATTGTATTCAATTTTCGCGACAAATAAGTATATTCAAATTAATAGTTCTTTTATGCATACAAAAGGCATATGTAGAGATAATTTTACAAACCTTACTCCGATATCATAATTCAGTAAATTTCTTAAAAGCGAATTGACCCGTTTATTTTTTTCGAATCCAATTTCTTAATTTGTTCTCAGGTAAGAAAATTTCTCTTGTCTAACTAATTTCGTGAAATTCATACCATTAATGAAAATTAAAAATTCGATCGAATTCAACATTTAGGAATCACCTGAATTTGGTAATTGGACAATAAACACCACTTACCTGGTGGATCCCATACGCGTAACCTGATATAGCTCGTGACTACGCTTTAGAATCTCAGCGCAGGATATGGTCTTGACAACTCCACCGCCCGAACCGCTCCAGACGACGGTACGGTATTCACCTTTGTTGAGTGCCGCCTCGGCGTAGCTAATGACATTGCTGACTTTGGTGCCGCCCTTAACCTTTTGTTCGGAAAGAATCAGCATAAGAATTTGAAGGTGTCTGCGTGAGCCTCCTTCACTTACATGCATCCAGAGAAAATCCTTTTGTGTCTTTGGCATGCAATCCTCGAAAGGCAAATCGTTCTTACTCAACTCCTGTTCCACATTCTCGGCCTTTCTATAGTGCATCATCTTGGTTGGCCTTGAATTACCAAGTAAGAATTTTTGTAGGCTATTTGAAAATTGATTGGGCGCGCAATTTTATTAACAAAAAATTATTGTGGGCGTTAACTTATGTAAAGCAACCTTGAACGTCACTTCCCTAAGGCTGGCGTGGGAGTCAAGAGCCATGCGCCCAGCTCAGTAAAAATATGGCAATCTTATATGGTAACCAGGCGCAAATTCTAAAACCAAGAGCCTAAAGTGTCGCGCACAGTTATTGCCATGACAGTCTGCGCAAATTGAATAATTGCCGCTTCGTTTATGGCCACGAGCTCGTGGCAACAAAAAATGCACGCAATCAGTTTTCGTAGCCTTTCTGATGCGCTTTATTTAAGAAATCAAATCATTCAACATCAATACAGTGCTGCTAAGAGTTAATAATCAGATAGTTTATGATATAAATGTTAGCTTCGGTTATGATCATGTTAAGTCTATTCGAATAGTATAAATGGCCTTCACATTCAACTTATCTTACAGGGCTGGATACTACCATATCTGTTACCCCACCGGGTTCAGAGACTATCACAGTTAAACCAAACATTTTCATTTATTTTCTTGTAATTAATCGGTTATGTTCGTTTCTATTGAAAGGAAATACTAGAAAGTTAAAACCCCAAATGTATGGTATTAGACTTGTCTTATCTATGCACAGAGCAAGTTTATTAAAAATATTTGTACATAACGTATATTTATACAAATTATAGTAACTAAATTATGGAGTTATAATAGAAATACTGTCTGATACACAATATATTTTTTTTTGAATTGAAAGCCTGTACCGTATTAAAAAATGGTGAATTTTTTTAATTTTCTCCTTTTATATTCATAATTCTCCCAACGTTGCCGGATTCATTTTCAGATATTATTTTTTAGCTTTTTACCTCACTCATTTTCTTTTTAAAGTTAAACGAGGGCCATATTTGCCATCAATTATATTACAAAAATTAAAGATTTAAGGAAAATTCAAGAATTTTTGAAGATATTCAAAGATTTATTTTCCTTTGCAATCACTTGAACTTTTTATTGAATATTTAAAAAGGTATTTCCATATTATTCAAAAAGAATAAATTAATCATAAAACACGAAACCAACGAGAACAAGAATTGATAAAATTGTTCAAGAACGAAAACCAATAAATAGTAATTCAAATTGTTTGTGAATTAAATAAAACAACTCATTTCTGATAAAATGTGTAACTCTAATTAGAAATGTTTATCATTGTCTTTAGAACTTGACATTTTCTGGAATGTAACTAAACTATAAAAATTAACCATTTGGTGAAACTTGTGCAATAAAATAACTTTTGTCAACAATTAAATGGAGTCATTTATGTGGATGACTCTTTATTGGATAATAAAAGCAAGTTTTTCCCTTTAAAACGAACTAAAAATAATAATTAAGTAACTACGTGCAAATATGCTTCTTTAGTTTATATGATTTATTAGCATCTAGATAATTAAATTAATTAGTTAAAACGATAATGAATAGAACCAAAAAATTTTAAAATGATGTATAAATAAAATGTAACTAATAAAAATAAGTTAAGTAGGCTAATTAATTTAATATACTTTTAATTTAATTTTATTCAATTTAATTTAATTTAATTTTATTCAATTTAATTTTATCTAAGAGAATTTAATTTTTGTGACTAGTGCATTAATTTTAAGATTTTTACTTGTCGCAGAAGGAACTACTAATAAATAAATAAAATAATTATTTAACGCTATTCACCAGAGCTGCTATGAACGTCTCTCAACCCTTCAAAATCATAAAGAGCTAGCTTGTAGGGCACCATGAAATTTTCTCGACCACGAGTTCAAGTAAAAGTCAATAAAAAAGCATTTCTACAGCAATTAAATACGCGCGGATGCAGCATTTTCCATTACTATAGGTTAACCCACCAGCCCGGTTGTCGGGCACTACGATGAGGACACGCGGTACAAGCCCACTTGTTGAAGCCCTCAATTTGTGGGGGATGTGGGCTGAGTTGTGCTGCAGCTGAATTCGACAGCAGCAACGAAAGTTTATTAAAGAAGTTTTTTGCAAAAAATTGTGGTTTAATAGTGGTAGTACAAAGTAGTGAAATAAAACATGTACGGCATGCCCATACAGCCATCCGAGTCCATGCTATCTGGGGGAACAGATAATGGTGTATGTCACACACACACACACACACACACAGAAACACCCATACACTCACGCCCACACTGACGATTTAAATGTAGACAATGCAGCAGCTATTAGAAGAAAATGGGCAAGGGGTGGGGGGAATTGTAGGTTATGGCATTGGAGGAAGGCGGCGTTTGGAATGTTTTGAGGAATGCGTTCGAATTCCTAATAGCATGCGCTGACTGCCTCATTGACAACGTCATCATACCGACGCGCAGAGCATTATTATCAAGAACATCATCACCAGCAACATCTGCGGAGCAGCAGCCTCATCGTCATCATCATTCCTATCAAGTACGTTGTGAACAATAATTCAATTTTGTGCGGAAGTTATTAATAAAAGGAAAGCAGCAGTGTAAATGGCGATGAATGTGGGATGTTGGATGGAAAACTGAGAAGTCGTCTGTCTATGTGGTGGGTGCGGACATGTTTTTGACAACATGTACATACATACTTGTATATATTCGTTTGACTTTTATTTTTTACTTGTATTTATATTTTTAGCATCGACACTAATTTCATTTTGAGTTTTGTACCCAAAACTGCGCCCAACAAAACTTAGCAGACAGCCAATGCCTCAGCTTCAGATTGGGCGTAAATTTAACAATTTGATATGCTAAGTATGCTAAGCATTTCAAAAAGTGACATTAAGTGGTTCACAATTGCATTAATTAACATTTGCGTATACGCAATATTACGTATACGGGCCATGGCCATGTAAAAGTCCTAGGCTGTTGACGATATCTTCTGAGCATACATACGAGTATTTGTATGTATGTATTGTATAGAACTCTTCAATCCAACAAGGCTATGTGCTGCATATTTCCACGCACAAACTCACGCACACACCCTACTGTACATAGGGTCTCACACTTCTCTCCTGTACATAGACAGGATAGAAGCAGCAGCTATGAATGAAACGCTGCAAAAATATTTCATTTATTCACGCCCAGCCCCCCCTCCACCATCAAGCTGAAGTATGCATTGTACATGCCAAGGAAGCGACGCGGACCGAGCTTAGCTCATAGCCCGACCACCATGGCAGGATCATTTAAGGTTTGTGAGCCGTCGCCAACGGTTGTCAGTCGCGCATAAATAGTAAGTCGATTCTGCAGCAATTGAAGTGATGAAAAATTCTCAGCTAAATGAGTTTTTACTTGTGCGAAAAATAAGTAATTTTAGAAAAATTACAAAGAGCACACATCCGTTAAGGTGTAATTATGAATAATAAATTGTAGGGCAATAAAAAAACCCCACACAAAGCCTTTTAATTACAAACAAAATAAAGTTCATATTTGTTTACGGTGTGTGCGCGAAAAGAAGAATTGCCCTAGACCAGACTAAAACGTATAACAGAGCTTTAAAAAAGAATTAAAACTAAATTACACGCAAACACACACTTTTATCATCAAAATAAGAGAGTTGTTGAATGCTGAAGACACATGTGTTCGCTCAACAGGTAACCAAACGTGACTGAGCGAATTTTTGCGGCTATCAACAAATAAACAAACTGACAAGCAGCCCCGATAGAAAAGCGTTGAAAATTAAATTCGTAGTTTCTATGCTGTTTGATATAAATACAAATTCCCGGGAAACTAAGAACAAAGCTCTAGTGAATACAAATTTATTCGAAAATTGCAAATTAAATCGGGCCATGTTTAATGTATTTACGGCGTAACCGTAATTTAATGTGTTTTTAAGAAATAATTTAAAAAACGGAGACAAAAATAGTTTCCCCCACAAATTCTTGTGAAACCTGAACGATATAATAGTTTATAAAAAAAAATAGTATGACGTACTCCTCAAAATGATAAGTTAATTGATCAAAATGCATTTTATTTTACGTGTTCGGATTAAAAACAATCAAACACATACTCGTATTTAAAAATTAGTTTATATGCATGCATATAGATTATTAATTAAATGTTTCTTTTCTCACTACCAACCACAAGTTGCTTCATTGATAAAAATCATCGCAGCGTGCGATTCAATAAAACAATACAAGATCGAAAAATAAAACGAAAAGAGTAGCGAAACAAAACAGAACATGGATAGCACCGAATTTCGAAAACGTGGCATGGAAATGGTCGAATACATTTGCAATTATTTGGAAACGCTAAATGACAGACGCGTAACGCCCAGTGTGGAGCCGGGCTATTTGCGGCATCTTTTGCCTTGTAAGTACAAAACTCAAATTTAAAAATTAATTGAAATAAAAAAAATATATATCCACAATGAAAACTTAAATTTGTTTGAGTAGAATTTTATAATTACCTTGTAAATTAATGAATTGCCCGATTTATGTTCAGTTAAAAGACAAAGCAACAACATTTTAGTCCTTCCCTCTATTAGTTTTTTTAAATGCTCTTAATTTAATTCAAAAGTCAATAGCTTTATTGAAAATAGCTGTTCATTTTTTTTATATAAAATATTTATCCACAATGGAAACTTAAATTCATTTGAGTTGAATTTAGATTTTAAATTCAGATTCAAAAGTTTAAAAAAAAAAACGTATGCAAAATCCTTAGTCCTTCCCCCTATTAGGTATTTTAAATTTTTAAAAGTCAATATTTTTATTGAAAATAAGTGTTAATTTTTTATATAAAATATTTATCCATAATGAAAACTTAAACTTGTTTGAGTAGAATTCAAAAATGACTTTGTAAGGAATTGCCCGATTTTAAATTCAACTAAAAAGCAAAGCGACAAAACTTAAGCAAAATCCTTAGTCCTTCCCCATATTAATTATTTTAAATGCTTATTCTGATTCCTAGCTCTTAACACAATTATAAGTAATAACGTAAAAGTAAATATTTTTATTGAAAAGAACTGTTAATATGATCGGGCAATCAAATAATTTCGTTACCATTTTCAATTTCAAGTAAAATATTATGATATAAAAATAAATAACATTTTTTCTACAAGAAAAAGAAACACTATTTACTATTCAAGTCGTAATTCTAATAATTTACCATTTTGTGTGAAATTATTTTTCCAATATTTTAATGAATGAGAATATATATTAACGTTACTTAAATATTTGTTCATGTCCTAAATTTGCGAAGTTTTTTTTAATAAAATTATTATTTACATTATATTATAAAATTATAAATTAAAATAAAGATTTGTAACCTTATTACGATATAATTTCAACTTAAAAGATAAGAAGGCCTAGGAAAAAACTGTACAATAACGTCTATTAATGCCTCCAACACGTTGGGGGAATTTTATTTGCCATTTGGCCAGCTATGCCCCGAATCAAATTAAATAATCAGATCCATTAAATTATTTGTCACCATTAAAGTCAGATGTTTGGTTAAATACATTGTGTCTAGATATTAAATAGCTTTGCAGCAGCAAACAAAATAGCTGCCGTTGTAATAATCAATGTTATTAATATATTTATCAACTTTATAATTGTTTGTTATCCCTTTTAAAATAATCTTTGTCAGCTGAGGCACCGCATGAGCCAGAAGATTGGGATAAAATCATGAATGACGTTGAGGATAAAATAATGCCGGGTGTGACGCACTGGCAGCATCCAAGATTTCATGCCTACTTTCCGGCCGGAAATTCTTTTCCCTCCATACTCGGTGATATGCTGGGCGATGGCATCGGTTGTATCGGCTTCTCCTGGGCAGCGAGTCCCGCCTGCACGGAGCTGGAGACTATTGTGCTGGACTGGCTGGGCAAAGCCATTGGCTTACCCGATCATTTCCTGGCACTGAAAGAGGGCAGCACCGGCGGCGGTGTCATCCAGGTAAACAAACACTGACGTACTATAGACGTGCGCCGTAAATGTTCGATTAGTTGCCAAGTAAACGAAATTGATTTATTTTGTGGCACACGCCATGCCTTTGATGTACATTCGCGCGTGCTTGCCATTGACGTTCTTCTCCCGATCAGACGTCCGCCTCGGAGTGTGTGCTGGTCACGATGTTGGCAGCACGGGCACAGGCATTGAAGCGTCTCAAGGCTCAGCACCCGTTCGTTGAGGAGGGCCACTTGCTGTCCAAACTGATGGCCTATTGCTCCAAAGAGGCGCACAGCTGTGTGGAGAAGGCGGCTATGATATGCTTCGTGAAGCTACGCATTCTGGAGCCGGATGAAAACGCCAGCTTGCGCGGCCAGACCATCGGCGAGGCCATGGAGGAGGACGAGTTGCAGGGCCTTGTGCCGTTCTTTGTCTCCACCACGCTGGGCACGACCGGATCCTGTGCTTTCGATAACTTGCCCGAAATCGGCCTCGAGCTGCAAAAGTTTCCATCCGTCTGGTTGCATGTGGATGCTGCCTATGCCGGCAATAGCTTCATATGTCCAGAACTAAAGCCGCTGCTCAAGGTACAAAGGTTCAATCCACGCATGACTTGCCAAATGATATTTCTATTGTGATGTGTACAGGGCATCGAATTCGCTGACTCATTCAATACGAATCCAAACAAATGGCTACTGACCAACTTCGACTGCTCAACATTGTGGGTGCGCGATCGCATCCGCCTGACATCAGCTTTGGTCGTGGACCCCCTGTATCTCAAGCACGGGTACTCGGATGCGGCCATCGACTATCGTCACTGGGGAGTTCCACTAAGTCGACGTTTTCGTTCGCTAAAATTGTGGTATGTACACTCAGAAAAGAGTCAAATCAAAAATTCTAACGCAATTAAGTTTGAAATTTTAAATTGAAAATCAACCATTATCATTGTCAAAGAGATACAAAACATTTAAGTCACAACAAGGAATTAGTAAGCAGCACAAAAAAACCTTAGGTTGAATACAATCGTTTTTTAGACAGGCTTAGTTTGAGAATAATCCATTCTTGAGCCGACAAAATATGGGTTTTAATAAGGCATGAAGGGATTGAAAACAATCGTCTTCTTTTAGGTATTTTCAAAATTAATAATAAATATTTATTTTATGGTTAATCATATTTGATTTCGGAACGAAATATACTAATTTCGCTTCACTGAATAGGTTTAAGATATTGAAAAAAAATAGTAGCTTTTAATTAAATGAAAATATGATATCAAAATTTAATTCAAATGTTGGATTAATAATAACTTTAATGATAGGGAAAATTAGAGAAATATGTTGTTAAAGAGACAAAAACAAGGAATTAGTAAGCAGCACAAAAAAATCTTAGATTGAATACGAAACAATCGTTTTTTGTAAGGTTTCAGACAGACTTATTTGAGAATAATCCATTCTTGAGCCGAGAAAATATGGGACTAAAAAGGGCATTGAAAACAATCGTCTTATTTGAGATATTATTAAGATGAATAATAAATATTTATTTTATGGTTAATCATATTTGATTTAGGAACGAAATATACTAATTTCGCTTCACTGAATAGCTTTATGATATTGTAAAAAAACAGTAGCTTTAGTAGCTCCATTTAGTGATAAATGGAATTAATTGAAAATACTTGTATAATATCAAAATTTGATTCAAATTTAAATTTTTCAATTTATAATAACTATTTTTAGCGAGAATTTGAGAAATATGTTAATAGTATGCGTATGTCCGTAATTGTTTTTATTGATATGTTGTTAACTTATTTACTTTTTTTGAGTGTAGCATGCTTAGGGAAACGGCAACCCAAAGTCAAGATCAAACAATAAGTACCATGTCGGATCCCATCGAAACTCAAGTTAGGCGGCCACAATGTGTGAATGGGTTTTTGTTTACTATTGCCAAAAAAAACCATCTTCGATTATTGAGCATAGATCACGAAAACTGACGTGTTTGCCATAAATATTATTTGTACGCGATTTAGTTGTAAAAGTCGGCCAAAGAGCACGTATACGTCAATGTTTTTCTCACTTCCTCATATACCATCAATGCATTACATATCAGTACTCTCTGTACTAAAAATAATATAAGGCCTGAATTTAGAAACATATGGGATGTTTCTACATTCGTTAGAATTTCTTACTTATGCGAACAAAAAACTGTATTAATGGTCGGTAATGGGGCTTGGCATTCAGTCCAAAATATCACATTTTACTCCAATAATTGTAACCCTCACAAACTGAAAAGTGTTCGTTTTAAGATAAAATGAATGCAAATAAATTAATTTGAAAATTATTAATAAAGTTTCATCTTCTCATAATCCCCATAAAGTCCAAAACAAAATTCTGGTAATCTTTTGTCATACCTGAAAATAATTTATACTACTTCTATACATAAATTAATGAAAAGGAATAATGTAACTTTTTATGAATACAACATTAGGTTTGTACTGCGTTCTTATGGGATTTCCGGTCTACAACATTATATACGTCATCATATCAAATTGGCCAAACGCTTTGAAGAATTGGTACTCAAAGACAAACGTTTCGAGATTTGTAATCAAGTCAAGGTGAGTTACATTTTGTAAATTCGACATTTGGTTTTATTGTTGTTCACATTACGGCAATTAATCAATCGGAAAGTTTATATGGGGATTTCATTGTTTTTTTCTCATTCTCCCCTCTGATGCCTATTTATAACAATTTTTATATTGATCTAAGCCAAAAGTTTCAGTGGTCAATGGCTTTGAATGCTGACGCAAATCTCCGTTCATATTTCACATATAAAAATGTGACTTATCAAATTAATAAATATGCAGGTATACAATGTTCAGATATGTTTAAATATTGGGCCTTGTCCATGCCTAATTCAACTATTAAGACGTCTCATGCGCCACAGCAAACGGAATCGTGCGAGCCGGCACGCCAAATGCTTCACAACAATGCCAAACAAAAGCGGCCGAAATAAAAGAAATGAACAATAAAACAACAAAAAAAAAAACTGGCGCAAATAGAGATTGAAGTGTTTTGGCATAATTGGCATTCAGAGTGTTATTTGGAGGCAGTAGCAGAAAAACTGATTCATAACTTACTGACGCGTTGCGAGTCAATCACACCGGCTTCCAGTTTGGCCAAAAGGCCAAATCATTTTGTTAAAACTAACGAGGCTAAAATCTCGTGCCGCAATACAACACAAAACAAAATAATACGTAACTTTTAAGTCGGGCAGTTACCTACGAGTATTTATGGCTGGCGTATACGCGATATTTCATTTTCAAATTTTCTTTCTCCTTTTGCATCCTTAGCTCGGCTTGGTGTGCTTTCGACTCAAGGGCAGCGACAAACTGAATGAGAAATTCTTGAGCACTATCAATGAATCGGGTAAACTGCATATGGTGCCCGCCAGTGTCAATGAGCGTTATATCATACGCTTCTGTGCGGTGGCACAAAATGCCACCGCCGAGGATATTGATTATGCCTGGGATACCATTGTTGACTTCGCCAATGAGCTGCTGGAGAAGGAGCAGCACGATGAACTCACAGAAATCATCAATAAAAAGAAACAGGACACATTGGCGCAGAAGCGATCGTTCTTTGTGCGGATGGTCAGCGATCCGAAAATCTACAATCCGGCTATCAACAAGGCGGGTACGCCAAAGCTCTCGCTAGATATTACATCGCCAGTGGTCAGTCGTGGCAGCAATCCCATTATACGCACACAAAGCTCGGTGGAGCACAACTCATGGATATCCTGGCCCTTGGCCTTTCTCTTCAATAGCAATAACGACGAGAAGAGCAGCAACGTGTCCTTGCGGTATGTATTTTTAAGGTTCTTCAAAACGTCGACTTTTTCATCCTTGACAGTGATATTTATCTGGCTATACAAAAGCTAACTTGAAATTTTCTTCGATCTTACTAAAGACCATTTAATGGGCAATAAAATAGATAAAACTAACTTTACCTATCCACAATGAAGCTAAACTTATTCATTTATTCCACAACTGTGTCCGACTTACTACTTGTATATCAGAAGAGTTAGCAATCGACTGATGGCGTTATCGCCGATTTGCTGCCTGACCAATAAGTTCCCTGTTTCGTCCCACAATCAATAATACCTACGTAATAGGGAAGGAACTTTACACATATGCGTCGAATAGTTGCCGATTAATGACAGATTTTAGATTTCGTGAAAATCAATTTATTTATTATTGCTTAAAAAAAGCCTGCATTAGGTGCTTCGTATGAGACCCTCGCTTTAATTTAGTAGAGCATGTGTTGCTTTTACAACTGTTCTTCAAAATAAACTTTAAAACTTAAATAAAACTCATTAAACAACTACATTTCAAAACAAAGAAAAAGATCTTTCAATGTTTTATTATTTTTATATAATTAGCAATTTTTGTTCCCTTTTAAAACCGGAAATCTTCACCATAGTTTCATAAACTAACACACACCTATTCAACAAATTTACAGCTTCCGACATCTGGATACAAATGTCCGGCCGTCATCTTCCCGACGAAATTCTGGGGCCGGGTCATCTCCGTCTCCGGAGAATGAGGTGAATTATGTAAATATGCAGCAGCAGCAGCAGCAGCAACAGCAACAACAACGCTCGCCCCGTAAATCGCCTATGTTTATGCGCAAGCTACCATCGACGCAGAATAACCACAACTAAATTATATACTAAACTACAAAGCCAACTCTTGAAAATACTTATAAATACAATATAGTTGAACTCTAGACCAATTTATGATAATATTATGACACATATATTGTAGTTTATGCGTGTACGCTCTATCTTGCCCCGCCTCCGTATCTCTCTCAATAAATTAAGAAAAGTTAATTGAAACAATTCCTCAATAATAAAGTGTTTTTGAAATATAATTGATATGTATTAATTTTAGTATATGTATAAAAAATGAAAATATAATGTTGGACATGAAAACAAAACAATATCATCATCTCGAAGTTTGTCGTTATTAAGAGCCGTATTTCATCTTATGGGGGAAAAGAAATAAAGACAAATACGATATGAGACAGGAATGAATGTTTGTAAGAGATGATCTTTTTATCTAAAAATATAATGTTGGACATGAAAACAAAACAATATCATCATCTCTAAGTTTGTCGTTATTAAGAGCTGTATTTCATCTTATGGGGGAAAAGAAATAAAGACAAACCCGATATGAGACAGGAATGAATGCTTGTAAGAGATGATCTATTTATCTAAAAATATAATGTTGGACATGAAAACAAAACAATATCATCATCTCGAAGTTTGTCGTATCTCATCTTATGGGGAAAAAAAAAATAAAGACAAACCCGATATGAGACAGGAATGAATGCTTGTAAGAGATGATCTTTTTATCTAAAAATATAATGTTGGACATGAAAACGAAACAATATGATCGTCTCTAAATTTATCGTTATTAAGAGCCGTATCTCATTTTATGGGGAAAAGAAATAAAGACAAACCCGATATGAGACAGGAATGAATGCTTGTGAGAGATGATCTTTTTATCTAAAAATATAATGTTGGACATGAAAACGAAACAATATGATCGTCTCTAAATTTATCGTTATTAAGAGCCGTATCTCATTTTATGGGGAAAAGAAATAAAGACAAACCCGATATGAGACAGGAATGAATGCTTGTAAGAGATGATCTATTTATCTAAAAATATAATGTTGGACATGAAAACAAAACAATATCATCATCTCTAAGTTTGTCGTTATTAAGAGCTGTATTTCATCTTATGGGGGAAAAGAAATAAAGACAAACCCGATATGAGACAGGAATGAATGCTTGTAAGAGATGATCTATTTATCTAAAAATATAATGTTGGACATGAAAACAAAACAATATCATCATCTCTAAGTTTGTCGTTATTAAGAGCTGTGTTTCATCTTATGGGGGAAAAGAAATAAAGACAAACCCGATATGAGACAGGAATGAATGCTTGTAAGAGATGATCTATTTATCTAACAAGAAAGGAATGCTAAAGTCGAGCAGGCTCAACTCTTAAATACCCTGTACCACCCCACAAAAAAGTATTTAAATTAATTAATTAATTTAATTAAATTAATTAACTAAATTAATTCAATTAAATACAAAATATTCCATGCATGCATACATACATTTACATTTACATCAGAATCGTGTCTTATGCGTGTTTGTGTACTTGTACATATGTATGTATGTGTGCATTGGGCCTGGTTATATGGCTATAACTTTCTTTCCGATCATTCTATCATAATGAAACTTGGTATACGGATATATAATTACTAACCTAATGTGACTACCATTAGTAGTTCAAAATTCCAAGAATTACGGGAGTTATAGAAAATCGTTAATAGGGGGGGAGTGGGGGGGGTGGATCAGAAAAAATGAACAAACTCGTCCTTTCTCGGTCTCAGGAGAATCTGTATACCAAGTTGTACGCAAGGATCTCCGAAAGTATAAGAGCTAGAATAACCAAACTTGGTATACAGATTCTCCTGAGACCGAGAAAGGACGAGTTTGTTCATTTTTTCTGATCCACCCCCCCACTCCCCCCCCCCCCCCTATTACCGATTGTCTATAACTCCCGTAATTCTTGGAATTTTAAACTAAAATTTGGTAGTCACATTAGGTTAGTAATTATATATCCGTATACCAAGTTTCATTATGATAGAATAATCGGAAAGAAAGTTATAGCCATATAACCAGTCCCAATGCACACATACATACATATGTACAAGTACACAAACACGCATAAGGCACGATTCTGATGTAAATGTAAATGTATGTATGCATGCATGGAATATTTTATATTTAATTAGTTAATATTTAGTTATTTAATTAAATTAATTTAGTTAATTAATTAAATTCAATTAAATTAAATTAATTAATTAATTTTTTGTGGGGTGGTACAGGGTATTTAAGAGCTGAGCCTGCTTGACTTTAGCATTCCTTTCTTGTTGTTGTTGTTAATTCGCATGCTTACGCAGAATGAAAAATCCTGTGATTTTGGTGTAAACACACACCACACAATAATTTTTTTTTCTCTTTTATAAATATGCACGCGAATCCCCGCATATTTTAGCTGATGTCGTTACTAAGTATGACGTTGTTGTCTTTTTATACCCTGTACCCGTAGGGTAAAAAGGGTATATTAGGCTTGTGCAAAGTATGTAACATGCAGAAGGAAGCATCTCCGACCCCATAAAGTATATATATTCTGAATCAGCATGACGAGAGAAATCGATCTAGACATGTCCGTCCGTCTGTCCGTCCGTCTGGATGAACGCAAGGATCTCAGAGGTCCGAGAAAGGACGAGTTTATTTTATTTTTTTTAATTTTCCCCCCCTTCGGGCGCTACAGCATTTCGTCAATAGCGTCGTTCCTTCCTTCCAGAAGAGGGTAGCTGCAACTTAAAGCTGATTTAAATACTGATGGCATTTTCATTTAAGCTTAACAACAATGAATCAGTAAAACACTTTCGTTCCGACCAAATGACGCGCCTGCTACTTTTATGGGTTCCAGTTGAGGCATTGCGCTATTTTCGGCTAAAGAAGATACATGAATCCTATGGGGAACTAGTGCAAGATGTTTGTGTTTTCTCGTATATGCCAAACAAATATCGTAAAACAAACACAAAACACACATGCCGCACTTTTTGTTGTTGTTAATTCGCATGCTTACGCAGAATGAAAAATCCTGTGATTTTGGTGTAAACACACACCACACAATAGTTTTTTTTTTCTCTTTTATAAATATGCACGCGAATCCCCGCATATTTTAGCTGATGTCGTTACTAAGTATGACGTTGTTGTCTTTTTTTCTTTTGGTAACCAAAATGTTGGAATATGACTAAGTGAATTGAAAATGCAAAATTATCTTTAAAAACTATAAAAATATATAAAGAGAGAGAGAGAGAGAATACAGAATGTTAATCGCTCTTGGGCATTTTAAATGGCAGCTCCTCTCGCTCATGTTTCTGTGCGAATGTCTTGACTAAGCGATTTAGATAGGCATCTTTCTCAATTGGGGAAAACATTTTTAGGCGTTTGGTCTGCACATCCCAATTGAGGTAGTTGGGCTTCTCAATTCCCACCTTCGACCTGCTTGCCGCTGCTGTTGCCTCTTCTCGACTAGATTGGGACGATGGGTTAACTGTGTTCTGAGCAGACGATGATTCAGGCTGTTTTATACCTCTTTGGCCATTATACATACTGAGGGAACGCTCCAAGGTGCCAAGCCACTGCGGCGTAGGTTTTCCGATCACCTCTTGTGGCTGTATTTGTATTTCCTTATTTTGAGCAGCGTACGCATCCGAAATGGGCGGACTGGCATTAATATTTCGACGCTCCTGTTCCTGAATAGCCAATGCTAATGGCAAAATATCTGGCACACTCTTTACAGTCTTGTCTGACGTCTCGGGAGCAGCAGACATAGGAACTGGTCCGGCTCCATAGTCTGTTGGAAGCGGCGGGCCAGGTAATGGTACTGCAAACATTTGCGTCATGTTTGCCTGCTGGGGAGCAAAATAGGAATTGGCCAGGTTCATGGACATGCCAGCAGCCCCAGTGGGTAAGGTGTCTGCTAGCTTGGGTGTATAGGCCTCGGAATACGCTCTGTTCAGGGTCTGAAATGCAGCGGTTTGTGTTGGTGCCGTTTTGAGAATCATACGCTGGAGCATATCATCAAAATTATTAGCACAAGGCACCTGCAATCCCGATGACTGAGTGCATATTTTTTCAAATTGGATATTCGAGTTTGGCGGAGGTGAGGCAAACATGTTGGATTCTCGACGTGCCGTTTCTTTGAATCGATTGTTTAGTTGCAGCATTGTCTTGAATTGTAGTTTTTGATTCAAGGGTTTTGAATCGATGTCCACATTCATGGCTTTTGTTTCAAAAAGTGGCGTCGCAGATCGTAATTTCTTGGACTTGCGCTGCTTTCGTAATACTGCCTCTTGCTCGGTAAGCTTTATGCGATCCATTAGCTCATCCATATATACTTTAATATGCGATGTATCCTCAAAGTTGTTGGGCAAGTACCCTTTCCGCTTAAGATACACAATCGGCGCGTTCCAGTTCTCTATCACATCGCGAACAACTTCATGATAGGAATTAAGCAGCTGTTGCTGTAAGTCATCAGTTTTCATAGCAACTTTATTGTGGCTTGATTCGGCAGCTTGTATCGCATTCAGGTAGCAGCAAAGAAACAAGGCGAACAGACTCATAAGAAACAGACGCATTAATGCAAATGTAAAAAACATGACTTTTTTTTTAATTTTCTAGTGAATTGTAAGTCGAGGCTAAAGGATGCGTAAGGAAACACAGCATTGAGCAGTTCCTTGAAATTGTGCCACCGGCATGTGTAAACCCAAATTTCATTTTAAGCGAACTAAGAACCGGTTGTGATTGGCGCACAAATTTGTCTCCACTTACATTTTGTAAGCCAGCTCTCATAAAACGCAATGACACGATTTGCTATTGTCATAAAACACCTCATAAAAACCCTTAACGTGCAAGAACATCAATAAAAACCAGACCTGCGCTCAAGAACCAATCAACAAAACTCAACGCGCATTTCAATTATCAACAAATTAGCATGCCCGACAAAACAGAGACAAAACCAAATTGAATGAAATACCTAAGGTGTGATTTAGCGCAATTCAAAAAAAAAAAATAAACATATTCATACATACAAATAAAACATAAAGATGCGAAGATCCGCCAGAGGTTGGGCCCAATACACAAGATTGTTGTCAAGCGCCAAAACAACAGTAACAAGACACGCAAGAAAACTCATCTTTAAGAAATGAGCTGCGATTTTTGGGCAGACGATGGTGTTTGGCTGTGCTTGGCGCATGTTAGACAAAACTCATAATGAATGGTAAAAATAAAGCAAAGCAAAAAATAATGACAGCCGGAGAAAACTTACTACATATAGACGGTCAGATGCTCTGCAACCAAGGTTTATTTGTGATTCAGATTTTTCAAATCGAAAGCGAATTTCTTTGCTGCTTCGGTATGTATTTCCAATTCAAGCAATCGAATTTTTCGTTTAATGTTCGATTTTATTTCCATCATTCTATTTTGTTATTTTAATTTTAAGCTATAAACAAATTCTAAAGAATTGGAAATTTAATTACATTCACATTGGTAGAAAGACAATATATATCTTCGATCTGTATTATTTCAAATGAAATATTTTGAGGGAGCAGGATTAAATGGAAATTAAATACTTTGAAACTATACTTATAAATTGTTTTATTTTAGTCCCAATTCGTCAACAATTAATTACTTAAAATTCTACCATCGTAAGTAAATTGGAATAAACACGAAAATCTACAAAAAAGCGATTTGAATGCGTTTATAAAACTCAAAAATAATGGAAAACAGGAACAGGAGCTTACATAGCAAGAAGAAACTGCTGAAGCACTTTATAGAGTTCATTAAAATTAGAAGTCGATTAATTAATCGAAATTAATAAATGGCTTTAACTCCACAAAAACTGTTACATTTTTCTTCACGTCTACAATGGAGGAGTACAATGTACCAGAATCGGATGCAAGGATCTACTCATCCTTAGTCAATCCGATCACTGAAATCAAATTAATTTTGGCCCCTTAATACACTAATAGTGATCAATATATATTATTTTGAAACGGAATAATATCACAAAACGTTAAAGAATATTTGGAATAGGCAAACAGCTTCAAATAAGTTATAGAGTGCAAAGGCTTGCCGGTAGTGACGCTACCAGTCACACGCTGCTACACACACACACACACATAGATATGACATACATATTTATATTGCTATGACTATATGGGTGCCCCTCAAGCATTTTGAAGTGTGACCGCGTAAACTGAATATTCAATTTTATATTTAGCCAAACGACGTCATTTTTAGCCCGAAGCTTGTGAATGAAAGTTCAAAGAGAGGCGCGCAGACGCAAAATCGGAGATAAACATGGAGATCGAAACAGAGCAATGAGGCAATACAAACTCCAATATGAAGAGCTGGAACAGGTCGAGCGAATTCGCCAAGTCATTGTCATGCTGTAAATGGCTTCCAATTTTTGGCGCACTTCAACCAAGCGCGTGCGCATCGAGCGGATGAATCAGCATAGCGAACTCTGCTCAGTAGATTTCCAAAGTTTACATATGTATGTGCATAGTTGTATATGATTTCAACAGTAAATAAGTTGTTACATACACATAGATAGTACACTATGTATAGTATATGTATTGTTACCGTTGCGCAACCCACAGATGGGTGTAGTACGAATGTAGAGGAAATTATCATGGCACAGCTAATTATTTTAACCACAATAATCAGATAGCCAACAAAAGGCGCACACACCTCTCAGTTATTTAGACAAAGCGCTAGCATTCATTCATTCATATAATCGTGCCCCAACACCCTCCCAGCGCAAACCTCCCACATGGTACTTAAGCAAAATTGTTTCTTATGTGTATTTCGATTTGTTTTGTTTTCGCGGGAGAGTCCACGAATTCGGGTGGGTGGTTGCCGCTTCCGTAACGTCATAGTTTTACAAAGATGCCCCCCATTTCATTATACAGTAATGCATTCGTCATACCCTTTGGTGAATTACCCTGCAACTGGACATTATTTTAACAATTGGTTGTGCATTTGTATATATGAGTGAGTGTACTTTCTTGTTAGTGAGGAAAATAATTTGATAAATAATTTCGCCAATACTCAAACAATTGCATTTGTTTGCATTTTAGTTTCTCTCTCTGTTTAGCTTGTCGCACGCAGGTTATTCCCCGCGTAAATTTCGACATCTGTCAAGTTGTATCCTAATTGTTAAATAAATAACATAGCTGAAAGAGCTCTTAGAACTTTTGCAAATAGTTCTAGACTTATCTCATAGCAGAAAGAAGTTGCTTGACCGGGTCTGAGCTGCACGTGCTTTAATATATATACATACATATAGATGGAATTTCTTCCGGTTAAAAAGTTCCCCTTAATTCAAACTCAGAAACATAAAGGCCGTTAGACACGCTTTGAAATCATTAACATGACACAGCCTGAATACTCGTAGCTGACGGGAGCACGTCAAATTGTAAAAAAGTTAATGAGCAGCAAACAAATACAAAAATTGAAAGCAATTAAAGTAAGAAAAAAATGTTCTTTTATTTGAGTAGGTTGTAATTAATACTTTTTTTAATTAATGAATAATTATTGTCTGCCTTTTAAAAATATTAAAACCATATGGAACACAAACTATATGCATTATATAACTAAAATCTTAAAGCCAACGCCAAGAAAATCTGTATTCTTGGAAAAGATCTTTCAATATTATTTTTTGCAAATATTAGCAAACCAATAACATATCAATTACTAATAATACATTCATCATTTAAGGTCTGTAATTGATACACCATTCAACAATCCAGTATGCCATAATTAAATTATAATAACAGCAGAGCTGAATCTGCAATATACAAGTACTTGTAATAAGGAATTCTCATCACAAAACTAATCATTCTTAACGGGAAAAAGAAAATCAACTCCCGTTAGGGGTTTCCAGCAAAAACGTTTAAACGTTTAAACGAACTGACCCACACTCCACAATTAAAAATGTAAAGGGATTTCCAACAACAACGCCACCCACTACGCTAATAATGATGACAAAGTCCAATAAAAAGCACCTACCAATGCAATTTGAGCGCCGCGTATGGGCCTATATATCTATATACTATGTTCGTACAAGTATGTGCAAGTATATGTTCACAAACCGAAATAAAAGATCACGCGCCAATCAACTTCAAGCATCTACACCTACACGCACTAACACAAGCACGTTCTCGTAACGTGTGACAGCTCAGGTGTAAATGCAAAAGAGATAGAGAGAGCGAGAGAGAGCGCAAGCCTACTCATGAGCGTGCAGTTGAAAACAAGCAGGTTGCGCATACGCCGCGTAGTCTTTGGCCATATAAAAACGAATTTAGCAACAAATCTCAAGTCATTCGCCAAAAGTAAGTTTCTACGAGCACACGTGAAATAAAAAATCGCAAAGCAACGCAAACATAGCATAGTTTTTGGCCATCAAATAATTGTACATTGTTTCGGATGAAAATAATTGAATTGTGAGCTTTATCTTCAACAAAATATTACAAAGATATAATTAAATCTCGAAAATAAGAACAACAAAATGAATGTCGAAGAGTTTCGTACACATGGCAAGGAGTTGATTGATTACATATGTAATTATGCCACCAACATTGAGGAGCGCGATGTGGCGCCCACATTGGATCCGGGCTACTTAAAAAAATTATTACCAGGTTGGTATTCAAAAAGAAGTGCAATAAGGATTTATAACAAGATACAGTGTAAAATATTACATTATTCAGTAATATTAAAGAATATAAACGAATATATTAAAAAAATGTGGCTATGATATTTACTATGGCTCTACATACATATTTAAACATGAAGGACTCGTGCCTATATACATTGTGCGGATTAAAATAGATTGTTTAACCAAAAACCACATAGTTGAAGGTTTTATTATAGACCAAGTGATAAATTGTTCACAGACACACATACTCGTAGTTAAACTAATTTGAATTGCTTAAACAAATTAGCAAATTTTTCACTTCACACACAACAATTAAAAGGCGGTAAGCAACAAAAAGAAAAAAAAAATTACTTGAAATTCCTAAACACCAACGTGCCAATTGAAAGGCAAAAATATTTCAAATAAAATTTTCAAAACAAGCCAACGGTCGTTTTCAATTTTGTGACCGCACTCGAATCATGTGAAATCTTGTTGACTAATTATATTCAGCGCACAGTTGTGGATATAAATCATGTGAAAGCATATAAACTATTGTGTTAATAGTACATTCCAATGGTTTGTTTTTGATTTTTTGTTTGTTTGGTTTTTGTTTTACCATTATTCAAGCCCACACATGACATTAGTTTTTGCAAACTTGCGTGGTGTGTGGGTGCTTGTGCGTAATTGGGCCACAAGAGTCAAGTCGCATTAAAAATCGTACAGCACTCGAAAATATTTGAAATGTTAAAATCGGTCGGCAATTAAATAATCTACACTTATTTAAAAAGGTACAAATAATTGGGAGGTAATAACGCAGTGTTAAAATACAACCGACAAACGAATAATTTCCACACACATTTGTGTAGTTTTTAATAACAACTCTTCTTGAGTAATAAGTTGGAAGATGGAATATTCGATTCATCTCTTCTTTTACCGATCAAAATATTATACTCCTATGGGTGTTATATACCTGCACTATTTGAGTATAGGAATATTTTGTTGAATTTCAAGTGAATTCCACGCAGCTAATTAAGTTAAATATTTATAGATGTTATATACTATGTACAGATGCCGCAATCTTCAGTTCAACTAAACAAATCAATTAATTATGCATACGCAAACATACTCGATCAGTACATACGCACACATATACGAGTACACACCCGCTCACTTGTGTTTGTGTTGATGTTTTGTTTTTGCCAAAAATAGCAAGCTCGCCATAAATATTGATGTGAGCTATATCAGACTTTATAGGTGCTAAAAGAAAAGCCAAAGCAACTTGGTCTGTCGTTTAGTAAATCTTGCCTGGACCGATTGTTAATTACTCTGCTGATGTACATATATTACCTTTATTAATTTGCAGCTGACGCGCCACAGGTTCCGGAAAAGTTCAAAGATGTGCTGAAGGATTTTGAACAGAAGGTTATGCCTGGCATTGTACACTGGAACCATCCGAAATTTTTTGCCTATTTTCCGTCGGGCAATTCGTTCCCCTCGATACTGGGCGATATGTTGAGCAGTGCCATTGGTTCGATTGGCTTCTCTTGGGCTTCATGTCCAGCTGCGGCTGAATTAGAGACTATTGTGATGAACTGGTATGCGAAGGCCTTGGGACTGCCCAGGGCTTTCATATCGGATGCACCTGGTAGCACAGGTGGTGGAGCTTTGCAGGGCTCGGCCTCGGAATGTGTGCTCGTTTCACTAATTACGGCACGCGCGCGTGCAATCAGCGAACTAAAGTGCCAGACAACGGTGCACGATAGCGTATTTCTGCCCAATCTGATCGCATATGCCAGTCGGGAGGCGCACTCCTGTGTAGAGAAAGCCACAAAAATGGCGCTAGTCAAGTTACGGATAATTGAGACAGATGCGCACGGGCGGATGAGCGTGGATTTGCTGCAGCAGGCCATACAGAATGATGTTAATGCCGGACTCACGCCGTTCTTTGTTGTCGCCACGGTGGGCACCACCGGGGGCTGTGCGTTTGATGACATTACAGAGATTGGCAAAATTTGTCGACAGGTGAAGAGCATTTGGTTGCATGTGGATGGAGCCTATGCCGGCAATTCCTTCATACTTCCCGAGATGCGTGTCTTCTCTGCGGGTCTAGAGTATGCCGACTCCTTCAACACCAATCCAAACAAACTACTTCTTACCAATTTCGATGCATCCGCCCTGTGGGTACGGGATGTAATGAACCTGAAGAGCGCCCTCAACGTGAATCCTCTGTATTTGCGACACGATCATATGAATGGAGTAGACTACAGACATTATGGAATACCGCTGAGCAGACGATTTCGTGCCCTGAAGCTGTGGTTTGTTTTTCGCACATATGGTGTGAAGGGTCTGCAGGAATATATCAGAAATCACATGGCTTTGGCTAAGAAATTTGAGATGTTGGTGCGTAAGGATGACCGCTTTGAGGTCAGAAATGATGTGCATCTGGGCCTTGTGTGCTTCCGCATGCGGTAAGTTAATATCAAGACTACACTTTGCAAATAGCTGACAATTATATTAAGAAACTATGTTTCTATCTTATAAACACTTCGATTATACGATCAAAATCTAAATTTCTACTCCATACAGCACGGACGACGAACCCAATCACAATTTACTGGCACTGATAAATCATTCGGGCAAAATGCACATGACGCCGGCGAAGGTCAATGGCAGATATGTGATACGCTTCTGTGTGACGTACGAGCACGCCACGGAGCGGGACATAGTCGATGCCTGGAGTCAAATCAAAGGATTTGCCTCGGAAATATTGCGCGATGTGCAAATGGAAATAGGCTCAGCGCCCACCACACCTGAAGCGGAACGCAACAATTCAGAGCCACAGCAGCCGGTGGCGGGCAAACCTCCCATCAAAAAGAAGCTCACCCGCACCAAGTCTCTTCGATTTTCATTTACACGAAGCATATCAAAAGAAGTGTACCAAAGCCAAAGCGATCATCTTATGGATGGTTGTACGCCCATACTTGTTGTGGATCCCAAAACACTACAGCAAAGCTTCCAGCAAGCGGCAGATAAAAATGAGTCCAACAATAATAATAACAACAACAGCGAAACTAGCAACAGCAACAACAATAACAACAGCAAGCTGAAGGGCATTGCGGATGTGGACACAGATGAGGCAAGCAACTGAGCAACTTCATTAGCTGAAGTATAACGGCAAACAAATCAAGTCCCCGATTTACCTCCTTTACACATCCCATCAAATACAAGTAGTACTCGTATTAGCTTTAGTGGGGCTGAAGTAGTTTTAATAGTTGGAAGTAGAGACAAGCTGAAATGAGGCCTGTACCTAAGCGCTTTTGATATACTACTTAGTATATGTAACCTGCTCAATTGAATTTAAGTATGTATCATAGTCTGTAAGTCGCGCTGCTGAATTTCACCTAATTTATTGTGTGTTCCTATTATTATTTCAAACCATTTACTCTTTAACATATGCATATGTATTTTTTATGTATCTAGTTAAAGCTCATAAACAAAAGCACTTATTTATAAACATTTTTATGCATTTTCTCGAATAAATTATGTCCTTAAAACTATTTTGTTTACTAGTCTCTTAATCTCTTTGGGAAGTTAATATTTAAATAAAAAGTAAAGCTTCTATGAACAGACATTTAAATAATTCGAACTCGTTATTTTACAAGTATACTTTAAAATATGCCTCTCATTTGGTATAGAATTTTTCCTGGGTTTAAATAAAATAACAAACAAAACATCCAATAATAATAAATTCCAGTTTGGGGTTTTTTTCCAGTATCATTCATCAAATATAGGGATATCGTTACTCTACGAAATATTTTAAGGATAATTTGAAGTAGAGGTATGTAAGTAGTAGTAAAAATACACCTCTAATCAGAAACCCAGATTATTGCCCGAAGGAAGTTCCGCTTTCAATAGTTACCAATTGTTGGAAAGAATAAAATAAAGAGTATCAGCAAGTGGTATGCTATCAATTTGTTGTTAAACAAACCTTTCAATCAAATGTCATGAACATGAACAATCAACACATACATATGCTGTGTGTGTGTATGCGTGTGAACTTTTCAACAAGTTGGCGCATCAGCTGATGGATGGATGCTCAAGGAATTCTGATTGATTTGTTTTCGTATCAATTGGCTGCCATAAAATAAGCACTTCTGTATGGCACGCGTGCTCTATGCAATAGGAAAACTAATAATAACCACAGGCAATTACAGTCAGCTCCCATGTACCTGAATATTTAAGTACAAATTATGGAAATTGGTCATAATTGACTTTTGAGTATAGTGAATAAATGAGCTTTTAAAACTAATCAAATATTACATAATTAAAGGCAAATGTAAGTATCTGGATTACAAGAATAATAATTTTACCCTACTTTTATACTTTACAAGTTAACAATTGTTTACAAAATCCGCCAGAGGGAGCACAGAACGCTTTCTAAACTTGAAAAGTCACCAGTATAACATCTTGTACATATGTATGTATGTATGCACGTACTTTGCAAAAATTAAATGACTGACTTTCCCTCCTTAGTTCCATCATACGACAAATCAATTAAATATATCCAAAATAATAATCCTTCTATACATATAGTATGCATATTGTTAATACGACAGCACACATGTGGATGTTAATTCGCCCCGGCAACCCTGACCGATCAAAATCTATTGTGTAGGCTGCAAACTTACCTATGTATGTAAGTTCGTGCGTATGCGCAAAAATGTTATGGCAGGCACTTCCAAACTTAATTTACACAATCACTACTAATTACAGTTTAATTGCACCTGCAACACGAATTGAAATACGAAAATAAACAACTCGACTTGCTCATTGGCATAACAATCGCGCCGGTGGCTATCGATAACACGACGTGCCTTGCTATCGACAAACGTCAGAAAACGTAAACAAACGCAACAACACCGGCACGCGAATAGTTTAGTGGCGTTCTATACAATTTAAGCCTGAATAAATAAAACCATGCCGAATTGGAATCAGATACAATCACAATTGCGGAGCTCAAACAATCCTGTCGTGTTCTTTGACATTGCAGTGGGCACAACGGTAAGTGATATTTCATATATTGGAAGGGAAGGTAATTTTAAAATTTTTTTTCTCTAAAGGAAATTGGACGCATGATCTTCGAGCTATTTGCAGACACTGTGCCACGTACAGCGGAGAACTTTCGACAGTTTTGCACCGGAGAGTACCGACCCGATGGGGTGCCTATCGGCTACAAGGGAGCCATTTTTCACAGGGTTATAAAGGATTTCATGATACAAGGAGGAGACTTTGTGCAGGGCGATGGAACCGGCGTCACAAGCATTTATGGAAACACATTCGGCGACGAAAACTTCACACTGAAGCACGATTCCCCTGGACTACTAGCTATGGCCAACAGCGGCAAGGACACTAACGGATGCCAGTTTTTCATAACTTGTGCGCGATGCAACTTCCTGGATGGCAAACATGTAGTATTTGGACGTGTTCTTGATGGCCTGCTAATTATGCGAAAGATTGAGAATGTGCCGACGGGTCCAAACAACAAACCCAAGCTACCCGTAACAATTTCACAATGCGGGCAAATGTAAGACGAATGTTTAATTATATTATTATATATGTATAATAAAGTTATGAATACTTTTTGTATACATTGCGAGTTTAGGTGAATGAGAGCTATTCAATTTTCTAAATTCTCTATATACTCTTGTTCAGCGTGTAATTGACATCAACCAATGTTTTCTCTTTACGCAACGTCTGGCAATCTTCGATTATAAAGCTGCAAAATATTATTTTGAATATACCATCTGTTGATATCTTTTCAAGATAACTCACTCGTAGTAAAGAGGCATTATTGGTACAGTAGCCAAATGCCACAGGGCGTGAGCATCGATTATCCATAGAATAGGCGGGAAATCGAGCAGCTCTAAACTCATGGCCATGGTAAATAGCACATAGAAACGTAATATACGTTTATAGTATGGACGTCGATATCGTACTAATCTGCACCAGATAAACCAGCCTACAGTAGCGAGAGCACCAGTTGCAATGTTAACTTTCATGTTAAAAGAATAGTTCAGCTTGCCGACGCTCAGATATGCAATATAGTTAATGTAGTACGAGACGAAGGCTAAAGTAAGCACACCACGAATAAATAGTGAGTAGCGATGCACCATGCTGCAATTGTACATGTATGTATGCATACAGATACTTTAAATATGTATAGCAAAATAATATTTACCGCATTACCATACAATATAGATTGCTTAATACAATGGAGTAGGCAAAGACGTAGTCCATCAACTCGGTCAGGGGAACATCTCTGGTATGAAATATAGCAGACCAGATCCAGCCATTGAGGCAGGAGAAAGTAAAAACATGGGCCACCTTAAACCCAGGGCTATCCCGCCTCACCTCCCGGCGTAGCTTTCGCAGCATTTTAATATGCACAAGGAAATTCATAATCGAGAAAATCACGGATGCAGGTTCTTGCATGCCAAACAATCTAAGGAACGGCCATTTTCCGTAAAACTGAGGAATGGGCCAACCCCGTTCCATAAACGCGAAAACAGTGCTCCACATGCATGCTATATAATAGTCAGATAATACATAGATATGTAGTAATCCATTATATCTTCATTATATACTCACAGTACATGCACTCGTCGGCGCACGTCCACTGGAAGAGCCGATCAAATATGGATTGTCCGTAGTATTTAATGGCCTGCTCCTGAATTTCTATGCCATCTGCAGCAATAAATAATCAACACTCATTGTAATTAATAAACATTATGTATGTATGTATGTTATGTATATACGTACCTGCAGAGCAGTTTTGTCTCTCGCAATTATGCCGGCAGTTATGAAAGAACTGGGTACGGTCTCCGCTGGAGGCGTCACATGTTATAATCGCTACCGCTAAAATTAGCAGGAGACATATTGCACTTATGTTCCAATATTTCATTTTTGTGATTAATCAAATAGCAAGTAAAGCATTTTAAAATTGTAAACCGTTCTAAGTTTGTAAACAAGTCAGTATTGATTTGTCATTAGTGGTGGTAGGTTGAATCCGATATACAAGTATTTACTATCGAAAGTGCTTTTTTGTGAATGGCAAAAATTGGCTGTCAAATTTTGGAATCTGTCGCAATTGCATCTGTGTGGTGTTTGCACTGCAAACGCGATGGAAAAATCGTAAATAAATGGAAAATCGCTCAACATTGTAGCAATGTTGAATACGAACTAAGGCAGCTAAGCTAAACAGTATTAGTGATCATTTATAGAGCCATGCCATCAATTAACTTAGGCATAAACTAATAAATAAGTTAGGTCGCGAGTGTAGATCAAACAAATGTCAAAATATTTTACCAATGCAAGCCCTAATAATTCCAACAGCAGCCAGGTTGGAGCTTCGTCCGCCCACGCGCCTCGATTGACTGAAAACAAGGAGCAGTTCTTTAAACACCAACAGCAGAACAGCGAAACTAAACGAAAGCAACAAAACAAGGTATATATTTATGTATGCATCTCAACCTCACGGAAGGTGCACTTTGATAAGAAGTGCAACGAGGCGGCATTATCTGTTTTGAAAACATACACTGAATAAATCATTTTACAGCGCGAGGCATTGCTACTCATATTCATAATGCGTCTGAATCTAAAAGTTGTACTCATCGCTTTAATTGTCGCCGTGGTGATAACCCTAGGAGCTTATATGCGCTCGCCCGACTACTCGCACGATCTCGTACGTCATCTGGACCGAAGGCTCTTTCGCACAGGTAGCAGCGAGTCGCAGCCCACTGGTGCCCATCCACTGTATGCAGCACCCTTGCAGGACATTGAGTGCAATATAAATCGGGAGTACAGCATACATTGCAAACGCGATGAAGAGGCAAACGAAGTCTACGTTCCATTCTCCTTTCTCCGGAACTACTTCGATGTGAGTGGTGCGGTCACCACCAGCGGTACCGAAGACAATAAAGTGCCTACATTTAATTGGATGCATAGTAATTCCAAAGTGAATTATCCAAAGGGCAAATATGATCCACACGGAGTCTTTACCTACTTCGAGAACTACAACGTAGAGGTGCGCGATAGGGTCAAATGTATCAGTGCAGTAGAAGGTGTGCCTGTGAGTACGCAGTGGGAGAAGCGCGGCTACTTCTATCCCACGCAAATTGCCCAATTCGCGTTGGCACACTATAGCAAGAATCTAACAGAGCCGGAACCACGTGTCCATATACTCGAGGATGCAGATGGCAACCAAATGGAGTGGACAACGCCTAAGAACAGCAACATGACACGCATCTGGCATCATAAGTTTAACACAAATGTCGTACAATATGAGACTGCGATTGGCTATGAGAGCGCAATTAGTATTAATGTCAATCAAACCATAGATTTGGTGCTTTGTGTGGATTTGCTGCTCGTAACCAACAGCAGCAGCCTGATGGTCACCGTGCAGAATCGAGATACTAGACATATTTACAATTTACACTATATACCTGCCGATCTGTTGCTCAGTGTCCAGGACTCAAATATCTATTATGGGTTGGGCAGTGCGGCACTCAACAGATGGCGGCACATTACACGTGACCTGCATATTGACCTGCAAAAAGGCATCGTTATGGGCGACAAGCATTCACCGCTGAAGATGCGACGGAGTGATTTGGAGGTGCTGGCCATTGCTTTCCTCGGCATTGGGTTCTATGACAATGTAACGCTGTCGACAAGCGATCATTTGGCGCATTTCTACGATGCCGCTGAATGGTTTGTAAACAATCAGGATGCAAAGACAGGCGGCTGGCTAAATCCTGTTCGGCGCAATCTCAACGGGTTTGCGGAGCTCCGTCCTGGCTGGATTTCGGCAATGGGACAAGGACATGCGATATCTGTGCTGGCACGAGCCTATTGGCATTCGGGCGGGGATGCGCGATACTTAAAGGCAGCAGTGCTCGGCCTAAAACCATACCATGTATTTTCGCACAAGGAGGGCGGCGTATTGGCCCAATTCATGGATAAATACTATTGGTGAGCATATCTGCATTTTAAACGATGTGTACAGAAGTCACATTCAATTTCTTAACTTTTAAACTAAGAGTAAATACATGTTTTGTAGTTTTATTGTTGTTATACTTACTCTTTTCCTCTTGAAAAGGCGAGAAATTGTGTTAATATATCTAAAACTTATTTCGTTTTTGTAAAAAGTATGGATTTAAGTTCTTAATTATTTTTTTTATTATTTATGCAGCATTACCTAACCATAACTACTGCAGAATGGTTTAAAAAAATAATCAATATGTTACATAGAACCAAATTCTAAATGCCACAATTTAATTTAGTTATTTAATGAATAGAAGAGATTATGCTGACTTTTCTTTGCTTTAATGATAGGTACGAGGAATATCCCACAACGCCTCCCTCCCTAGTCCTTAATGGTTTCATTTACTCGCTGCTGGGACTCTACGATCTCAACTCCACGGCGCCAAGCAGCATAGCACGGGATGCTGGTAAACTCTTCACCCAGGGCATGTATTCCCTAAAGAAAATGCTGCCTCTTTATGATACGGGTTCGGGAAGCATTTACGATCTTCGTCATCTTAGCCTGAGCGGCGTGAGTGTGGCGCCCAACTTGGCACGCTGGGATTACCATGCCACGCACGTGAATCAGTTGCTGCTGCTGGCCACCATTGATAGAGATCCATTGATAGCACAAACAGCCGAGCGGTGGAAAGGCTACATGTTTGGCAAACGGGCCAAGCACAACTGAGAACGGAGAAAGCAGGCGCAACGACGCCCGCTTTTACCCAAACGTGATATTTTTTGAAACTTGTGCGTCGTGCTGCCCCCCTATATCCCATTTTAAATGGCTTTAATTTGTTGCGTCTTTATTGCAATTGGAATTCTTGTCACTGTTAGCAACGAATTTAAGTTTCAAGTTTATTTTTAAGTTTCGTTCTACTGTGTGTTCTTAACTCGTCCAATTTTGACAAATTTATTTTTGTGCTTAATCCTTATAGTATTCGATATATGTATATGTATATTTAAGCGCTTAACGTCCTGCATACCTTCATAAACATCATAATCAGCTGTTGCATAGGGTATTTGTTAAACATTATTATTTATTATTGATGTAGTTGTACTGGAAAAAAAAACGAATGTAGTTGCACGCGTATTTTAACGGACAATATCGTGACGTGAGACACGCGCAAAACTCAAAGCTCTAATATGCTAGATTTTTGTTCTACTGTTGTAGTTTTTACTGAGCAAACAAAAACACACCCTGTATAAAGTAATGTAGAGAGCTTAGCATTATAAAACACTTACGAGTATATACGTATAGATCTAAACACTTGTACTTCTTTCTATAGACATGATGCCACAAGTTAACTGTAGTATTGGTTTGTTAGACTTTCAAAAAATTTCAAATAGAAAAACACGAGATTAACTTTAAAGTTAAGATGGTAGTTTGCATATCGGGACTTAAACAAAATACCCTAAAGTTACAATAATTGTCAAAATGTGTTAACGCAAATAATGATAATAACAGCAACTAATATTTACATATATAAATGTATATATATGTAATCAAATTGATTGTTGTAGGCCACTTTAAGATTTCTCAACTTAAACGATGCCATTCCATTTTAATTTTAACAACCTACCTAAAAATACCGGAACTGTCAATTAGGCAAAATTTTGAAAGCGGTTCACTAAAACATTTTCACACATTTTCTCCATTGGAAGCAAATTACAAACAAACCCCAAACGAGACTGTTGAATAACTCTTAACTAACGATTGATTTTAAAATTGATTTTAAGCGAACGAAATCGAAGTACTTACTTATCTTGTGTGTTATTAACTATAAATACATAACAGATACATTTAAAGCGAAAATCTTTATACGAGTTGTTGTGTTTATTTATTTACAATTTACTAAGAGTCCTGAACATTTAAAATTACTGTGGCAACGTAATATACAAACATTTAACTTAATCGAATGGGATAAAATGGGGCGAAAAGACTTTTAGTTGTAACTACGTCTACGTCACATCTGTCATGAGCGCTTCGACGTCAGGACATGCGATCGTATTGAGGGAGGGCCGCTGCGTCTTTGCACCTCCTCAATGAAAGCGCCCTCCATTTGTACACAAATCAGATCGAAGAATATATTTGCTATATTGCTGTGTAGGAGCGACTTGAACTCAAAGGACACCTTGAAGTCTAGCACGCATGAGTTCGGTATGTCTTTGAGGCCAGGACTGAATCGCCATTCATTCAACAGATAGTTAAACAGCCGTCCATCGTGACACTCTGACTTCACCAGGTTGGGTGGGTCAAGAGTCACGCGCGATGTGTATACCTCGTTGAGCGGTGGGAAGCCAACAATAAGGTCCGCCTTGAAGCCACTGCTGTCAGCGCTATGTACGTGAGATTTCTTCACATACGGAACGAATTTGTGATAGTTGTTAACATCCGCCACTACATTATACATTTCCTGCATGGAGTAGCTGTGGTTTCGGAAAATTAGGCTCTTGTAATTAATAGTGCTACTGCCACTTACCCAACCAGCTCCTTTTTGCTGTACCAGCGGTTCTTGTTCCGAAGGTCATTGAAAGTTATATAGGAGCGGTGTATGCCATTTACGAATGAACGCGTACTCGTCTGGCGGCAACTGCAACGGAACGCGTAATATAATCTGAGTAACAGTTTTACGTTGCCAAAGTATGTATATACAAATTTAAATGAAAATGCTGCGGCATTCGAATGTAGAGTTCAAGAGCGCTGCCGCCCCCAAATGCCAAACATGTGTAGAATATGTGAGCTTGAATGTTATATAATTTATGTATATTTACCTGCTGACCTTATTTCAATGACGCGCTGAAATATTCTGACATCTAATGCCTTCAGTGTGGCGCCTTTTAGCATTTTTGGCAAAGCTAAGTTGTTAATAAAACACTCTATTCAAACAAATATCTGCTCTATACCTAAAACGCACCCACAATAAAGAGTGTTGCCAGACCTTCGCCAGCTGTTGCATTACTAAAATTTTTTCAACAGCTGTGAGTGGGTTTTTAAAAATTTGATTATATTTTCCTAAAATAACCCAAAACATAGCACAACTAAATGAAAATTGTATTTTAAATTAATAAAATTTGCAAATTAATTATTTTTGGAGAGAAATCTTGCGCGTTTTAGCATCAAATAAATTTTAAGTCAATTTTGTTTTAACAATTTGCGGCCGTATTTGTTGTGTTGGTCACATTGCAACGTCATATGAATAGGAGAAGGAAAAACAAATCTTAAATACTAGTAATAAGAAATATCCATATTCAGAATTGGTACAATTAAGATTCGTAAATCGTTTCAGCTTTTCTTTAAAGCTGTGTGCAATTAAATCAGCTATTAATTTATTCTCGATGCCCAGCTGTCATTTCAATTGCTTCCGTAAGGCCGAATGTTTCCATTTTTAGAAATTTATTATTACTATCCATAAATTGTTAGCTTATCAGGATAGGTACAAAGATAGCTCAGCGCCGATACCAAATAGCTTGGCGAAAGTTTAAATATCGATACCTCCATGACACGACCATTTGGAATTGGTTCTTTCTTGGTTTCAAAACAGCTGTTACTTACCTGCTCTGATAATGCAAAGTACCACTCATGTAAGTGGGTTTTTGGGTAATTAATGACCTATAGCTACTTTTTAATTGCAGTTTCGCTTGCATCGATTGTTCGAAAATGTAAGACAACTATCCAGACATCGTCATTTCCAAAGCCAACGATTTGTCGAGCATCAGCACAAACGAAAACCTGCCGTTGCCACTCATCGTCTGCGGCTGGGTCTGCGCAGTTTTATTATTACAGGTGTGACCGGCTTTATCAGCTACGATGGACTTGTTAATGAGTTTACCTATTGCGGGGCAGCGGTACGGTTTGTGCGGTCACTTAAAACAGCGACCCTAATCGCCATTGATTATATGTTATTGAGGAGCGATGATAACGAGTACGATTCTAAATTGAAAGTATTACATCGAAGGAGTGCCGAACGGTTGCTAGAAACGTGTCTAATCAATGGAGGATTGTATATAAAAGTCGGCCAGGGCTTTGCCGCAATAAATCATATATTGCCAGAAGAATATACTGATACGTTAGCGCAGCTTCAGGACAAATGTCTCCCCACATCGCAGGCCGATGTGCAGAAATTGTTTCGCCAGGACTTTGGACAGCTACCCGAAGAAATTTATACTGAATTTGACTACAAACCCGTGGCTGCGGCAAGTTTGGCGCAGGTGTTCAAAGCAAAGCTGCCAAGTGGCGAGGCGGTGGCCGTAAAGGTGCAATACAATGATCTTCAGAAGCGCTTTATAAGCGATTTGGGAACAATCATATTTCTGCAGGATATTGTGGAATTTTTCTTCAAGGACTATAATTTTGGCTGGATTTTAAATGACTTGCGAAAAAATCTGGTGCATGAGCTGGATTTTGTGCACGAGGGACAGAATGCCGAACGTTGCGCCAACGATATGCACAAATTCGATTACGTTCATGTGCCAAAGGTCTTCTGGCCGTACACCAAAACGGTTAGTGGTCAATTGTCCAATATCATTGAAGTGCCGATTAATATAGTGTTTTATTCGTTTTAGCGAGTGCTTACTTTGGAGTGGATGGATGGTTTGAAGATAAGTGACACGGAAGGCATTAAAGAGCAAAAATTAAGCTTACGGGATGTGGATGTCAAATTGTTTCAAGTATTTGCGGAGCAGATTTTCAGCTCGGGCTTCGTGCATGCTGATCCGCATCCAGGCAATAGTGGGTATCATATATAACCAATGCACTAAACCAGTAGAGGCCAAGGAGGCGGATTTACATCCCTCTATCGTATTATTTTCAGTTTTTGTGAGAAGGAATGCGGAACGCGGCAATGCAGACATAATACTGCTCGACCATGGACTATATGAGGAACTGCCAGAGCCTGTGCGTGGTCCCTTGTGTGAGTTTTGGGAGGCAACTGTATTGCGAGATGAGCGAAAAATGGAAAAAGCCGCTCAAAAATTGGGAATTGTGGACTACATGAAGTTCGCTGAAGTGCTCTTCCAGCAACCCATACGCATTCATGGCGGCCGGGTGCGCAGTAAGCTCTCGCAGGAGGATATCGACTACATGCAACTAGTTGCGAAGCAAAATTTCGATGCCATCATGAGCACGTTAAAGGAAATGCCTCGCAGCATGCTATTTATAGTTCGTAATCTAAATACAGTGCGTGCCATTAGCCATCAACATGGGGATATAGTGGACCGACCACGTCTAATGGCCCGCTATGCCCAGCATTGTCTGTACGAACGCGATGGCGACTCGCCCTTCTCCTATTTCCGTTGGCTATGTCGGCGCTTCTACTTCGAATATTGCCTGTGGAGTGCGGCCATGAAGTTGCGCCTACTTGACGTGTACTTTAATCTGTTATACCTCCTCGGGCGGTCGCCTTCGAAGAATGTCATGCGGGATTTAATGCAGGTCCCCATTAGCTAGCGTGCTTACCCAATAAAAACTGTAACCTTGGCTTAAAAGATCCTTTATTATTTCTACATTATTGTGCAAAATGAACCGCCTTCCGCCTGTGGTGTTGCTAGGCCCATCAGTTCCTTTTGCTTAAGCTCTAGGTAAGTATTTTCATTTCGTTTTTCCATCCATTCGGGCAGCGGCTTGGCCCAATCCTCTGGCGGTTGTTTGCGCTTCTCCCATGTATTATTCGCATAATGAGCGTGCAGGCGAATTTGTCTCCGTTGCTCCTCGCTCTTTATGATCGCCTGGCCAGCAACCACATCGTTTCCATTGGACTGTTGGAAGCGCTCACAATTTTTATAGTCGGTCAGCCATTGCGAGCAATCGCTGTCCTTGCCATGGATGAAGTACTGGTGGAAACGTGCCTTAAAACTGCTACAATCGTCGTATTCATCCTTGTACAAGTGGCATGGCCGAATCTACGAGTACTTGCACAGTCACCGGTCTGGTTTATGGTCAATTCAGTAGTTTATTACTTACCGCCCATGCATCCTTTAGCGCTGTAGCCTGTTCTTCCGGGTTTGTCTCAGCTTTTTCGTTTTGTCTGCCCATTATATAAAATAAAGTCGAGCGAGATGCGGCTGGCAGCTGATTTTGTTTATGTTGGGAGCTGCCGGAACCAGTACATCACTGGTTCATTTTTTCCTCACGTGCACATTAGTATCGACATCGAAACTTCATGACGAGCCCATTTGAATCACAACTTAAGTAAGCACACTTCTAGGCGCCGTGCGCGAATCAGATTTAAAAAATATTACTCAATTAATAGAAAGGAGAACTTTTAAAAAGAAATAAAGACCCAAGTATGGCACGGAATTAGGGCAACATTACAAATTCGTATTGCAATGAAAACTATACGTTTGTATATAATAATGTTGTATATATTTGTATAAAACCAAGTTTTAACTTATTTTTTTATAGTTAACAAAGAACTATTAACTTTGCAAGAAAAAGAGCAATATAAATATAAAAATAAAATTCAACAAGTGAACCAAGCAAAACACGTCGAAATTTTTATTTGCTTAACAAACTTATTTTAGCAACTAATTGGTCCTTTTTGTATAGTGCGGTTGATATTAACCTAGCCGTCAAGTTTTTCTACGACACTATTAATGCTCTTTTTGATGTATGTATGTCTGCGTCATCAAAACCTCTTTGGTTTTCACCAAGACTTTCAAACTTAAAAAATCGAATTTTGTTTTTCTTAATTCCCGATGTTATAATAATTACCTTGCCCGATGCAAGATGCAATTTGGAAAAACTGCTTCTCTACATTCATCATTTTTCCTTAGTGACAAAAAGCCAGCAACGATTCTGAAGCTGCTGACTTGTTTGCCAACTTCATCCAGTCAACTTATTCCTCTGTCGCTATTAGTAGTACCTCTTATCCTTATAGCATTTCATCTTCCCACACTATTTACGCTCCCATAATTACTGATAGCTGTCTACTTTCTGCTATCAAATCATTAAAATCTTCATACTGTCCTGGAGCAGACAACATTTCTAGAAGTGTTCTCAAGGAGTGTTCTAGTTCCCTTTTACAGCCATTACTTAAAATCTTTAATCTGTCACTTGGTTCCTCAATCTTTCCACCTATTTTGAGAGAATCTTTTATTATTCATCTTCATAAAAAGGGTGGTAAGTCTGATATTTCAAACTACAGAGAATTGCAAAGTTGTCTGCCGAATTATTTGAAAAAATAGTTTGCAGCACCTATGTAAATCTGTTATCTCAACGTATCTTGCTTAGGTCGCATATTTCTAAGTCTGTGTTTGCATCATCAGGTGTGCCTCAAGGTAGCCATCTTGGCCCCTTACTTTTTACATTATTTATTAATGACCTCCCCGCTACCTTGTCACACTCTCATATTCTTATTTATGCTGATGATGTGAAACTTATTCTGACTTACAAAGACCCTTCTCATTTTCATAGCCTGCAGGATGATCTGAATTGCATGCAATCTTGGTGCTTAGCTAACCACTTGCACCTCAATTGCTTTAAATGTAAGTTCATGACATTTCACCGAACCTTGCTCATTTAGGGACGTATACGATTGACAATGTGCCATTGCAACGCATATCGACTGTTGAAGACCTTGGGGTTCTTTTTGATTCCAACTTGAACTTAACCCTTCACATATCCAGTATTGTCAATAAGGCCAAGGGATTACTTGGATTCATTAAACGTTGGTCCAAGGAATTTAATGACCCTTATACCACTAACCTTCTTTACACTGCTCTAGTACGCCCTGTGCTTGAATACTGCTCATGCGTTTGGTCTCCGCAGTATAGAAAGCATCAGGAAAGTATTGAGTGTGTTCAGAAGCAATTCCTTCTTTTTGCTCTACGTGGTTTAAGCTGGGATCCCAATCTCTGCTTGCCATCGTACTCTAGTAGACTGATGCTAATAAGCCTTCCTTCCTTAGTAAATCGTAGGACGGTTCTCTGAATAGTTTTTCTCCACAAGTTGGTTATCGGTGAGGTTGACTCCTCTGCCCTCTTAGGTCGCCTTAATTTTTCAGTTCCTTGTAGACCAACAAGGAATTATTTGCCGTTCATATTGGCAAGATGTACAACTGATTACGCTTTGCACAATCGTTTTCGGGTCATGTGCAGCCATTACAAGTATAATGATCTTTCACATTTACTTTCGACAGGACTCTCTTTCTCTCTCTCTCTGTTCTATCAAAATTATTGTTTATAATTATCTGCGGGGAAATCTCTGACCACTAACTGCTGTGAGTTGGGGCATAGCTGTCCAACTGGCAAATAAAATTCCCCCAACATGTCGGAGGCATTAATAGACGCTATTGTACAGCTTTGTGTTAGGCTTTCTTATCTTTTAAGTTTAGTTTAAATTGTTATATTAAGTTATATAATCATATAATCGACAGAATTATTGTTGATTTTCTAAATAAAATAAAAATAAAAAAAAATTAAATAAAAGAAGTAGAGTAAAATAGGATTAGATACTGTCAGAATCAAGTTGCAAGTATATTAATGATGAAATAGTCTTAATGGAGTGTTCGAAGGATATGCTGTGCGAAAAATGATTGTAATTAGAACAGAACACACGAAAGGGTTCATGTGAAGCAAAGTTAGACCTACAAATAGGGAATCGAAAGGTATGAAATGCACGACTAAATCTTAAGGGAACTGCCAAGTCTACGTGGATAAGAAGGAAAGGGGAGTCTATATCACCAAAAATAAGTTTGTGAAGGAGGGTGACTCCTGAACAAATTCTACGGTGATGTAAGGATGGTAGGTCTATTAGTTTTAATCTGGATCTATAAGGAGGCAATCGGCTGTACGGTCCAAATTTAGACTCCGAAGGGCAAACAGTAAGAATTGTTTTTTGACAGATTCAATCAACATTTCTGGAAGTACCAAATTTGGTATCGAGGTTCCTCCACGCCCTAGGGCAATTTTTTTTCCGTAAATACACCCGTAAATAGCAATTTTCCATAGCTCCCATATTATTTGAATTTCTTATTCAAATTTGGCAAATTACTTCCGGTTAGTTCTTATGTATGTGTACGTATGTGCTCGTTTTATCATGATAAGTCAATTTAAAAGAAAGTTACAGCCATAAATGTCATGTCTGCCTCAGCAGCTGTTATTATTGTTGCTTTTTTGGTTCAATTCTGTACTTCACTCATAATCATAAATGGAGAAGGATACGCGCAAGGTACAGGGTATGTAAGAGTTGGGGCCGCCGATCATTCCATTTAAATAATTAAAACGTATTTTTAACATTTCTATCGAATTCAAACGATTATCACAAGTTTTATTTGCTTAGACAAACCCGTTCCCGAAGATATGTAAGTATTTTTAATTTTTAAAAATTGTATTTAAAAAACGCAAAAAACAAATGTACGAACGATGCATTGTGTTGTCAATTATTCTTATTGTTTTTTTAACCATCCATTTTTATAGAATTTAGCACAGTATCATCGTCTAAAGCTTTTTAAATTATTCAATTCACTACAAATCTGTGGAATTCGTTTGCTAATTATGAAGGTTTGTATAAAAATTTTTAAGTATAAATTCACGAATGTGCTCCTGCTGAATTCAAATAGAATTCAGAATAATACAATTTTTATAATTCATATTGCAAGCACAATTTTATCCCCGTAATTACCATGAAATGAAAAACTAATAAATTCCTTTCATTTTATACTTGTATTTTTCAAATATTTTTGTTTGTGTTAGCAAATAATTGCACAGTAATCAAGTAATTTACACATCAAGACGCTAAGTTTAATTTAAGTTTATGATTTTGTGTTTACCCGCTTTCTGCCAGTCAAATATTCATATTGGGCATCAATTTAAACATTTTGATCTGAAAATAATACAATTTTCTGTGTAATTGCGCTCACAAAATGCTTAAAAGGGTTTTTAGGTCACTATCGAACTTAATTAAAGCCTTTTAAAGTACATAAATGTAAACTAGCAAGATTACAACAGAACTTAAAAAATTAAAATAACGTTCATTCATTTTCAAACTTCAAATACATATATGTAAATCTTATTAAGAGCTAAACCCGATGGCATGATAAACTAAAACGAAAATATACAGAGTAATGGTGAATATTTGAAAATTTGTTTCTGTTCTTTCAAAAACTTGCTACGTATTGCTAGAACCGTTTTGTACACATATGTACTGGGGTGAGAATCGGGAATTGGGCAACTACAATTCAAAGCATATATGTAAGTATGTATATATAATGTTTACGTGTAAATGTAGTATGTATGTATGTATATTAGGTTTAGGTTTATGTGTAAGGATTTATATCTAGAATTAAACTTTAGTTTGACTTTTAAGACTTAGAATCTAAAAATGAAGCGCACAACGACTCTATTTGTGTGCTGCCCACGAAAACTGTTCCGATCTACTAATAGCTGTTGCTGATCATCAAACATCATCATACATTATCCTTTGAACATCATCATTAATCGCTTTATGCTATTCTTTTTCTTGCCATCATACCACAGCTAAGGCAGCACACAGTCCAGTTGCAATAGTTGTAATAATTGCCGCTGTTGGTAGTGATGATAATAACAGCTCGACAGTTAGTATTTGTTGTGCTGTGCCAGCAGCTGCATATCTGTCAGATACTTAATGATGTGCACCTTAGCCTCGGCCTTTTGCCGCACGCCCAGCGTGTTGAGCATATCGGTGACGACCATGCCAAACGATTGGTCTTCGGCGCTAACTGCCTGCGATACATTGTTTTGGAAAATCTTGATGGTGTTCAACATGTTGTCACTGTGCTCCTCCTCGGTGCGTTCTCGCTTCATTGGGGGCTCGTAGAAGTAAGGCTTCTGGTCCTTGCCCACAGCGGTGGCCAGCTGCGTGTCGCCTGTAACTGTAATTTCTAAATACATCAACTTGAGTGTAAGCTCGTGAAACAACAAATTAAATGCAATAAAAATTCGTCACACAAATGCATGCGATTGGGATCCTTACCATGCGGATGGGTCAGTGCCTGGGCAGATGTTGTGGCGCTTCCATTAAATGGTTGCGCAAATATATCAACAACTGTCTGCTGCTGCGCTTGCTGCTGCTGTGTCGGATCGGCCACCTGATTGGCATTCTGACTGCCATTGGCGCACTTGCCGAGCAAGGACTCGCGGTACTGCCTGATAGAGTCAACCAAAAACTGCATCTGTTTGAAGTAGCGCCAGCGGGACTCCTGGCAAAGTTTCATTTCACGAGCGAATTTATCACGCAAACTTTTCCAGCGCTTCGTGCATTTTTGTTCTGTAATTATAGAAAAGAATTTCGATCAGATCTTCGTTCGCAAATAATTCCAACTTAACTTTAACATAACATTAAAAAAAAACAATCAAAATAAATATAACAGTTGAATTTTGCCTGAGTGAAAATTTGTATTTTGATTCCAAGAGCCTCTTCAAGTATAACTTTTAATTACTTTATACCGCGTATATTATTTAAAACAAGAAAAGAATGTTAAGAGTTAAGCGGAATTAAATACTAAAATACCCTGTACCCACTCCCACTGAAGAAAAAAACAAATTCAAATTATTAATTAATTAAAAAATTAAGGTAATTTACTTAATTAAATATAAAAAATTCAATACATAAGTAGAGACATATTTATGTTTATTTAGTGTTTCAAAAGCATACAATAATTATCAGAATCGTGTCTATGCATGTTTATGTGGGTGTATGTATGTGTTCAATGCAGAATTAAGTCAAAGCGACAACAACTGCGGTCTGAATTTAATTTATGGCTAAAGCTTTCTTTAGAATTTATGATGCGGGGAAGTGGGGGGAAAAAAGGAAAATAACTCGAACTCGTACTTTTTCTGATATCTGGATATCAACTTTGGCTATTCTATCTATAATATACTTACATACATACATATGTATGTATGAGCATACTAAAACCGTTAGTTTAAAGAAAACAGCACTTCCTTTGTTTTTCCCCATGGAGCATTTGAATGCATAAAAGAATGTGAAAACATTGGAGAACTTAATATTAATGCCGATAGTAGCTATTACCCGGAGTAGGTGGGGGTGTGAAGAATGTGCACGTAGTACAAACTACTACTACATACATATGTATGTACGTATGTATGTTGCCTCGCCGCAATCATCAAATCACAATAACAATCCAAAACCAAAACAAACCACAACGCACACTTTAGCAGCCAGCTGACAGAAGCAGCAGCAAAAGCCAAAGCCAACATCGACAAATCCAAAGCAACGCACAGTGACGACGCGCCGTCGACAGAAGCAGCAGCTTCCGACAGCCATTGACGTCAGCGTCTCCGTCATCGCCACCGTCGTCGCTCTGACTGTTTTTTGGTGGAATTTGCGCGCCTGTTTGCTGCTGACGACAGCAGCAGTATTGAGCAGCGGCGTTACTGCCGACTTCAACTGTATGTGATGCCCAACGCGGGTAAGCAGACCAAAACCTGTCGCTCGGTCAGGTGTGTTGCATACAACAATCGTGTTGACAGCTTTGGCGCCAAAACACTCCGAGCACACTAGATTCTGGTTAAAGCAATTGCATAACTCGAAAATGTATCTACTATGTACACAATTGCATGTACATACATACATATATGTATGTATAAACAAATTTTTAGTTGTAGACATCAGTGACATGGGCGCAGTGAATAAAATTGATATTAACGAGTACAAACATACATATATACATATGTATGTAGATATGCCTATAGAATTTATATATGTGTGTATAAACAATAACTATATCTCAAAAAGTGTTGCCAATTTAGCTATTTTATCGCTAGTTTTGCTTGTAAATTTACGGCTGGCTGGACTTAGCGATTTTGGAAGATCAGCAAGCCTTTTCCTTGTCATGTGATCATAGTATACCAACTCGTTTTAAAGATGATAGACATTTTAATTTGGTTAGCTAGAAATATCAAAATATAGAAATTCTGAAGCTCAAGAATTGGCAACATTGCTTACATAATGGCAGTTGCCAGATGTGTTTACATACAATCATACATAAACAAATCGAGGTATATGTATATGTACATATGTATATACATATGTATGTAATTGGACGATACATTTTTATTTACGTATATACATACTTATGTACATACATATGTATATGTGTGAAAAAATTGTGCCTAATCAAATGACGCACAATGTACATACCAATAATATACATACATACATATATACTATATATATTATATATGTATGTATTAACACATACATACATACATACAGAAGTATACCACGAAATGAAAGCTGAGTTGCTCGAACCAGATGGGACAGATGGATGGACGGACAACTGCAGCAATCGGTTGCGGCCGACAGCCGTATACGAAAATAAACGTCAGCTTGGGCCGCAAACGCCAGCAGCGTAAGTGCGACTGAGACGGAAACAGCGACGCGACGGCTCGGCGACGCAAAAGTACAGCAACTTCAAAAATATTGACTGCACGCACACACACACAAAATATGTGCGCGCAGGTGTGTGCAAGGGGCGCCCGCTTAGGGCGCCTTAAACATTTTATTATATTTTGTGAAATGATAAAAACCCCTTTAATGTACACGATTATACAAATTGTTTAAAAGGCTATCTAATTTGGACCATACCAATATTTAAAAGCATATTTCGATAATAAAAATCATCTTTTTTTGGCGCCTAAAATAATTCCTAACAATTTCGCTCCTGAAATTTCACAATTTCTTGTGTCTGCTACTGCGCCGTCGTCGTCGTCGCCGTTCACTTTTGCGTCGTTTCTGTACACTTGCTTTGCTGCCCGCTGTCTCCGTCGCCGTCGTAGCTTCCAACCCACTCTCGGCGCTCCCTCTCCAATACTATACAGAATTTAATCAAAATTTCACTTACCAGGCACACCGAGCGTTTCGGCGATTTGCTTCCAGGTCTGGGCCTTGCGCACAAAATGTTTGTAGTTATAGTGAGATCGATCGTAAATAACTGGATTCATCTTAACAGCTTCGATAAGATTCAGATCGAATTGCTGTTCCAAATTTGCGTCCAATTTATCCATCTCGATGGCTGATGTTAGTGTGTGCACTGAATACGCAATGTTATAGTACAGTTTAAACTATGTTGGCAAGGAAAAACTCACTTAGTTGTTGTTTGTTAATTGTTTGTAATAATTGGCGCGCGCGCACGTTGTTTGTTTTTATTTTGATTTCGGGGTCTTCTTCGAAGAAGGAAAAAGTCGCGACGTCGACGTTTAATTTTATTTTCTCAGTCGCTGCCAACTGTGAAATTTTTACCCAAGAATGCAGTAAGCGTAGCAGTCGGCTGTGAAGCAGCAGCACTTCTATGTCTAGTATGTATTTTTTCCCGAGACGTGACGAAGCAGCGACGAATAACGCAGAAATAAAGGCGTCGCGTTGAAGCAAGCAGCGCCGCAGCTGCCACATTTGAGTGCTCTCTATTGCCATTTCGCTCGCTCTACTTAATTTTCCGAGTGCAATGTCGTTACCTCTTTTGCGCATGCACCTTTCGACCAGTGTTGGACATCGAATTTTTTTTATGGGCTAAAATTGAATTTGACATTTTTTAAATCTTAAGAAAAAATGTATTTTATCTAGATTTTTTTTTAAATATCCATTAAGTCTGAAGATCACAGCCTTGTGCGCAAGCAGATTACCCAATAGGTTAGGGGAATTCTGGTTTATTGATTTTACATATGTATGTACGTTTGCTAGAGACGGACTTAAGTCTAATGACATCTAATAACGACATTTTCTTGGTGCATGAATTTTGAATTGAGGAAAGGGATGTATTTATAGAAGTAACAGATTGGTCTTAAATGAAACAATATTAAAAAGAAATAAATATAATTTAATAATTCGACACATTTCAATTTTTTGGTTTTCGAACCAGGCGCGATTGATGAAAGAGCCAAGTATGACTATGGATCCTTTTAATCACAAAAACAAAGACATTATATGAATTTATTTGAAATCCGTCATCTTAAGGTTGTGGTACTAAGTAAATTCTTTCTGGATTCCAAAGGAATGGCTTTAAAACCCCAAAATAACCTCAAAAAAAGATGATTTGAGAGCCAAGAATAAAGGCACTGTGCCTTATTGTGCCATGTTTAAAAATTAAAAATGTTATATACAAAATAAATAAATAAAAACATCAACAGCTTAAAAACAGCTAGAAACCTTTTAATATGGGTCGTTATGCATATTATAAATAAGATTTAATAAAATACATATAAATTCTTGTTTTTTCACTGATTTTAATAAATTTTAGAGATAAGGAACCAATCACCTATTTTTGCATATGACCAATGTCTTTTTTACACGGCATTTTCCGGAACCAAACTACTGTGTAGAAACAGAAACAGGTGTAATACTTAGTAAATTTTCGTCACTATCGTAGACGGCCGCCTGCCAAAAATAGGAGTACTTAAAAACGCACGGCATATATGTTTTTATGTGCCATGGCGATTTAGTTATATAGTTTATAACTTTGATTTCGTGGCATATTTTCTTATTATATCAATCAGAATTTTTATGGTTTATACCATCATTTTCCTTACCATTATTCTATTAATTTCAAGAGTCCATAAATGCATATACGTATTTGCAGCGTCTTTCAGGAAAGGAATCCTTGAATTTCATCATTTTTTTATAAAAAAAATACACGCTCTTAGTAAATTCCGTAAATGTTTGTTTTACTAATTTGAGAGAAATAAAGTTTAACCTTTGCCAAAAAAAAAAAAAACAATCTAAAACGGAAACTTACTGTTTGGTTTAGAAAAAGCATTATATTTTAAATAGATTGTAAATATCTGAAGTGATTCTTTAAATAGAACAAGAGATTACATTTATGGCTATAACGTTCTTTCTAATTGACCATTATGAAAATAATGTTACGTTTTTCACCTCGCACAAAACTAATATACCCTTTCACCCTTTGGGGTACAGGGTATAAAAATCATTTAATACAATCCTGTTATATAAGAAGCCGAATCTTAGTATAAACATAGTATCTAACAATAAAACGCCACTATTTGAACAATCCATGAAATACATCTGTCCTTGAGGAAATGCATGACCAGGGACCGCAAATAATGATTTTGTTTTTTTTTTTAACGAAAAAATCATTCACTTATATTAACTTTTGGAAAGCGAGGAATTTACTCACATCCTTTTTAAGGATTATCTATGTATTTTCACCATGATTTATAAATTTTAATTTGTATTCATTCGCTCACAATTTAATGATTAATTTTGAGTTTTACTTTAAAAATTAACCAATAATCATTATTGATGAGCAAAAAAATAAAACTTATAAAATAATGATTATTCTTTTATTTTTGATCAAAAAAATAAAACTCAAGCTGAAATTTTGTCTGTTTCATAAGGATTAAGGACAAAATTTATGTATATCCTTAATCAGTGAGTCAAGTTAATAAAATTAAACAAGATAGAACGCTACAGTCGAGTAAGCCCGACAGTAAAATAGCCTGTACTATCCACAAAAAAGAAAAATTTAAAAAAAAAAGTTTTTTAAAAATTAAACTATTAAAAAAAATTAATGAATTAATTAATTAAATTAAATTAGAATATATGTTTATGTTTAGTTTTAACAGCATACATTTACATCACGTACCTATGCGTGTTTATATGCGTGTATGTATGCAGCACAAAGTTGAACCAAAGCAGCAACAACAACAACAGCTGCGGGCAGCGCTGCCGACAGAGGCAGCGCATGAGCAGCGATTTTACTTATGGCTATAACTTTCTTCAGAATTGACCTATCATGATGAAATTTGGCACACGGACACATTAGTACTAACTGGATGTACCTACCAAAATTGATTTCAAAATTCCGAGAATTACGGAAGTTATAAGAAAAAACACGAATTGCGGGGGAGTGGGGGGGTGCATCGAAAAAAAACTCAAACTCGTACTTTCTCGGTCTTAGGAGAATATGGAAACCAAGTTTGGTTATTCTAGCTCTTATACTTTCTGAGATCCTTGCGTTCATACGGACAGACAGACGGACAAGGCTATATCGACTCGGCTTCTCATCCTGATCAAGAATATATATACTTTGTGGGGTCGCCACGCCTCCTTCTGTGTGTTACATACATGCGCACAAAACTAGTATAGCCTTTCACCCTTTGGGTACAGGCTATAAAAATAATCATTATTTTGTAATTTTTTTTAATAACACTTATAATGATTACAGTCCCTGATTCTGACACATTTTGGATAACCTTGCTTTGAATGTATAGTAATAAAATTTTAAAATGTTTAGAAAATTTCGAACAGAAATTTGTTGTCTGCCTTTGAGGTAAAAGCTGCAAATATAAAATATTTAAAATCCAAAGACCATTTAAGAGATATATCGTGTTCAAATTTATTGATTACCATTTGCATGGATACTTTCTTTTATATTTTAATGTATTTACGCACATTGGTTTACTAAATCAGGGTTCTTGTTTAAAATTGTAGTATGTGTGTGTGTTGCTTACTTGCCATAATTTAAATACATTACTGCTTTTAAAGAAGGTAAAACAAGTCGGTCGGTCTTGTGCTTAAAAGTAATAGAAAAACAATTTTGCTCAATAGTGTGTAAAAGGTTAACAATAAAATAATGTGTAAAGTTTGAAATACATTCACAAAAGGTGGTGAAACCCTAATTGCGCTCATTATCTTATGTATACACAAGGAATGACTTAAGAGTTAGTTAAAAATCATCTTAGCAGTAAGTTTTATGTAGTGTATTCGCTTAACCTTCCTGTCTTGTGGCATTCGCCATATGCGATACTAGGGGGGAAATGCAGGGTTTTCTTTTTTAATTTAAAAAAATCACTAATTTAAAAGCAAGTAATTGAAGGTGGGCTGGAAACGGATGTTAAGTTAGCATAAGGAGGAATTGAAAGTTGAAAATAGTTTAACACAATGATTTCTTTAAAATTAACAAAAATGAGGAGTGTTACAAATTTGTACAATTATATTTGTTTTAATGGATTTGAACATGAAAATATTTATCAATTATACAGTGTTATACAGTTTCCAATTCAATGATGGGGCTGTTAAGAGTTTTGTAATGGAACTTGGTATTTGAACAACAACTGCCACAGTCCGTCCACTTCAGTTTCTAGAGATGTATTTTTCTTCTTACAAATAGCTTTAGGTTTTTTGATTATTAGTTTGTGGTTTTTCTCGGGTTGGTGTTCTTGTCTAGAATATGTAGCTTACATTTTTAAAGAAACAAATGTAGTTTTCTTGTTGTTGTTGTTGTTTTTGTTAGCTCTATCAAAATATGATGTGTGTTCTTGTTGTTGTTAATTATTTGTTTTGTTTTTGCTGTAGCTGTTGTGTGTATGGGTGTGGATGAGTGTGTATGAGAGTGGTTTGAATTAAAGACGATTAAGTTGCGACTTTAACCATCATGCTTTCTCTTCTTGCCCCTGGCTTGCGACTCTTCTGTAAAATTAGAAAGTCTTATTAATTTATTTCAAGAGTTTTTATAATTGAATCATACCTGGCTTTTCACCATCTTTATCATTGGCATTCACCGCAGCAGTCGACTCATTTGCCTCACCATCGGCCTCATCAATATCAGAGTCCTCATCATCATCTTCGACGGCATCGCCTTCATCCCAATCGGAATTATCCTCTTCGAGATCATCGTTATAGACCTGTAATTCGCAATATAAGTTAGTTCTGAAATATGTATGTTATTGTAATCTGAAAATATTACCTCTGAGAGCGAGACATCGCCATTGTCTTCGTCATCACTTTCATCGCTGTCCCCGTCCTCCTCGTCGTCATCGCCAGAGCCTGCAAAGAGTTAGGAATAATTGTAGAATTCTATTAGCAACATCATTACAAATATCAATGCTTACTATAGGCGACACTGGCCAGATTTAATATTGCTAAAACCCAATAGAGTAAAATTGCAAAATTTGTGGTCGGGTGGTTGCTACATAGTTGCGGTTCTGTTGCTGTGGTTGTTGTTCTGGAATTTGTATTTGATACATTCTTCGAATCGGGTCTTTGGCTTTCAGTCGCAGACTCTCGCAATTGCAACTCTTTTAAGTATTCGTCTAGTTCGTCAACTTCATTGTCATCAGGTGGCTTTTTTGCAGTTGTTGTTGTATTGGACAAGCGTTTCTTAGCCTGAACACGCTTTTCGAATTCTTCTAGTTCGGCTAAATCGATTTCTAAACCATTTAAACAGAAGGCATTTTGACCATCTGAAAAGCGACAGAATCTGCGTTGAATTTGTGTAATACGATACAGATACGATAACCAAATGGCTTAAAAAATGATGATGAAATATGAGTTGAAATTTCCCTGTTCTACCCTATTACAAAGTCAGTCGTTCGCAAGTCATAACCAGTGAGCCTATATATTAGTTAATGGGAAACATGCTATATATTGTACCCACCATCTTCTTCTGAATCATTGCCATTGACGTCGTCGTCATCTTCACCATCTGATGGCGCCTCTTCATCGTTGCAATCAAACCTAAAATTTTTTTAAAATATGTTTAAATGTTTTATCACAGACTTATAATTTAGTGAATAAATAAATGCTTACCCATCTAAAAACCTTAACGATGGCAACATCTTAAAGATTTTCTCACGATAGTTCTCAACTTGGGTGGCGTCGTTATTGAATAGATCCAGTATTCCCAGATTTTTGAATTCCTCCAGTGGTTTCAATGTTTCCAAATCCTTAATTTTATTACCAGACAAATTCAAATACTGTAATTTGGGGCTGGTGGTCAAATAGTTGAGGCCATTTGAAATTCTATTATCGGATAATTCCAATTTCTTTAGATTGGGCAACTTGGGAAAACCTTTTAATGTGGTAAGACCCACGTTGATCAAGCTTAATGATTCCAAGGCGGTGTACTCATCTGTAAGGCCAACGATGCTTGTACTTCGGCAATTGTCCAGATTTAGTTCTGTAATCTGTTTAAACAATAAAACAAAATGTATTAAAAATGTATCATTTTAATCTTTTTAAATTTAAAACGCCGTTACGCTCGAGAGATTTCAGTGCACTTCCCTACACTGGAAAAATGAGAGCGAAACAGTTTGGTAATGAAACAGCCGACATGCGTCCAGCAATCAAATGCTTTTGCCAGGTGCGAAACAAAGATGAAAATAGTCGCATTTCAGCGTTGTACATGACAATAACGCCGCCATGTCTGTGTAAACGTGTGCTGAGCAAACGCAAAAATACAAAAATGAAAAACAATACATACAAGCCAAAACGCAAAAAACAAAAATCGATCAAACGAAATGCCATACATTTTTTGTTGTCGAAATTATTACCATATGCATAATGACACAAAATGGTGCGCAATAAATTGTGCATTAAGATCGTATTTAAACAATTAATTTCTGGTTAAAATTTGGTGCTGAAATTTTTTTCAATAATTTACGCACTGGCAGCACTGTGTTTATGTAATCGTTCTGTCAAGTCAGCTGGGTGTGTATGTGTGCGGCGTGTATGACGTACGTGCGCACAAAGTAGAATACGCTAAAATGGGTATTAAAAGAGCAGCACAAAGGGGAGGACCGATAAAATGGCAGCGGACAAATACGCGTGCGACAAACAAATGAAATGGAATGCGTTTTGAATGCGTGGAAGCTGGCTTGTATGACATGCAGATTCGCTGGAATGAAACAAGCCGGTAGTAGCAGCAGCAGCAACAACATGCTGTGACGTCTTAGTTGTTGCGCTTGTTTTGGGGTCCATGTTTGTGCTACAAATATTGGCAAAATATACACATATGTACATACATACAACCATACATAAATGTATTTATGTATGTATATTTGTATATACATACATATGTATTGTCGCAGCTTTTTTTTATAGGACAATCTGTTTGTTATTGTCTGGTGCTTTTGGAAATCTGTGAAGTACAAACCACTCTTGATTGATTTCTGATTGACCATTTATCGCAGCAGCTAAAATTGCCACATTTTGCCAACTAGGCGATTAGATAGTGGCTTTTACTAAGAAGAGACAAAATGAGAGTGTGGCACACGTCTCTGTTCAATGTGTCTTACGACCTTCCCCTCGCCCAACCATTCATAAATGAGTAGAGTTGTGGTGGTCCGGTCCGAACTAGTTCGGGTCTTTAAACACTGGACGAGGATGTTGGGTTCAGCAAGTCTAGTAATCTTTTTCGATCATTGAATAGAGTGGGCTGGTATACAAAATTCGATAAATTTATAAATATCTCAATAAAGATTACTTGGGAAGTTCAACAATCGGGTGGTACTCACACAATATGGGACAAAACAAACTGCAAACTTTTACAACTCTACAAATAAGACTTGGTTCCAAAGTGGGTGCATAACAGACTTTAATAGTATGTGTATGCGTTGTTGTTCTCGTCGCCATCTTCGTCATTGGTACATACTCGTATGTATGTACATACATACATATGTATATATTTTCCCGTGGTATGAATATATGCATGTACGCGTGTGTATGTTTGATTGTATGTATTTAGCTGCAGAAATGGGCGCGCTATTGGGTGGGTACGTGGGTGTGGGTTGGGGCCGCTGATTGAGTAGGCCTTGCCAGAGCGCATGTTTATTAATCAGCAGAAGTGCTACACAAAAAAGGCCCAAGATTGTCTTTTCTTTTTCGCCTTTTGTTGTTGTTGTTGCTGGTGCTGCTGCTGCTGTCAAAGGATGACTGAGAGAGCGCAATGCAATGTAAAGGTTGAAAAAAGGGTGGCCTATGGGGCGGAGAGGCGAGCCGAAGGCTGCGGCCGGTTTTGTGTAAGGTGGAAAGTCTAGCATTTGTGTATGTAGGAAGCTACTGCCCCAAGCACAGGGTATTATTATGGCTGCGCATTCAATACACATGTATGAATATGCAAGTATGTACGCATGTCTGTATGTACATATACATGTATGTATGTATGCCGTTTGCCTGTGGTACAAACGATAAGACAAGGAAGGCAGGCAGGCCGGCGACCACCATTGCGAGAATGTGTCGATTATTTTGTGCATAGCTCGAGTGTATGTACATACATATGTATGTATGTTTGTTTGTGTGTGTGTGTGTGTGTGTGTGTGTGTCTTTTGTCGCTGTATGCGTGTGCTATTCTGGCTTACGCGTTTGTGTTTGTGCGCGCTCTACTATAATGTTGTTATAGATACATTTTGGTTTCAAATAACCTGAAATTACAGTGTTTATCAGCATAAAATTATGCACGTATGTACATACACATATACGTAGGCACATTTTTATGTGTGTTTAAACAATGTTTATACAATGAATTCCCTGCTTATGTTTTGTCACAATTGAAGGTCGACCCGCGGCAACAACAACAACAACTAGAATAGAGCGAGCCAGCATTGCCAGCTGGCGCACTAAAACGGCCCAAAGCGTGCATCTCGCGATCACGTTGAGTGGGGGCATGTCGGGGTCTAAAAATTATATACATAACATTTTTTAGGATTACACATTAGTTATAAGTATGCCACATGGAAAGTTCCTGGCTTGTATTTTTTTCGTACATTTTTGGTTTAGGAATTTACATAAATATGTACATACATATCTATATACTAAATCATAAATTCACTATTAACACATTAATAAAGCCAATTTAGATAAAGAAATGAAATTTGGACAATCTACATAATTGTAGGGAAAAATTTTGATCAGAAGAAAACTGACCTATAAAATTAATTTTGTGTTACGTTATGACAAAAGTTATCCATAAGGAAAAGTATTTAAAAAACAAATTTCTCTTGAACGATCGATCTGGTATAGCAGAAAAGGCCCGAAGAACTCTGAATGTACATATATATACATATATTAACCGACTGGGTTTATATACATATGTCTGTATGTATGTACATGCATACTATATACACAGATGCCGTAGACTTGGAGAGTAGGTGCACTGAATTTGTAAAATTGCCAATGCCAATGCAATGTAGCGCGTATTAGGCACAGAAAAGTGCGCGCAAATGGCAACACTGTTCATGCGACACACACACACATGCATACATTATAGCAGTCATATGAGATTATGTGTGTATTTGTATTTGCTTATGGCGATCAATTTTTTCGTTTTTGAGGATGGATGGATGTTTGCCGCTACACCGCTGTTGCTTCTTCTTTTTTTCAACGGCTTGTGAGCTATTTTATATGATGTATGTATGTATGTACACACGTATGCATGCATGTATGTTTATATGTATGTACATACGTACGTATGTATGTATGCACGGCGCACAAATTGAAACGAGATTTACATGTGGCGTTGTTGCTGCTGCTGCTGTTATTGCCTTTGTAGGGCACACAATGCCACACACAATCTGCCTTACAAACACACACACGGCAGACACAGACTGAATATACGCGACGTTGTAATAAAAATTTGTGTAATCACAAACAAAATTAATTCGATGACAATTTAGCGCGTTTTTCGGCTTGTTTCTCACTTATCACAACTACTTACCTGATTCGCTTTGCGTGCGCGTCGTTCCAATTCTATTCTTTTCTCCATTTTATTTGTGTGCTTAGTTTTCGTTGCTACAGCGGCTGCACTTGTTTATTAGATAAAAAGAAAACAGCAATTTTCTCTTGCTATCGCACTTTTCCAACCAAGCTCGCAGAAATACCAAAGGATACACCAATACTGTTGCAATTTTCTGTCCCTACGACAGCGCGCACGCACAGGGGAGAGCAGAGACTCGCAGTAATCGTCGTCACACACACAAACAACACCTTGCGAATTTTTCTTTTTTGTGCTTCTTTTTCGGTATTGCTTTTGCCGCCGCCGCTGCCGCGCGTTCGATGGCTAGTGGGTGAAGAAAATGTAAAAATGTAAAAAAAATGAATTGTTAAGATGGCTTGTTAGTTTATTCACGGCTTAATTTCGATAAACTCATACGTTAACAAAAAAATCTACGCGTTTACAACACATTTAGTTTTTCAAACTGCGCTTTTCGCATCGTTTTCATTCGATAGTGCGCAGAAAACTGGCTATTTTTATTTACCATTCTTCTCTGAACTTGTCACCAACTTACCTCTGGGTTTATTTAATATTAATTTAATATTTCCAAATAACCTTTTTATGTATTTTCTTTAACCACTAAGAAGCAACACACACGCTTTCAAAGACGAACAAGAACAACACACACGCCACATTAAAATTGCTGCCGCTAGTTGACGGCTGTGGAACTTTTCTATAGCATTTAGCTTTGAGTTCCACTACAGTGTTGTACTATCGATAACTACTATTTTTTAGTGTTGATATCTGTTTCTAACGGCTTGGCAGGGCTAAAAACGACGCGCGATATTTGAAATGAATGCCCATAACCCGAGATTGGACTTTAAGTTTAATGCTACAAGTTACTCTAATAGGGTATTTATATTTAATGTTTTAATATAGTTAACTACATTTTTTATATTTCAACATGGAAAAGTAACAAGTATTAAAAGCAAAAATCGCTTAGACGTATTTACATAAATATTTTATACATCTTCTAATTATTTGTTTTTACGACTAAAGTACGCGCAATTCCAAAGCATTTTAATTGAAATTACAGATACAAATCAGATACTGATTTGCTTGAGCACTAAATCAAGTAATTAGGTGTTTTACTGGTTATATAAATATTTGCATTTTTGAATCATACATCTTAAGTCATAAAGTATTTAAAAAAAATTACAAATAACTAAGTAATTTTGATTATATATGTTGGAATCTTAAATATAGCAAAAGATAATAAACCAATATTACAAGTAATACGTATAATGCCACAACTTAGGGATATATTTATTTTGTAAAAACATTTGTTCAATATGAGAAAACCTAACCCAGGAAGTCTCTAATAAGAGAAATAAAATATATTTATTTTGTAAAAACATTTAATCAATATGAGAAAACCTAACCCAGGAATTCTTTAATAAGAGAAACATCTTAAAAAATGAAAGTTAAAGCATTGCATCTTGATTCAATTGCATATATTTAATTTTATATTTATTTGTGAATACTATGTATTTTATGGTTCCATAAGAAATCCTTAGGTTACATGATAACTCTCTTCTTAAATGAAAAACTTTATTAATTTAAGCTCATTTTCATTTCACCAATGAAAGCCAATATTGTACTCTTAAGTTAAGTATATATTTAAATATGTATGTAGACTATGAATTGAAAAAATGGAAAAATGATTTAATATGGAAATACGAAAAATGTATTAAGCATGCACGTTCTTTTTTTTTATATTTTTTTTGAAGCCAATTTCAGGCCCTTTTGTTTGGGCCAAAAGCCCATTCTGACTCGAACTCCGAACGTAACTCACATCTTTACAACTTTTTCAGAATTGATTATATTTTCAATATAGTCGAAGGTAGCTTTTCAGCGTCAATGTAAAGAATGCTTTAAGATTCTGTCAAATGAGTTGAATATTCTTGATTCGAAGCATGCTTGAACATATATTTCAATTTCATAAGCACTCGAGATTTTGTCACGTATAGCAACAAAAATTTATTTAGTATTATTAACACACCAAACACAGACCTTAGATTCGAGTTCATTGTGTTTCCATTAAAAGCATTTATATATATAGCTATATTTTATATTAAATAAACGCACCTATACGAACCGATAAATTTTCAAAGTATTGCAAGTGGATAACGTTTTTAGCGAAATGAGCAAGAAAAAATTCTTAGTACTGTTGAGCTTCGCTTGCGTCCTTTGCGTGAGTATGGAATGGAATGCTGATTGCGATTTCTACTAAATAGTGCTGCCCTTTTAGTTGACACCCATCGGGAATGAGGCCGTACCATTGCTAGTCCGGCCAACAAATCGGACCACTACTAATCACACAACTCATCCCACCACACATAAAACCACAGTTAGGTCGTTGGCTCGCTCAACAACTAAGCCAGGAGTACGTCCAGCAGGACAAAAAGTAGCGTGGCCAGTGCCAGTCAAGGTGACTGGCAACCATTCCAAGGTGGGGGATCATGGAGCGGCTGCACAAGAATCGGCACATCATGCTATACGACTATTTCCAGGAGGTTTCCGGCCATTGACTTTGAAAAACGTCACAAAGGCGAAGCATCGTGACGTGAAGTTGTTGGCACGGCCAGACGAAGTCATCCAGCCTCCGGGGGACGGTGCTGCTCCGGCTGACGGCACTGCACCGCCTGATGGTGGTGCTCCGGCTGATGGTGCTGCTCCGGCTGAAGGTGCTGCTCCGGCTGATGGTGCTGCTCCGGCTGATGGTGCTGCTCCGGCTGAAGGTGCTGCTCCGGCTGATGGTGCTGCTCCCGTTAGCGGTGCTCCTCCGGCTAACGTCATTCCTATGGCTGAGGGCGGACCTGAGGCCCCACCTGGCGAAGAATCAACTGCAGCCGCCGGTGCTGAAGGCGAAGCACCAGGTGCAGGTGGTGGTGAACCTCCAGCGGCAGGCGAAGGTGAATCTACAGGTGCAGGTGCTGGTGGGGGTGGAGCTGGTGAGGGCGGAGCTGGTGGGGGTGGAGCTGGTGAGGGCGAAGCTGGTGACGATGATGGCAAAGATGAAACCGTCGCGGCCACCGAAAGAACCATTTCCATACCAAAATTCGAAACCGATGAATTTGGGAACTGGGTGTACAATCCCTGGGCCGTTACCTTTGGCAAAATCTGGCAGGATACGCGTTTCAATATTGTCGGTCGTTACACCATACCGCGCATGCGTCTAGAGTCCAAAATGGTATTCGACTATTATCTATCAGCGAGCAAATATAGCACTGTATGCATGGGTCGCTCCACTGTCTACAATAAGCCCAGAGTGATGAAGTGGCTCTCCAATAACGTTTACAATCAAACCCATGAACATCGACCCGTTTGGCTGGGCATCAGGCGTGAGATCTACGAGCATGGCAATTCGGAGGAGTGCCACACATCCAAGTTTAACGCATTTCGAAGATATTTCGAGTGCGCTATGCGTCGCAATCAGCGAGTGGAGTACATGATACCGCAATATCCGCTTCACCAACTTGGCTATAATGGTCACTATTGGGGCAATCTACCCAGGGAGGAGAAAGAGCAACACTAAGGCATTGTCTAGGCCTGGTCCATGAAATGAAAGTTAATGTAATGTACCAGATAAATCATAATTAAACAACAAACGACATAGCAACAATATCTTAAAATTGTCTAGTTAACAGCTTAAGTTATGAGCTATGTTTTAAATCAAACGTTTTTGATTTTTCACCTAACTCTAATCATCACTATTTGTATTTAAAATGTCAGGAAAGGTTAACCAAAAACGAGCTTTGTACAAGGTGCATCCCAAAGTAAACTTGTTTTTTTTTTTTAAATATTAAGATTAATAGCCTTCTATTAATAATTATTTAACTGATCTTTTTATCTATAGAGTTTACATTTAATAAGTTTTTTTTCAAGTTCTGGTAAGTTAGCGTGCATTGTTGGTAGAGGAGATGTATCGATCGACAAGTCGTCGATGTGGCAGCCTCGCGCACAGTTGCTGTAACAACAGGTACCGATGGAGGCGAATGAGGTTGCCACATATCCCGTTGAAGTGGTGCCATATTAATGATGCTAGGTAGGTATGGACATGCCGTTATAATGTCATGACAACCGAATGTAAGTAATATAAAAATGACGATCGAACAAAGGAAAAATATTGGTTCTGTTACGCCTCCCGCTCTTACTTTTTTATAGAAGCGTATAAGCATCAGATACATGTAAAATTGAAAAGGTAAAATAAAATATAAATGGGTAGCATGGAATTAAAATTTTTTGCGGAATTTGCTGCCGCAATCTCGCAACAACCGATGCCAATAAATTGGACAAATGCTGGCAGCTGGCAGTGAAGGCTTCGAGGAGTCGTTTGTCCATGTTTAACATAATTACGTTTCGCTTATTTTTGTAACTCGCTGCTGCAGCGTCCTCCCCCATAATTGAAATATGTGTTTAATGTGTCCACTGACTGCCGTTTGAGAGCTGTGTGCGTTTAATTTAATTTCACTCTCATTACGTGCCAAAAAAGAAGCCATGTGCGTGAGAGTGTGCGTTGATGGCCAACAGCCGATAGGCGCGCTCGAATGTATGCTACAGTTTGCTCTGCTTGTTTATCATATCAATTAGCCGTAGTCGTCGTCGTCCTTCGGCACCATAAATTTGCCAAACGTGTGTCCTCACTGTATGCTAGGATAGCGTTTGGAACCTTGAGCAGTAGGTAGCATTGTTGGCTGCTGCTGCACCTGTAGCTATAGCTACTCATCTAGTATGTGTGTGTGTGTGTGTGTGTGTGTGCGTGAGTGCGTGAGTCCGTTCGTGTGCGTCAGGCTGTTAATGTGCGACATAATCTATTGAAAGCGTGTTGATTCAAAGCGTTGCTATTGGACAAATGCCAATGGGTGCGTGGGGGCGCACATGTGAGTGTGTGTATCAATGTGTGTCTGTGTGTGTGTGTGTGTGTGTGGATGCCCACGTCAGAGCTTTTTCTACACGCTCTTGCTTTTTCTCTCTCACATTCGCTCTCTGAAATTGGTAACTGTTGCTTTTGGTAGACCGTATCGCTCACACATCACATTCACATAAACAAACAAAGAAGCGGAATTCTTATATTATATTTGTATTTGTATGTTGGGCCAAATAAATAGGAAGTTAACAAATTAGTTAAATCAAATGGTCAACCTTAAGTGAAGAATATAAATCACAGATATTTCTTATTTAATGAACACTGAATACATTACACATGCATTTTGTTTTCATGCTACAATTATTGGTAGAGAATACTTGAGAATAACTAGAAGGTTGCACTATAGAAGAAGAATGCTGCCTTCTATCTAATGTGTGCTCCGTAAAGAATGATTAGCTTTTACAAAAACTGGCTGAGAATGCCAAATGCTTAAACTGTTGGTTGGGCTTATAAAAACAAAGCAAAGATTGTGAACTTTACAATTTAAAGAAAGAGAGGAAAAGAGAAAGAAATGTCTTATTGACGATTGAGCTTCTTCGAATCGATAACAAATAACTATGCCTCTAAATTATCGATATCGATGCGAATTCTAGTTCAAGTGCAGCTTCTAATTTCATTTAAAAAAAGCTTGTCGCAACAATTTTAGGCATTTTTGATGAAGCTGTGGTTTAAGTTTAGTTTCATTAACTTTCGTTCAATTTAAGTATTTCACAAATAAATTACATCTCTACATAAACAAACTGAAAGCTACAAAATATTTAATTTATTTATTTACATAGTTTACTAAACTTGTAAAGCTGATTTTATAGGAAAATATTTCCTATTGCACTGGCTGCTGAGGAAGATATTTCCTCAGGTAGCTTAAGAGCTAACGAAATAATGATAACAGGAGATGTGGATGCTCTTATTAAAGCTTATATAATCGGTTGTTAAGGAGATAAAAATGTCTGCAAAACCGAATCATTTTTCTGTTGCTTTTAGTTACTTGATACAATACATACAGAATTAATAACTACATACTTACAAAAAGGGAAATAAAAATAAGAATTCCATACGTTACAGCCATTATAAGAGTAGATTTTCCAGTATTTTTCCGTTGTTCAACAATTCAAAGTCACTTTAAATTTAGTCGGAATAGATTTTGGTGCTTAAAAAATCAAATATTGTAACATTTGTATATTTTAATTTTATTCTTTCACCATATTAAAGTCATAATATGTAGTGAAAAGTCTGTAGCTATAGAAATATCCATGTGCTTCCATAATTTATTAGAAAAAGGCACACTGAAAACACTTACAAGCGTCTATCGAAGATAAAAACAGTAGAAGATGGTAAAATTAAAGCCAAACTGAATAAAATCTAAACGTAAAAAATACATACATTTTAAAACAACTTAGTTTGCAATAAAGTACTTATGCGAATTTTATAAAGCAAATAGGGCCTCTTATATATTAAATTCTTTGTTGCCAAAAATCTTTAAAGTCAAAAGTATCCGTGTTTTTAATGTCTGTGAAAAGCCCAATAAGAATTTAAACAACTCCATAGAAGTCAAGAGTCATGAAAGACGACAGACCTCACGCAATAAACAAATTTGCACACACATTTAAAGTTACTCTCCCGCTCTTTGTAATTTCTGCCTCTCTCTATATATATATATATCTCCCTATCATTTGACAAAAGCTCTGGCAAAGCTTTTCGCTTGCGTGTGTGTATTGGTGATGGGAAAGATGCTGCGAGCAGCCACAAGTTGTCTTTTCGAAATTTGCAACAGTTGCTGTGGAGTGTCTTCGAAAAGCGGACGTGGCAAGGTAGCAAAGCGGACAAATCATTTTAATTGACGGCCCTAGGGCAGAGCTGGGCACTTCTTGGAGAAATGTTATCAGTGAACTAAATTGTAAAACTAGTTCAAGTGCAAGCGTGTTGCGAATAGTTGTTGGCAACAATGTTGCTGACATCATTTTGAGAAATGCTGCGAGAAGCACAAATAAAATCAAAATACAAATCAAATCAGCCGAAGTAAAGATTACTTGTAAAAACCATTTAATTGCAACGAAAACTGAACGATGTACACATACCTACATAGATACATGCATATACATAAATTGTATAGTACATATGTAGCATTTCATTCAAAATTGTTCGCATGTGCAAAATTTCATTAGTTCATAAATCGTAAATTAGGCACCACAAGTGCTAAAATCACTGAAAATTGTTTTAAAATTTGTTTGTCCAAAGTGTTAAAGCAAAAGAAATGCAAAAAATATTATTATGTATCATAAATCATGTTAATGCAACCAAACCGAAACGTGCCTAATTCAATCGTGTGCGTCTACATATTGCAAATGAAATTATAATTTGGTCCAAACAACAAGCAAAGTAAAGCCAGAAAGGAAAGCAAAACGAGAATCTAAATTACCATATGTAGTAGCACATAAGTACACACAGCATTTACATATGTACGCACATTTATATGTGTGTAGTACGTGTTTATGTAAGTGTGTGCGTTTGTGCATTTGTGTGCTTCTTTATTTGACTGACACGTGCTTTGTGGGCATCAAAAATTGTGTTTTGTGCCCCGCCCCCTCCCCCAACAAATTCAACACATCTCTTCACACGCATTACCCCCCCCCCCCCCCCCCCCCCATTATTTATCTTATTTTGGCTTACTTTCCATGACACCGCAAACAAATTTGCTGAAAAATATTGATAACAAGAAGTTAAAGCAACGTGTATAACAAACAACAAACATACAAACAAACAAACCACAACCAAAGCAACAAGCAAAGCAACTAAAACAGCTACAGCGCAACAGTTACAACAAGCCTGCTACTGCCTGCAAGGCTTGCCTCTGCTTGGCTCGGCTCGCAAAAGGAGAAGAAGAAGAAGGTATGTTGATTTGGGAACATTTTTCGTGAAAATCGTGTGAGAATTATTTGCTTTTCCTTTGATGCTTTATTTGCCTATCAAAAGGCTCCCTGATAATTGAACTGTTTGGCTGTCGTATGTGATTATCGTGTCTGGAATGGTGTTATTCGAGTATGGCACACACTGCGTATGATTGATGCCTCTGCAAAAATCTGCGTGTACAAAAACACAGATATACCATATACATATATTAATATAAATATGCGCGTGTCTGGGAATAGAAGCCATCTCGTTGATTGTGCCCTATGGGTGTAATTTTGAAGTCTAGCAGGCACTGTCAATGTAAATTCAAATTGGCGTTGAGTCGAAAGTTGGAATTTAAAAATAGATATTCATTTAAAATGAGAGTTGCTTTCAGCGATGTCATGAAAAATTTAATTCCCTGATTGCCCTTAAGACATAATAATCTAATTGTAACCTATGGAATATTTAAACTGCAGATAAGAAACTTCAATGTAAAACCTTTTGTAATAGTATCAGGGTTTCTATATTGACCTTTTTCCTTCATGTTGTGTTGCATATAACATAAAAGGAAACATGGCAGTTTATGTATAGCCCAGATGTCCAGTTGTCCGTCTGCAAGACTGTCCTTCGGTATATATGATATTAGTATTAACCTAAGCACTTTTATTTAAAAACTTGTTACAACTACAAGACCTAACTCGTGGTCTGATTCTATTTCTATTTTTTAAACATGTGTGATTTGCTTAGACGAAGCTTCTGTTGAAGCTTGCATTTTAAAACGAACAAACTTTAAGTCTAGAGAGTAAACCTTACAAAAATGTATGATCTGGGAAGTTAATGAATACATGGGTATTTCATTAATTACTTTGTTTGATACCAAAAGTAGTCCGAAAAATTGAGCCTTATTGGCTTGTACTTGTAAGAATGCAACTATTATTCCTCAAAAAAATAAAAAATAAAAAAAATAAAAATGAAAATAGGATCCCATTTTAGTTAATGCCTTTTATATAGTATACCCTTGTTTTTAAATATTATTCTTTAACTAATCGAAAAAGGCATTAAAGAAATCCAGCAAGCATTTCAATTACTTAACATCTGAATTCAGTTGGATTAAATGCATCTATCTGTGTGGTCCGAAGTATTTTCATTCTTTAATTGAAAAGTTCAGTTTCTGTGACAGAGATTTTCTTTTTGCGTCGTTTCGCGTCAAAAAGATAACTTTGTTTTCATCAATTCATTAATTAGGTGAAAATCAGCTCTGCACTCGGATTTCGTTTTTTTTTTTTTGTGTTTGATGTATTGGAAACATTTTAGCTATTTTTAATTAATGAATAGAAAGCTTACTGCCCAGTGTGATTCGTATTTGGTGCGCAACAATTGAATACAAACCTTTATTATGTATTTAATAAATGTATCCGTTTAATGTTTGATTGAATATTTACGTAAAACTCAACCGTTGCGACAATTTAAGTAAATTGAATTGGCAAAGTTTAAACGAAGTTACATTTTATTGCCGCGTCACTGCCTGCTCTTGATTAATTTGCGCAGCTCGTTAAAAGTAAATGAAAGTTGGTTATTATTTAATTAGGCACCTCACACATACATATACAACTACCCCTGCTTCTTCGCCTATTACCGACGCCCCTATGCACTGGAATTTTTCTCCAGCATTATTTTATTTTTTTCCCTCCGACTGTTGTCAATCTGTCACTTAATTGGCCGTAAATGAGTTTGTTGCCAGAGACAGGCGCATCCTTGGCACTTCTCACCTTCGCTTTGGGGGTGTCAGTTGCAGGCCCGACATTTAAAATATTCCATAGCATACTTTTGCGCGTGACCCGGGATCCTGCATTCACAGCCAACTTTGCGATATTTCGACCCAAAAACAAAGGCATGTGTAAGGTCGTGCAAGTCCATTTTTGTTTAAAAATGTGATTTGCTGAGATGCGCTGAAAAAGTGTCATAAAATATGCAATAAACCGGAGCTGGCAAGGAATAAAAATTAACAAACTAGAAAACGCTTGTTTACTTGCATTCTTTAAAAGCCGTATATTTTTAATATTTTATGCATACATTTTTTTTTTTATGCTGCTTTACAGAAATATCAAAACACTTGACCGAGTTTTGCTGCCTCGGCTTTGATTTTTTTTTATGACATTCTTTTTGTTTGCTGGCTTGTAAACGAGCGAAATGGGAATGGCCATAACGGCTGAGGCCCGGCAGCCACCAAGCAACATATATAGATATATAGATAGATACATAGGTCAAAAGAGCAGCTGGCTGAAGTTTGGAATTTTGTGTTGAATTTGACGAGAATTTGGATAGTTTAAGGGCTCGCTTTAAGTTGAGGTCAGGCGGAATTGCCATGGATGATGGCGCATGGAAACACTTGACTTGCAATCATTTTTTTTTAGTTGGATTTCAACTTGTTTTTTACGATGAGTACTACTATGAATGATAAATTTAATAAATGCTGAAAAGTTAGTCTGCATTTTTTAAGAAAAATGAAATATTTATAAATTGTGTAACCTTCTTTCTGTTAGGTTCAAATAAAATGAACATAGTTTTAAAAGTAACAAACTAAGTAGAAAGGTGCTCCCATAATAAAAATTTATTTTAAATACTTTAAAATACATTTGCAATTAAATACTTGAACTGCAACTATGCACGTACTTTTGTGGGCGGAGGGCTCTCTAACCAAACCAGGAACAACAATGGCAGCTGTTGCTGGCAGCTGCTCTATTTTTAGAGCTTACATTTCGGCACAATAACGAGAGTTATTTAAAAGCTTATGGTGAGGAGGGAATGCAGCGAAAAACACACGAGAATAAGCCTGAACTTTCTCTGGCATCTGGTAGTTTGTTTATCAGATTTAGTTCATATAGGCGAAAGTACAGTTGCACAAGGCTATAGCTACACGTTTGACCAGGCTGATTAGAAATACTATATACTCGAATATACGTTCTGAGACAGGAATATATTATACTCTTTAGACTTAGAGTAGGGGTTTTCATTTTTAAAAAATATCGAATCCTTATTTAGAACATTTTCTCGCACCATGGAGTTTGGTTCAAAAATCTGCATTAAGGGATTGTGATAAAATTTAAAAATGTACTTTGTTATTTGTGTGTACTTCAATTTCCTATTGTTTTTATTACTTCTCTTAAACAAGAAACTGTAACGAAAAGGGGGAGACATTTAATAGAGACGAAGAGGCAAGTGAAAACAAGTTGAAATTTTAAAAATTTTGTTTTCTTTAATTAAAAAAAAAAGCAGAAGTTTTAGGAATAGGTGATAATACTACAACGTTATAATGAAGCCTTGAAATATCCTTAATAGTAGAAACCTGATCAAATTGCAATTGCAATTCGATGGGCCACCTATGTCCCGAATCATAGGCAATTGTACTATAGTCAGAGGCGTTTATTGAACTCAGCAAACATTTCAAAAGTAAACGTAAATGAAAATGTGCAAAGAGCGATTAGAGTGCATGTGACGGGCAGCGGGCTACAAAGATTATGGTTTTCATTAACTAAGTTTATAACATATTAAAAGAAACGTAAGTAAACTAGTAGCTCATACAAAATATGGATTTTACCTAGAATCCCAAGTGGAATACATATAGTTAAATTCGTTCGTTTTGCTTATAATACTACTTTATTTTCTTAAAACATATTCTTCTTTCCCTGAAGAAAAAGAGTTAAGAGATAATTTCTTTTACTTCTGCAAGGAACTGTGAAATGAAGACGACCTAAAAGGGAACGAGAACCGACAGTACCGAAAATAAATTTGTAGAGGAACACAACTTCAAGGACAGTCCTTTGATTAGTCAGGGAATAAAGATTTATGAGCAGAACTGTGCTTGAGTAGCGTGGCCAGCTTATGCGGCCATAAATAATATGTCTTATATTAATTATTCACTTTATGATAGAAGATCTAGAAATTAGTAAAACCAAGACTACTGCTATCCTATATTCCACAATTATTAGGCAGTTTTTTGAATATTTAGCTTTTATTGAATAAAGTTATAGCCGGACTGGGAAATCATTTTATAAGTAACAAGTACTTTGTTATGATACTTCAATCTATAATTTAGTTACTTGGTATGTACTTTTTAAGCCTTCTCCTGAAAATTCACACATAATTGTGTAAGTTGTTTATGTGTGGCTGTCCGTAGCTTAATGAACATATAAATATGCATTTAATTTGTTGTTAAGTGTTAAGTTTTCAATGAATAATATGTTATAGTCCGACAGGCAACACATTTAAAAAATACTATACCATTTGTCTTCAATATAATGATATACTTCCTAGAGAACCAATAATGATTGCATAATTACGATTTTCTTCTTTACTTTTTAAAATCTTCCTGTAAAAATCGACTCATAACTGCGTAAATAATTTAGTTTATTGCATTAACTAGCCGAATTAAACACTCTGAATAAAATAGTTATAGGGTGTAAAATTATAAAAGTTCAACTGTTGCCCAATCCGACAATTGTTCGTATAGTTCAGATGCAAATACAGTCGAGTTTAAGCAGAAGTTCGATTTAAGCTCGTGGGTCTGCATGTGAAATAGGCGAACAGCTCTCAGAATTGGGCAATAGCGTTATGCCTATCGTGTTGCATGTTGCGTTGCCGCATCTTTTGCTCGACAATGTGCTGGCAAATTTGTAGGGCTTGATAACAACCCAATAGCAGGGCACGCGTGTAGCTGTGCTTTGATTCTCGTTCCATAGCCATAGACTCATCGACCGCCTGATGTTTTTTGTGCTCCAGCTCTTGGCATTCCCGTTTCATGGACTCGAGCTCGGTATGCTTTTGTATCAGACATTGGCGCATTATGCTTCTTGCATAGTAGGAGCGTAGCTCGAGCTTTTGACGTTTGTGCTTCATATACCGCATGTAGTCCGCATCTGCTTCGGGTGCACGTTGAAAACACTCGCAAATGCAGCACGTTTGCACATTGCAGATCGTCTCTGGAGGCCTTGTGGGCGGTCTCTTGCGTCGTCTGGGCTTTTGTGGTGGTGGAGGCTGTCTCTGTGCTGCCGGCTCTATTGTGGCTTTTGTTGGCTCCTTGTCTGAGAAATGCTTCTTTATGTTGTCCATGACAGAGTCCCATAGTCCCGGATACAGCGTATTGAAGTATATTTCTAAGCTATGCGTTCTTTTGTACTCCGCAACAAGATCCGATATGAGTAGTGGCTTGAACGAAGGGGGCGACGCGCATGACAATATCGACCTCTCAGCGGGTGAAAATAGTTCCTTTTCATACTTCTTCAGAATGGACAGATGGCTGGAAACATCTGGTGGTGTATCTGGTTGCGGTGTTAAAAGTGCGGCTTTTGCACGCTGCTCCTGCAAATCCATTTCATCCAGTTTGTCTTGGTGAAGTAGGTTCTGTACTCTCGGTTTTGAGATTTTGTGATCCACCTTTATTGCGGGCTTGTGAGGTTGAGCCTCATCTGGGCTAGCGATATCCCTGATACGATTAAGCCATCCTTTTTTTCTGTGCGCATAATCGGAAAACCATTGGTTCTCAGTCAGTATGCTGTTCGAGCTATTGGCATTGGGGTCCCGCGGAGATTTCATGTTGATAGATGGCTGTGATTGCATGCTCTTAGAGTCGCCCAAGCTAGATTTACTCGCAAGGAATTCTTTTGGCTTTATGCGTCGCCCAAAGCCGTGATCATATTTAAATAGTGTTCGTTCTCGTATATTTTCTTTGTCGATATCATCATCATAGATCATCTTCTCATACGATTTCAGATCGAGGCAGCTATAGCTCTTGAGATATTTCGCTGCCACTAATCTACTTCGTTTTTTATCATTCTTTTTTGTTAGTTTCGTTTTTTGTGTTGAGGCCGTTTTTGCTTCCTTTCTAGATCTCTTGGATTTGAATTGTTCACCAAGACTTGATGCACTGAATAGAATTATGCTGGACGGGAATTGATTGCGTTTTAGTTTCAGATCCGTCAACTTTTTTGTTAGATCCTCTACGGCATAGGGATTAGTGCTTCTTCTTAATTGTTCTTCCACTGCAGCCTGTTCAGCATCCAGCTTTTCGAGCTCCTCCTTGGACGTAAAGCGCCTGAATCTAGGTTTTCTTTTACGACGCTGCCTGGCTTTGGAGAACTTCCCTAGCGGGCTTTCATCGTGAAAGCATTGCACGAACTCTTTGTAAATAATCTCTGGTATTGCGTCGTGTGGTGCAGTTCCTAGTGCAATAGTACTATTCGTATTTGAAGTTGAGAGGGGAGTGCTTCGAGGCCGCAGGCTTCGAGAGTTGCGTGTCAGCAGTTGAAAAAAGGATGCAGCTTTTTGATCTTTAATATGCGCTATAAAGTCAGTATTTCGACCAACGCGGTGACGTATGTCTTGCATTCGTTCCTTACATCCATTTGCATAAAAGCTCCATGTTGCGTGAAAGAAAGCCTCTCTCTTCTGGAACCACTCCATCTTATTTATGAGAGGCGATAGCCTTTTAATTTTGTGCTGCAAGCACTTCCGGTCCAGCTGCCATGGACTGAGCCTTTAGGGATCGGTCTTGAGAGCAATGTTTGGATTATAGGAGTTCGATTGGTGTAAAACTTCCATCATTCTAATTAATTTTTAAGGTATTTTTCAAAATACTTGAAAATTTTGTATTTTTATCTTATATATAGTATATATTTCAAATTGAGTTTGAAGTTTTATTTAGTTTCAGAACTAGCCCACTACAATCTATAGCTTTAATGGAATCTTAATAAGCATAAACCATTTTAAATCAAACCTTATCTCAGAAAGGTTTGCGGAATACGAATATGTTTCTCACGTTTCTCCGTTTCTTATCGATCTTCTTGCTACCATAAGTTTATCAAAATCCGCAAAAGTTTTTGTCATGAATGGGTTGGTAGTGTATTCAATTAATAGCCTGAATTAAACATGGATACTTTTTTAACTTTGATAAAAATAAGTAAAATATTGTATATTATTATTTATTTATTTATTTATGTGCTTTATTTCCCTAAAAATTGACAAATATATTGCTTAAAGGTAGCTTTATTTAAAGAAATATAGCTAAGAATAATAATCTGAATATGTTGTACACATTTACAAGTTTATAGTCGACTTTAAATCTAACATTAAATGCTAAAGGAAAAACAGGCAAAAATTAGAATGAAAAAATAAAAAGCGGGAACTTCAAGGAAGTTCGCAACATTATTTTTTTACATTAAATATTTAATATATTATAGTACAAGAATTGAGATCACCTATCGTTTTAATATTGTTTTCCTTATATGGTTGTTTAGTCGAAGACCGTTTAAATGGTATTTTTCAAATCATTTTTAATATTTTATTCTGGGCAGGTAAACTAGTTCTTAAATGGGTGCATGCACTACTAGAAAAATATGGTTTTTCTATAAAATAAGCTTTTGAAACCAAAATTTGGATCTACAATTTATAAACAAATAAAGAAATAAACTATAATCGATAGCTTTATAGTTTAAATTGCTTTAGTTTGAGAAATGTTCTACTATATTATATAAATGTAATAGAAACTATTATGAAGTATTGCACGCTTATTATATTTAAATAAATAAATGTCAAAAAAAATTAATTTTTTCTTAGTTTTAAAAAAATCAAAGTTAAGGGTTTTCATTTGTTTATTAAATAATCACAGCGAGGGAGAGTTGTCAGATATGCGTAAAATATGTCTAAAAAATGAATTAAAAATCTAAAAAATGGGCTTTTATGAACGCAAGTAATTGGCAAGTAGCTGATTGTGTTTGAAAATCAGCTGCTTGTCCTTCACTTGGGCTCAAAAGAGCGCCAATGCATTCATGGAGATACAATTATCTTATAGACAATGTTTCGGTAATTTGCGTTTTCGAATTCGTCCCTCTATTAGGCGATCACAGTGGCACAAGACATTGTAGCATCTCTCCAGTTGGCATCGCATATTACCGACTTGTAGTTCAGGCGTTGTGTGGAAACTTGTACAGCTCCAGTTGGGGATTGTGATCACCGATGGGGACCGTACTGTCGTCCTTTGTCTCGCTCTGCAGTGCTGTCGATAATACTCCTTGAGTTCCTCTCGGGCTCTGCTTTTCAACATATCGGCCATGTAGGACTCATCTGGTTCGGTGTGGCAGTAGAGGGACTCGCAAATCTCGCAGCTCGCTGCCGACTGCCTGTCCGTTTGACTTTCTGGCTCCGTTTGACAAATGGCTATATCCTTCGATCTGCACTTTGGCCTGCGTTTGATTCGCTTTCGACGTTTTAATTGCTTGGTTTTTGTTGCAGATGTCGTTGCTCTGAGCAGACGTTTGGGTTTCTTTATTGGACTGGGCCAGTTCAGTGGCGTCCTTCGGGTAATATCAAAGTCATTGGCATGGGTACGCAAATATTCCTGTATGTATCTTGCAATATTGAAATCCCCGAAGATATAGGTGGAGGGTGTAAAGCCACTTTCGCTGGGCCTGAAACTAAAACTACCGGACACTGACGAAGACTCGGATGGGGCTACATTGCTCCTTAATGGAATATCGTTAGTTGACGATGCTCTATACAATTTGACTTCAATGTTTTTCAGATTAACCTTGTTGGGCTCACTTTCATGCTTATCATCTCCCTGAGAGAGGCCTGGTGGATGCTCCGATAGTCCCCCAACAAAGGTATCTACTGAAGTTGAATCTCCTGCAATATTCTGCGCTACTATTTTGCCTTCTTTTGCTTCTTTCTGTTTGACTGCGTCTGCTGATTTATGCTGTAGGTCTTTAGGTTTTTCTACTGCCTGTTCATCTTGATTTATTTTGTCAAGTGACAGAATCTTGGACTGAGTTTCGCTGTCCTTGTAGACGTCGGAAGCACCTCCTAAAGATAAGCTGTCTTCACTCACCAACTGTGGTTCCTTAGGTGGTTCTGTGGCTTCAGACTCATCCACTGATTTTGTTATTGTTACTTTTTGTTGACTTTCTTGTTTATCGGCTATATCAGTTATTAGGCTAGTTTTTTTCTGCGGCTTCAATGACAGCTCACTCGAGGGTTTGGTGAACTTCTTTTTAGTTATGCCACTAGGGCTCCTTTGCAGATCTGTTACCTTTAATAGCTTCTCTGAGCCTACTGTGAGCTTATCTGTAGTTTTGGCCATCTTTCTTATTTTATTGCGGCGCAGACCTCTCCTTGATTTGTTTTCTATTGGTGTCGGGTGCACAAAGCAGCTTTTGAACTCTTCGTAGATATGGCCATATGTTTGTGCCTGCATAGATCTCTGCTCCGATAAGTGTTGGCTGCCGCCGTGCCCCTTTTTTAGAGGTTGTACCGGCTCCAGCATGATTTGGAAAAACTTTGACGCCTTCTCGTCCTTGATGTTACGCCAGAATGTTGTGTTTGCCTTAATTTTTTCCCTCCGCTCGAATCGCGTTGGATCCTGTCTATTCTCGGCGTAATATTTCCACCAAGCCCGGAATACGCAGGCATCGTGCAGATGTTTGCGCTCGCTTAGCACCGTAGGCTGCAATTTTTTTAGAAACGGCTGCAATTGCTTTACCTTTTCATGCAAACATTTTCGATTTAGCAGCAGCCGGTTGTGCGATTGCTTAAATGTCTCGTAGGGATTGAAAAGTGTGATTGTGCGTTTCAGATTGAACATTTTCAATTATACACGTTCACACTAATTACTGGTAATTTGGCTGAAATTGGATATTTTCTCAAAATATTGTTATATTTATTAACAGCATTAACTATTCGTTTTGTAAAATTTGAATGATTATTATTGCCATACATACATGTACCCGCAGGGTAGAATTGTATACTAGGAACTATCTAATTGAAGTAACGGACAGAGCTCATGTCACAGGCACATTATATACTTGTATGTTCATTATAAAGCGACTTCCCGAATTAGTCATCTAGGTATGTACGAGTGTAGGGAGCTGTGTTACTGAAACAGCTTGAGGGAGCCAGCTTGGATCTGCTCTCTAAGAAAATAAAGTCTATTAGCGGGGAAGAGCACGAACAAGCACGTCACGAAATAAAATGGTTTCTTATATTCGTTAAATAAACTAAGTCTTTTGAAGTCTAAAAATTAATTTTATGGGTTAGCTTTTAGCACCATCTTCGATTGGGTTTGAATCTCTTCAGCCGTGTAAAAACGGTGTCCTAGAAGTGGACCTTTTAATTTATTTAATAAATTCGAAGAAAACTGTCGGTCTTGACTTTCCTTTCGTTCGATTGATCGGTCATTTCTGAGGCGTAAGCAGTGATTCAAGTCCCATCTCCAGTTATTATGTAAGTTTTTCGTCTTATCAGTGTAATCAAAATGCATTGCCGTTTTCCCCAAAAATGATTAAATTTAATTTTTTGCTCCCAAATAGAAATCATGTTGGAATTTTGCTCTTTTTCTTAGAGAATAAGGGGACCGTTTTTATAAGTATATTCTTAGTCAGTGTATTATAGAGGTCTTGGTTCCCTGACTAAAAATACTGTATACGAGTATATAAATTATTCCAATATTCCATAGGAAAAAAAAACAGAATTACAATTTTAGTTTAATTTGTACGCAAAAAACAAGTAAAAAAGCTAAAGTCGGGTGTCCCGACTTTGCAATACTCTGTACATATGTTTAGAATAAATATAGAAATTAAAAAAAATTAAGAAAATAAACAAAAAAAATTTGATCGATTTTACCTCTCTCGGTATTCGAACTCACGTAAAGGGTGTATAATTGAACATTTACATAGCAATTGCGTCTGTGTGAGTGTATGTATGCCTATGCGCATCTATTCGTGTCTGTGTAAGCATTTTCGCAGTCAACCAAACAGCAACATCAACAACAGCCGCGGGCAGCGCTTGAGCAGCGCTGCAGCAGCGCTGCATCAGCAAATATTTTTATGGCTATAACTTCTTGTTAAATCGGTCTATCATAATGAAATTTGGCATACGGACACATAATAACCAACTGGGGGTATTTCCAAAATTTTAGTTCGAAATTCCAAGAATTACGGGAGTTACGATTTGCGGGGTAGAGGGGGGAGGGAGGGGAATTCCAAAATATACATTTTCTGCGTATTCACATAAGGCATCTGAGACTATTGGTGTTCCTAGGTCTTATAGTCTCCGAGATATAGGCGATTATACGAATGGAAAATCGGGAAAACCCCCATAGGGGGGAAGTGGGGGGGAAAATCAAAAAAATAAAACAAACTCGTATAGAATACACACATAACGCATCTTTGTGCAAAATTTGGTGTCTCTATCTCTTATAGTCTCTGAGATCCAGGTGTTCATACGGACGGACAGACGGACAGACAGACAGACAGGGCTAGATCGACTCGTCTCGTCATGCTGATCAAGAATATATATAGACTTTGTGGGGTCTGCCACGCCTCCTTCTGCCTGTTACATTTTTCAGCTCCCGCAAACCTAATATACTCTTGTACATTTCATGTACAGAGTATAAAAAATAAAATTTAGGATTAATGACTATTTTATGACTTTTATTTTTTGCTCGTATATAATGATTTAAATGATTAAATTATAACTCCAAATTAATCATTATATTCTGAGCGAATCAATGAAATACTATGAAAAATATTCATTACTTTGTAATTTTTATAATAATGATTACAGTCCCTGATTTTTTTCTTAAAAGTGAAGTTCTTTTTCGTTTGGA